GGGAAAATGGCAGCAACGGCGCGGTACTCTGTAGGTGTGTGTACCTTCCGTGAGCGGGGGTGGCCAGTCAGAGTCAGTGTGTGCGGCCTGGGTGCTTGTGCGTGTGCGTTGCGTGTGTGCGGTGCGTGTGTGGAAAGATGGAGAAGAAAAGTAAACAAATAATTTCCATCCATCACTCACACACACCTTACATACAAGTTCCCACTTTCCCAGCCATTCATTCAACAGTTTTTTTTTTCTGTCTATTACAAAAATTGTAAACAGAGTGCCTTTTGGGGTAGTCCGTAGTAGCCACAATACCCATGCCTCGTCACCTTGTTTTTTTGCTCTGTTTGGTTAATGACGAAAGCCACAACCCATATTGGATGCCCAAGCATAGCCTCCACAGTGTCTTACTCTGATCTCTTCCCTCAGCCGTTGTTACTCATGGAAGACTGTGGAAGTACAAAAACATCCCATGTCGATTCCCCAGCTGTCATACCTTTCTAGGCGCGACAATGATCGACAGTTTCTGCGTCGGTTGGTTGGGCGAGCAAGTGCAGAATCGTCCCTGGTCACAACGGCCAAGCATGCTTCTTCTGTCGACAGGGATCTGGGGACTAGACGGCCGTTGGAACTTTTCTGGTCTCTTTTTTTCGGTGATAACAAAACAGACAGATTCAGAGGTCCGTGCTCGTGGGGTGTAGTTAATGTCTTGAAAGTCTTGAAGCTATACCGAGTCGACGTCTGATTACAACTCTTAGCGAGACAAGCCTGTATCAGGCAGAGGTTGGGGTCATATCTTGCCTCCATTCTTCCGCCATTCCTTTTTTTCCTCCCCTCAATCTGGATATCACTGTGATGACATAAATCGCTGAAACCCCAGCACGTGGCACCCACATCGTCACATCTCAAATCCCTCCCCTGCCATGAGACGTCAGTGATAGCTTCACTACCGTGGAGGACAACATGGGTAATACAAATCAAGCCAGGACTTTTGCATTTCGCACTCCCATCTTTCCGACTTGATCCCGCACAGAAGCACACATCACGTCATGAACCAGAAATGATGTCACTGCCTTTCATTTCAACCTGCAAGCCCTCGGGCAAGGATCCTCCTCGTTCGATTTGCCCTTTCTTTTTTGTCTGGCCCTGTTTTTTTCTTTTTTCCCAACCCCCAAAGCTGAGCCTGGTCGTGCCTGGATCTGCCTGGCTTCTCGCGGCGCTGCCCGGCCCCTCATGATAACCCACAGAAACCCGAATTGCATTTCTGTCAACTGATGCATCTCTGCTTTTTTGTTCCCGAATGAACTCGGTCAACTCCGCCCTGCTCCCCTGCAGTCTCTCGGTAGCCTGTGGCAACCCAGGACCCATCTTCTTCTCGAACGATAACCGAAGCTCTCCATCCCGAGACAAATCCCTTCGGTCATCCACGGGTCTGGTAGGCTTGTACACCACTCGGTCGGCTGGAATGAAATTATGGACCCTGAGTTGAGTCTCGGCTCCAACAATGAGCTGGTTCCTTGTTAGACCCTGAAGGTTGTAAGGCTGCCTGGTCCTAGCAGGCGTCATTGGGGTAAATGCATGTCAATCCGAGCCGAGGTGATGACATGTATGAGCTCGGAGACTTCCAGAGACCGTGCATGATGAGAGCTGCCCTGAATCACTCATTATCGAATGAAATGAGTTGACATTCGTCATCATCGTGACTATATGAATGGTACAGAGCCCAACGGTGGAGCAGTACCTCGCCCGGACTCCTTCAACGCAATATGGTTGACAACGTTTCCAATCTTGGCCTTGATGCCTGTGACGTTAATCTCCCAGCCCCGAATGCCAGCAAACTTGCTCTGCTTAAATAACCCCAACGTTTCGAGGGATAATTCGTCCCCGGGAAGATGAAATGTCCATCCGATGGATATGTGAAAGGCAGTGCCCACGGCATCTCTTGTATCCACGTCATTTGTATTGCGCTGGTACAGAGTCGGCTGGCCGAACTGGGTCGCGACGGTGTTGCTCTTTGCCAGGAGAGCCGTGAGCTCCGGGTTTGGAGTTCGTACAGCCTCTTCGCTGTCGGATCCTGCCTTACTCACATTGCTAGCAACGCGAAGAATAAGAAATGTGCGATCCGAGTCGGGTGACCTATACCAGGCAAGTCCTCGAGGCCTAACGATGAATGGAGCAATGCCGCTGCTGGTGAATGTTTGCGTGATCCTGTCCAGAAACTCGTCCTTGTTGCCCGTACTGAGAGACAAGGGACGCGACAGGCTGATGTGCAGTGGCAGAGGAGATCCGAGGTCGCTAGTCAAGAAGTTGAGGAGCTCAATCTCACCCGATGCCTGCTTCTCAATGTCGGCTAACAGTTCCGTTAAGAGGGCATGCTGTGTAGTAGAAGGATGCCCTAGACGATATCAATTATGCACATGACGGCCTAAAAGCCTTGATACTTACACTCAACGTAGAGATGACTCGGCCAGTTTCCAACCACATGGGGAACTTGGCGTTTCCGTCCCTGATGGAGGCTTGGGTCATCCACGACGCTCTGGCGAACGGTAGAAGCATATAGATCATGAAAGGTGTCGGGCAACGGGGGCATGGATGAAGCTTCGACATCCTTGAGTTGAAGCCGAGCGCCGGCATCGGCAGTTGGATTACTCGGAGTCCTTGTGGTGTCCGAGGTTCGGGAGGAGTGGGCCGCCGTGCCATCAGCACACTTCCGGCGCTTGATACGGCGAGAGTCGGGCCCGGAGTCCTCGTCCGCAGAGTCGGAGGAAGAATAATCAACAAGAACCATGGTTATGGCTCGTGATTGGTACCGTTGCGCTAGCTGTCGGTATCAAGAGATGGACGCGTACTCCTCGTATTGATTCTGAACGTGCCTAGATTGCGGAACCACCGATGCCGAGGCTTTACAGGAATAATTCCTGTGTTTGCGCGGTCTGAAGAGTCTGGAAGCAGCTGGCTGAACCTAGACAAAGGGAAGTGTGGGGCGGTGAGAAAGGTGGATAAGTTAGCAACGGGGTTGTGTGAAGCATCCATATCTTCGAGAACACCAAGGTCTAGGAATCATTGTCCGTCCAGTCTGTGATTCTTGGAGACTGGAAGCTGTAGAAAGCTAGAAGACTGTCTCTATCACTCCCGTTCAGAAAAGAACATTTCGAACACGTAGGGCATTGCTACAGTGGTAGCATAGATCTTATCGACATGCATCGGCGATCCAACATTCGTCGTAGGGTAGCATTCACGCATATTGCTGATCAATTGCGTTGTCAAGACGTCGCTAAGCATGGGTTTATTTCCCAACAAGAAATCATGCCCAGAGCTTGGATGCAGAATTAACCAGCTTCGGCTGCTTAATGCCGCGATGTATGACTTGTTCCTGAGTCCCTGCATTCACTCGAGACAGACTCTGGACAGACTAGCAGGGCAGTGAATGTGATACTACTGCAAAGTGCTTGCATCGGCGGTGTGTGATAACTCGTGTCCCGTGTCTTGGTCTGGGTCGGTCGGGTCATGGCCTGAGTGTCAAGTGTCCGGGTCCCCCGGCCCCCGAGCTAAGCCTTGGACGCCCGGGACGCCGGGGCACCACCGTCATTGGAGTAGCAAAGGCCTAGGCCCGTTCAGAGGTCCCTTCCAGCAGTAGCGGGCAGCAGGCGAGTCCCTTTTGGTAACCAGGGTTGAGATCCCAAATGCTATGCTATTTTTTGCGATATCAGGTGACACCTTAACCGATGGGCTTTGCTCCCTTGCAATGTCGGCCTGTGACCTGTGAGTCGATTCAAAGTTATCCCGGTTTACAAACTTTAGATGACATTTTTTTAGGGACGCGCGTTGAGGGTCTGGTCAGTTCGTGTAGCTGACGTCGTTCTACCGTTTGATCCGGGCAGTGCCGCGATCCGAAAGACAAAAAGGAGGGTGAGCGATCGTTCGTTCCAGGACATCCGAAGCAAGTGCAGTGAAGAAAAGACATGGGGGTCGGTGATGGTGAGTGTGCAAGGGGTCAAGGCCAGTAGTGACGGGAGCTGCCCCTCCCCCTCAACCCCGCGGAATATGGATGTCTTGAAGACAATGGCACACCGGACGGGACAGAGTGATAGTGATTAGACGGTGCCTGGGCGGCGTTCGATGGCGTCGAGCCATAGCCGGAAGAAGCTTGCCAGGTGTGTGACGGCACAGACAAGAAGCTCGAATTGAGTCACGAGGAGCTCTCAGCTTGACCCCGCTGATGGGCCCTGAGGTGGTAGTGGACGCATGATGGACGACGAAAAGGAGGGGAACGAGACCACGCCGAGATCTGTAAGGTAGGGTGCTTTGCCTCACCTCGCCTCGTACCTGCCGCACCTTTGAGCTTCTTTTTTTTCTGCTGCTTGTCTCCATTGAGCTTTGCCTGTTTTAAAAAGGGACCTGCATCTCCTCCATCCCGTTTTGTTTCGTTTTCTCTTCATCCTGTCGTTCTTACATCCTGGGAAGTAACCAATACCCTAGACTGCCCGACTTCACATGGTCTCATTCGTCGACCGATACGAGATCCCAAGACTCGACGACGTTGCCTTTACCGCTGTCGTAAACTTAAAAGGCCCCTTGACCCGTCACTTCCATCAGCGACTCAACTCTCAGGTGTCTACTCAATTCACCTCTTTCAACTGATCACGACTCCGACCTACCGAGCACACGACACGCACGTCCCTTGATCAGATACACACCGAAGCGAATCTTTCTTGTTCAAAGCTCAGATTCTTCTATCGTTGCTATGGAAGAATCTAGAGATAAGCAGTGGGTGAGTTTGACAAAGTCCTTTGCGCAGTGCGACCCAGTCTTTTTTCTCTGTTCCGTTCCTTGGTCTTTCGTCAAAATGTTCCGTTCGCTTCTCTGCCCAACGTCATCTCACCAGGCCCAATCGAGAGCCAAACGTCAGGGACCCAGTAGGACCCTTTCTCTTGTTGCGTCAATGCCGATCCCCGTCGTTCCGGGATCCGTCGTCTTGATGCTGGCTCTTGGTGGACGCCAGCGCAACAGCCAAGATGATTCAGCCCCATCCACGCAAGCTGGATGACGTTTCTCATGAACCATGGTCGCCCTGCATCAGTCGCGTCGCAATCAATGTTTCTTGTTGTATTTATACTCTATTCTAACAATCATCACAGGCGAAAGCTTACATTCTCGATCCTTTGACTGCTCCTGAACCAAACCAAGAAACTGGAATTGGAGCTTCTCACAACCTTTCAGCGCAATTACGCAATATCTCTCTCGAGAACTCAAGCCCAAGCCCAAGCCCGAGCCAAGACCGCAGCCAAGATCGCAAGCACAAGCATAGATCATCATCTCATAGCCATCGACATCGCAGCTATCCTACTCCTCCTACTTCAGCCAGCCCAACTCGTTCTGACTTTCATCCCTCGAACCCTTTCTCGGACTCTGCGGCTACACGACGAGCTCCCTCTTCCAAGTCGCTGTCTCCTCCAAATTCACCCCCAGCCGACTCTCGCCGTTATCCACCCAATTCTGCAGTCACCCGTTCATCCAGCGCCCGGGTTCCCCAGCAATCAAGCCTTCGACCTCCGCCTGTTCACCACCGTAGCTTCAGCACCGGCAATTGTGACATTTCACGCAAGCCCTCGCTTAACCAGCGATTCCCAGGCGACATGTCTCACAGACCACTCGAAATCCTCAGAAAAGAGGCCCGCGCAGCTGATCGCGCACCTCATTTGCGACGAAAGCAATTACCTGTGACCGACACCATTGATGCGCTCGACACCATCGGCGGGACATACCATCACGGTGGTCCTTATGACGCCACTCTTGCCAGCCGCAACCGAAACAAGATGTACTCGCCCGTTGCCGCCGTTCAGGATTCCAACAACGAGGCTATCCGTGCCACCCCCAGAGAGTATATTGAGGACTCTCTTAGACGGCATATTCCACTTCAAGGAACTGCTACAATTCCCAGTGGCGAGCAGGATTTCCGTGGTGACAGAATTGAATATGAGGAAGGTGCCGATCTCATGAGAGAACCTGATGCGGTCGGCGGCGCATACAAGCGTTGGGATGGTATTGTATGTACCCTTGATGTACCCTCTTGCTCTGAGCTACCTATTAACAGACATAGAAATACCATCCTAATGACCTCAAGGGAAAGGGTGAACCTTCCTATACCTACGAGAAGGACCTAAAGGAAAAGAAGCGCCTACGCCGTGGGGAACCCGTCGAGTACGAATTGTCATCAGGTATGAAGAGTAGCAGACGCCCTCCCTTCAGCCACCACCGAAGCTTCAGCGAGAACCCACGATCAGCACTTTCTCAAGACGGCGCTTCAGATGGAACCGGTCTTCGCCGCAACAACTCTACAGGCCGACATCGCCTGAGCGATGGTCTTCGAAGACGCTTTGGTAGTATGAGGCGCAAGAAGGTCGATGAGGTCCGATAAGTTTCCTAGACGCTGTGTGTTTCTTTATCTCTTTTCTTTGTGGATTTTGGCGTTATCATGCTGGCGATTGATAAGGAAGAAACTCTCTGTTGGGACTATGACGTGTATACAATGGCGAGATGGCTACCGATGACGACACGGGCGCGATTAGGATTTTGTGTTTTACTGGGCAGCGCTTGTGCTTGGCAGTGGTAGAGATATCTTGGGGGGAAAAAGAAAAGCGCCAAGTATGGTTACTGTGTGCTACGAGCGAGTTAGAGCTATGAATTATATCCAGTACAGAAGTTGTGTCTTGTGCTCCATGTTTGAGGGATTTATGAGACTATTTGGATGACCATGGAAATCTTTTAGAATGTATTGCTCTACTTGTGCCCAATTGTTTATGAGGCAACTAAACAATGGCAGTCATGTAGCTGCGCAAACTATATATCCGATACACGACCTCGTCCCATAACAATACACCTCCTAATCTTAGAAATACGCCAGTCCACTCCATCCCAGCACACCCTCAAGCTCATCTCTCAGCTCCGCAACACCATCATACCCACCCTTGCCTGCAATCTCTGCCCTCTTTGCAGCGCCCAGCTCAGCCCACCTCGCCAGGATAGCACCGTCGACGATGGTTCGTCCAGCAGCAGCATCAACACCCACAGGTCGCGTACCGCTTGGAAGACGGTATCCCTTTGCGTTGAGACCTCCGTAGGGTGTCAGCGCGGGGAGGAGCTGGTTCGTTACGGAGAGGAGGCGGCGGTATGTCGCCTCTGGGAGGGGTACGAGGGTTGAGAGGTGACCTGATGGGGAGGCGAGGAGGAGGATCTGGGAAGGGTCTGAGGGAGATGGATGGGCTGGGGGGGTTGTTCGTGGGAGGAGGAGCATTGAGGTTGGGGGGTTGGGGGAGACGGAGAAGGTTGTTCGGTGGAGGAGGAGGTGGCCCTGAAGGGATTTGGGATCTGGATGTTGTCAGCTTTGTTTGAGTGGTTCAAGGTGTTTGAACTTACGCTCGGGGTTAAACTCGAGGATGTGCAAATCACCATCAGCATCTGCCGCAACGATGGCAAGATCTTCGCCATCAGGGAGGAAATCTGCTACTAGGAGTGGTAGCCGGCCATGACTCTTGCCTAGAATCTTGAACGTGTAAGGCTCTTCAGTGTATCCCGCGAACCAGACACCCTTAAAGGCATCAGCCATGACACACAGACCAGTCCTGGGAAGCTCACGAGCGCTCGAAACATGACAACTCATATCAAGGAAAGCCACAGGCAACAGGGAGCCATCCTCCTTGAGACCTCGTACCATGCACTTCTGGCCTTGAGCGACGAGCATAAGACCCTGCGTGCCAATCTCCGAGATGGCAGTGACGCCACCTCGGGGAATGTCCTCTCGGGCAATGGCCTTGAGTCGCTTGTTGGTTTCGGGCTTGCCAGGCTCGGGGATGACGGTGACAATGTCAAAGACGTGGACGCGGCCGCGGATGGGAAGGTCCTCGCCCTTAGAGAGGGCGGTTCCCACCGTGAGGAGGAAGCGACGCTCCTTTGTTTCCTCTGAGACTTCGAGTTGTAGTGTCTTCATACACTCGATGGATTCACATGACTCAAGCTCTTGATCGTGGATGACGGTCAGACTGACGGGACTGATCAACTTGAGAACACCACGGGGCATGGTTGGTGCAAAAGTGAGAGTTTCCTTGGCCCATTCTTTGTGGTAATCGTCATCCCTTGGTAGCTCAAACGGCTCATTTGTCGTGCATCCGGCGATATATGTGCCAGTCGGTTGATGGTACGCGATACCGCAAACATCACTGTCCAAAGGTACCTTCTTGACAGATATGCCAAGGTCGGTAAAGTTGGTCTCAGAGGGAAGCTGTGTGACACGTGCAATGCCCTCGTCGTCGGCATAGATGAAACCTCGATCGCAGCCCTCGGTGTGGAACGTGCTCATGCCACGGATACCAAGACCCTGGAGACCGATGACGCGAGGGATACTCTTGCTAGACTTGAGGATGAAGCTTGGTGATGGACCTGGAAGGAAGACGGTGCTGTAGCCGTTGACGTTGGCGCATGTTCTTAGGGGCACGAAGCGTGGCTGCTGGACGGCATCCTCTTGTGATGTCTCGACGGGACTCGTGGCGAGTGCCGCATTGGAAGTCTTCTTGAAGGTAAGGGTAGCGGATAGCGTGGGTTCGGCACCCTCTGGTTGGTACCGGAGGGGCTCGTAGATGGTGAGATCGTCGGTTTGGTTTCGGAGCTGGGAATGTTAGCATCGTATTGGTAGAAGGACATCAAGCTGACTTACGATGAGATATGGTGATTGGGATACAGTATCTCCTAGGTCTGCCACCAACAGCTCGCGGAGATTCTCTTTCGCCAGGCCTCGGCGGAGAGTATAGTCTGCCGAGAGGTGAGGAGGAACATAACACAAGCCTTCAGCGACGTAGACTGGCTTTGAGAGATCGGGAAGCGCGTATACCTACTGAACTTAGCTAAACAAACATGCAAGATGAGTGTGCGACTTACGTGTAGTGCTCCTGTTGAGCTAAGAAGGAACATCATAATCTTGGAAGTGTCGGCACCCTTGTCACCAACGCTTGGCTGGAAGACGCCCTTTGTATCAGTGTACAAGCAACCGGCATGCCATTTTGTGCTTTGGAGCGTGCTGTCCGTCTTTTCAACCTCTTCGAGCTCGTTGTTGCTGTCGATCTGCGCGATCAAGACACTGCTGTCGTCACGGATGAGGAGTAGATAGGGGTCTGCGATGCTGGCGCTGATGACTCTGGGTTCAGCACCAGTTTCTTCGTCAAGCATTGGAAGGATCTGAGTGAGACCAAGGTCTGTCATTGTTAGCATCTACATGAGCAGCTTCATCGCAGTTACTTACCTCCGTCGTAGGACCGAACCTCAGATTTCAAGACTTGAATGACCCTCATTTGCTTGCCCATCGTTCCAGCCTCAACAGTGAAGCCAGCCGCAGGGTCAAACTCGGTCTCTTTTAGAGTCTCAAATCCAGCAGCAGTGAGAGCATACACATCTGATGTCTCATACCCGTCGAGGTCGACCTTGGCCACAATCATGTACTTATCGTGCTGCCCAAACGTCTCATAGTCGTTTCCAACAGTGACGTTTCCTCCCAGAGACTTGGGCACAGGCTTCTTGACACACATGGTCCAGAACCCACGTGCTTCTGGAAACTCGAATCTCCCGATAATTTTGGGTTGAATATGTCGGTTCAGGATGGCGAGAGATCCAGAGTTGCCGCGACCAACAACGCAGGCAAGCTGCAAGTCAGAAACGACGCCTTTTGATAGGGTCGCCTCTTCACTATCTGGAAGGAAAGCTGCCTTGCCGGATGTCAAGTCCCTGATAGGAGCGATGCTGAGAAGGGTATCGTGAATGCGGAAGCTCAGTTCACCCGATTTGCCCGCTCCGTTGAGAGCCTGGGTTGGCTTTGCGGCCGTTTCGGTGCCGTACAGATCATCATCTTCGTCGTCATCATCTTCGAGATCGAGGTCGTCCACATCAAGCCCAAGGTCGGCGTCAACAAGGCGTGTCTTGCGCCGCTTCTCCTGGCTCATCTTCCTTGACCAACCCAACACAACAGAATCGCCAGTCTCGCTACCAATAAAGAAGGTGTTTTTACCCAATTTCGAGGCTGTAGATGCGCGGCTCTTGATTAAACGGCCTCCGTTTTCCTCTGGAATCATCTTGATACTGATACCAGACACAGTTCTACCATCAATTCGGAATGATACTATGCCCAGTCGACCGTCATTGAGAATCAAGAGTAGTTCTCCGTTCTCAATGTATAGCTGTTCAATAATGCAACCCTCTAACCGAAGGTTCAAGTCCGCCTGGTCGGACAAACTGAATGAGGTCATCTGTCGAGCCATTGAGTTGACAGCCACACCGTTGGCCTTGCCCGATTGATCAATATGAATGAACTCGTTCTCTCCGATCAGCAACGCGCCGCCAACAGGCGCTGGCAGAGCAATCATCTTGTATAGATCTCGCGGGAGGTCGGTGACTGAGAGAATGGTTGTTGAAGCGCGCTGTTGCAGGTCGAGCGTAAAGACCTTGTATGTGAGGTGATCTTTCTGGCCAAGTGAATGCGCCCGCTCTTGACTGGACGACAGGATGCCAAAAGTCGGCTCTCTATACTCATGCAGGAAGGCCAAGTGCACGGGATGAAGCAGACTGGGATCAAGCAGTGGGAGACGGAGGACAAAAGACGGTGTATAGGCTGCTTCTAGAGTGTCGCTATCTCCATTGGCGACTGCGGTGGACTCCTTGACGGGCCGCGGTCCGTCGAGATCCTCATCCCAATCATCCATCTCCAAGTCCTCTTCTGCTTGTCTGAACGGGAGGATAGCGATGTTGCGCGAGCCGAACTGGAAGGCGGCGCATCTGCTGCCTGGATCGGCCTCGAGGAAATTCACGTATTCGTCAAAGGCGACCTCCCAGGGAGCGCCCTGAAGCTCGTCCTTCTCATAGTAGTGGATTGAGAGGGTCTCGAGGGTGTTCTTTTTGGGATCCCACTCGCATAGGCACATCTTGGCCGCCTTGTATGCTAGCAGGAGAGCTTCGCCCCCGGATTTTGTATACTTAGTCTTGATCTTGGCAAGACCTATAACGGTTCCAGTGAGTGGCAGCTCTGCGACGAGGACTAGCTTGGTGTTGTTTGTGCGATCGGTGCGAACTAGCATTGACTCGCCGCCGCCGAGGAACGAAGATTCGAGGCCATCGTCGTCATGTGCGCGGTGATCAAACTCGGGCTCGACCTTGGGAGGCTGTGTAGGCTGGTTCTGAGCGTCGAATTCGGCCGAGATGGCCTTGGTTGTAAAGATCTGGAGCAGGGAGCCCTTTGCGACAACGAGGTTCGAGGCCGTGGCGGACGTGAGGGCGATGGTCAAGGAGTGTGTGACGGCTGAAGGAGCCGCAAGCTCTGTATAGGCCTGCATCTCCGCAAGACCATTCTTTCGTGGTCAAGTGAGACCGTTTTGAAGCTCTGGCGGTTGTCGCGACGATGTTGTACCTTTGTTGAATGTTTGCCCAAAAGAGATAGAGCTCGAGCTCAAGACCGGAAAACCGTTGTGCCGTGGTCCGGTTTCGATTGGAAGAGCCACCCCTCAAGCAGCAAGGGTGCGACAACTGGCAAATGTCCACTTCGGGCCTGCATGGAAGCATAATAAAACTTGACAAGGTAAAGTGACTTCTATTGCATAGCTTTCTATGCTATTGGATTGTTATCGAATTCATGCGCAATGCTTCAAGGCCTGTATCCGTCGTTTCTTCGGTTGGCCAGGGGTGCACTATAGACACACGCCTCAAGACGTTGTGCGTTCAGCGAATCAGCGCCCGTCCTTTGGAATGCAATTATCAAAATCTGGGGTGGCTCCAGGGCATCACGGGTTGTCCCCTTCGGCAACGCTAGCGTATCAATTGCGTCACAAAAACAACCGCGCCTCGAGCTTCAGGTAAAGCCCAGGGATCCATTAAATCCTGCTTTTTGAGTAAAGCTTTCCCTCGCCTTTTATCAAAGCGCGACCCTCGCTACACAATTTATCATTTCGAGTTTGTTTGATTTCTCAAGACGTCACCATTGGCTTTGATTTGATATCTGTCTTAGGATCCTTGGATCTGTTAAACAAAGCAGCGCCAGCAAAACAAGCCACGCTGCGAAGCTCTTTTTAGCGGCTTCATTTCTTCTACCAACTTTACTCGTTGATCCTCATTTGCTCTAGCAGCTTGAAATACTCCGACGATACCCTCATCATGGCCCACGCTGGCCTCGTGCAGACCAGTCTCATCTGGGTCGCCTACGCTGTCGCTGTCGCCCTCTGTCTCATCGCTGCCCTCATCACCACCTTCACGTGGCAGACTCCTCGAGAACGATCCGCCGTCGTTAGCATCGTCGCCATCGTTAGCTTGACATCTCTGCTCGCTACCGTCTTGCTCCTCCCCGTCGATATCGCCCTCATTTCCGCGACTAGCTCTGCGACCCTCGGCGCCAAGAAAGACTGGGCTACCCCCGAACGCATCGACAGCATCCTCCTCACCCTCAAGATCGTCTACTATAGCTTGTATAGCTTCGATGCTTTGCTGTGCCTGATTGTCATTCCCTTTGCCTATTTCTGGCACGAAGAATATGATGAGATCGAGGTTGAGGAGGAGGGTCGCACGCTGACCAGCCGCTTCTGGGCGTCGCTCAAGTACACCCTCTTCTTCGTCGCTTTCGTCGTCGTTCTCTTCCTGCTCGGATTCTTCGTCCCTGCTGCTGGAGACAGCTCTAAGGACCATTGGGATCTCGACTACTTCAAGAAGTTGATTGCTCAGAACCATGGCGAGAAGGCACTGACCTTTGCCCTGGGCCTGTTGCTTACCCTCGGCACCTTGCTTTACGTCGTCTACACCGGCGCCGGTCTCGCCTTACTTCCCATCTCCTTCATCAAGGCTGCCCCTTCGATCTCCGCACCGCAACTATCCGAGACCACTGCCTCGCAGCTCGAGCAGAACCGCGAACGACAGCGACAGATCGAAATGCGCAACACTGGTCGACAGGAGGAAATGTCCCGAAAGGACCGCCGAGAGCTGGACGCCTTGGTTCGGGAGGAACAGACACTTGTTCGACGTGAGAGACTTGCTGCTGAGGCTCAGGGAGAGGGACATAGCAGGGTATACCGGGCTTGGCTCAAGGTCTGCGCCGTCTTCCGTCCTATCAAGCTGATCGGCGGTATTCTTTTGCTTCTCCTCTCCGTCTTCATCTGGGTGTCCATGCTCATTACGGGCATCGACAAGGCGAAGAACTCGATCTGCAAGCAAAAGTGCGGCTACATTCTGGGCCAGATCCACGTCTTCCAGCCCATCAACTGGATCTTTGTCAAGGCCGCCAAGGCTTTCCCTGTCGACTACATCCTCATGGCTCTGCTGGTTTTGTTCTTCTTCAGCAGCTCCATCTCGGGTGTTGCAAGCGTTGGTATTCGCTTTCTCTGGGTGCGCATCTTCCAGATTCGCAAGGGTCGAACTGCTCCCCAGGCGCTCCTCATTGCTACGGTTATGCTGGCCCTCATCATTCTCGCCTCCAACTATGGGATCGCAATGATGGTTGCTCCTCAGTATTCCATCTATGGCACTCAGACGATCTGTACCAATGAGCCTGCTCATCCTGGAGCCCAGCCTGACTGCAGAAACCACACGGACATGATCCGACCCTGCTCTGAGGCTCTCAAGCTGAGGCATGCCAAGGATGTCTGCACGCCCTCAATCATGTCGACATTCTTGAACCGCATCGCCATCACTTGGCCCTTCTTCGGTCTCGTCGACTTCTGGGCGCAGTTTGCTTTCCTGGGTGTCTTCCTGGTTGTGTTTGTCACAGCCATCTTCCGTACTCCTAGGGTCAACCTCTCCCAGATTGACGAGGAGGCCGAGGCTGACGAGGAAGAGAGCCTACTTGCGACTACTGGCAGACGATTTGGTGCAACATGGCAAGATGTCAGAGGTAAGACTGGCAACTCAGGGAACAACTCGACAAACAGCGCTGGCAATGGATCAAATTCCGCGGCAGCGGAGTGATGTCTGGCACGGTGGGTTTTCAGTGTGAGATGGCTGAAGGTATTTTAGGGTTGGGCAAAGGCGCAGTAACATCAGGTATGAATTGGAGTTCAACAAGGTCCATGGAAAGTTTGGGTATCTGTCTTTATCACACGGGATTGCAGGGTCGGGTTTGATTTTGTTTGAGTAGCAGGGGCTTCGCAGAATGCTTTGAAACGAAACACTATGCCCCGAGCGCAACCTTTCTCTTCTCCTTCTTCTTCCTATCCTTTGTGAACTGTACGGCCTTGTGATTACGCTCGTCAAACCCAGCCTGGGGACCAATGTGCATCTCCCGCCAGCACCGGGTGCAATAGACGTCATCGTCGCAGCCTGGGCAACGTAGCGTGGCGTCTTCGAGGCATACCGTGCACCAACTGTCCATGTCGTCGTCAGTGTAGTTTGTGCGCGATGTGAGGCGGTTGATGGGTTTGCCTGAAGGCTTGGATGTAGGGACTGAGGGAAGGGAGAAGGAGTCTGAAGCTGATGGGGAGGGAGCACGAAGGGCGGCGAGACGGGCCGTGATGTCGTCTATGTCTGCGCTGCCGGCACGGGCTGATGATGCAGGCGCGGTTGGAAGGGCGTCGAGGTTTGAAGGGAGGTCAGGGAGGTCGAGATCAACGTCCTTAGAGGCTGTGTCTTTTTCTTGCCCCTCGTCTTCAGACTCAGACTCTGGCTCTGGTGTCTTGTCCTTATTGAGGGCGGCTTCGATTTCCACCTCGTCGCGGAAGCGGGCGATAACATCGTCGATCTCCTTGTTCATGGTCTCACCATCAGAGTCATCAGAATCATCCTTGTCTTTGGAACTGCCCTTGACACCGTCCTCAGTGTCCTGTGGTATTGAGTCTGCGAGTTCTTCCAGGAGAGCCTTGACTTGTTCATCATCTGGTTCAACTTGAAAGCCTTCACCAGGCTTCACATCGCCTAGGAGTTCCTCCAAGGTCTGATCATCTGTTTGGAACATGGCGTCGACGTCGTCGTCATCATCTAGTTTTTGAGGCTCATCCTTTGAAGTCTTTCTAATAAGAGGGCTTGGACTGGATGATGGCGCGGGTGCTGGACGCGATACTTGGGGTGAGGTCTTGGGAGCTGATGGTGAGGCTTCGTCTTGGCTCCGCAAGGACTTTAGGCGTGCAGCTAGGGCATCTTCGCGAGTGGGAGTTTTCCTCCTCTCGATTAAATCAACATTTATGCTGGGCGGAGTGTTAGTATATGTCCTTGTTTAAAGTTGAAGTGACTTTACTGCGTTGCTGCGGGCTTCTCGGGCGTTGCGCTACCACCCCTCAAGGCCTGAAGACGATCGAGGAGCGATTTGTCAACATCGTTGGGCATGATAAAGAAGAGGCCGAAGTTATCGAGTGTGTAACTATAAGTGCGGTTATACTCTATTAGATAGCGGACGCGACGTGCGGTGTTTGATAGACGAGCTCAGTTTGATGTTGGGTTGAAGTGAGGCGATGCAATGCGGTCATAACGGCTGAGGCGTTGAGATACAGCGGGGGCGGGGCTTCTGGGCGCCCAGTCCTTGGCTTGATCAGTTGGACACGAGATCTTGTTCACGGATCTAGAAGATGCACGTGGGAATGATCACATTATCAAGTTCAAAGATAAAATATATTCCATTTATGGAATCTGATAGGGCTGGGGATATAGTAGAGAGTTCTAGTAGATGTCTTGGCGTGGGGATTGAGTTGGGCAGGGGTCAAGTAGTCCTCAAGCTATGGGTGCGTACTGGATGGCAACACAATGACAATAATATGGGCCATGAAATGGGAAACAAACATGCGGGCCGTGGATATTTGATAGGTAGTCTATATCACTACCTCGCGTGTATGGGCTAGCCTGTGGCACCTCGGTTGACTGAAGCTTGTGAATGGATGCTTCGTGTACGACAATGGCGGGATATTTGGCTCGTTTAAGAGTGTACATGGCCGCTCGGGCTGGCAACCAGAAATAGATTCCTAGCAACGGGACGAAAATTCCTTTGACCTGGTCCCTACTGTATCTATGTGGATGCGTGACGCGCGTCTGATCGCGTGGAATCTCAAGATCAACCTCGCAAGTTCGCGGGTTGTGGTGGTTCTAACTTGTCGGAATGTGGGCGACCCTGACCCCTGCGCTGGCCGTGACGATTCAGCCTTAGACATCTGCCTCGACAGAGAGCTGAAAAGGAGGATTGTCCGGTTGTAGAACACTATTGATTCCTTTACAGGAGTCGCTCTGCCCTAGCGTAAGCTGCATGATCCTGGTACCCGTTGATTGCAGGGGCCGCCAAACGCTTGTTTGCTTCGTCATTCAATGGTCTTGATTGTATGCACCATTACGCCACCCGTTGCGTTTGCATACCGACTACAATGGAGCATTGGAACAAATAGATCTGCGCCGTTTGCATGGGTTAAGTATCCCATGGGCCCGGGTCTGTCGCTTTTGCTGTCGCGTGCCGTCATGTTCACTCCTCAACCTTCATCGCCATGTTTAGCCAGGTGGGCGTGTTGCGCCTGAATACCCACGCATTACAGATCACAGCAGCTGTCGCCTTTATCTGGCTCTTTGTAGTCCTCGTCTACTGCTATCGAGATCTATCGTTTTCGGCGCCATCCCCTGATGTCAGTTCGAGTCGACCCAGCAGCAGACCCAACCGACCCAGCGCATCGGGTGCGCAGAGCTATGAGCCGATTAAGCTGGGCGCGCAGTACTTTCTCGACTATCCTCTGAGAGAACCGTACAAGGATATCTTTGGAGAGTTGGGACAGCGAGCGCAGTTCCTTCGTTTATGGATTGAGCAGCTGGAGGGTATGGATGAGAGCTCGGAGGCACGGGAAGAGATGGTGGAACTCGTCGAACGACTCACCAAATCACTGTTCCCATATCTCAAGCAGAAGGAGGGTGTTTCTCCTCCACTTGCAGACATTCAACAACGGCTCGGAATTTCGCAGAATGAAGCGGGTAACTTGACAGCGACGAGGAAACCCGCAGGCATCGTCATCCCCACGGGTGAAGGGACGCTTCGATTCGCATGTCATCTCGTCGCATCCTTGACGAAGGTTCACAAAACCGCACTACCGATTCAAATTGTGTACGCCGGAGATGACGACTTATCCCCAGCTGGAAGGAAGAAGATACAAGAGGCGGCTGGCGATGTTGAGGTCGACATGTTGGACATTGTCACCGTTTTCGACGACAAGACGCTGAAACTCGCTGAAGGTGGATGGGCGATAAAACCGTTCGCTGCACTCGCGAGCAGCTTCGAAAAAGTCATCCTACTCGACGCCGATGCAGTGTTTCTCCAAGATCCTGAGCAACTACTTCGCCAAGACCGGTTCCAGGAGACCGGCGTCCTTCTTTTCCACGACCGACTGCTTTGGAAGGGCATGTTTGCCGATCGCCACAACTGGTGGCATGAACAACTCAAGCATCCCAGCCCAGAGACTGAAAAGTCACTCGTGTGGACCGAACACTATTCGGAGGAAGGCGACTCGGGCATCGTGGTGGTTGACAAGACGCGGCTTGACGTGTTGATTGGTCTTTTGCACGTCGGCTGGCAAAACTCGGAGGCGGTGCGAAATGAGGTGACGTACAAGATCACTTACGGGGACAAAGAGAGTTGGTGGATTGGCTTCGAGGCTGCGGGGTCCAAGTATTCTTTCTCGCCGCATTATGGTGGGATTGTTGGGTGGTTGGAACCAACTGAGCAGGACGAGAACAATGCAGACCTGGAGAAGTCGAAGCGAGAAGAGGTCCGCGTCTGCAGCTTCGTCATCGCCCACGTCGACCAAACCGACAAGCTACTATGGTACAACGGCGGCCTACTCAAGAACAAAATCGTCAACCAGACCGATTTCGAGGTACCGACACACTGGATGATTGATCAGACATGGCACAAGGGTGCTGCGAAAAAGGACATGAGCTGTATGGCTGGAAACCAAGCGACTGAGCTGTTGGAGGATGAGCGGCGTGTTTTATTGAGATCTATTGAGGTTGCAAAGGATGTGGATGAGCGGTTAGGATTGTTGTCATGATTGTGAAGGGGTGTTTGGCGTCGGGGGTAGTTAAGCTTAGATCCGGACATGATCTGGTATTGTATCAATACAGCGGCATTTGTCTTATCGAATCCTCGGTTATGTACCTTGTCAGGTGGATCAACCAATCCTACCGGTATTCATATCCACGTTGCCCTCGTTGCTATTTGTGCTGTGTGTCTTTGCCTCAACGGTCAATGGGAAGAACATTGCCACTTTGGACCTAGAGTAAGTCGACTGGGGGCTTTTAGAGTGTAGAAGTTGCAGACCCTGACTTGTTAATTGAGCCGGACGGAGCCTGTATTGTTCGACAGTAACGATACTCGGATGCATAAACATTGGTTCGTGTGGTTGGCGTTGAAGTCAATCGCCTCTCCCACGCCCAATGCGTGTTTCCGACAAAGCCACATCAATGCTCTTCCCGAGAGTTCCTCTACAGCCGTTAATACCGAAGCCATTGAATCGCATAATCGTAATCAATTGCATGCCAAGTGGCGTTTCACCCATGTAAGTGAGATCCATCCAAGCCTGTCGACGTCAGCAGTCGGCGTGGCCAACCTCCGACCACCGATGGTAATCAGCGAAATTTGAGCACTTTAAACGAAAAAAAGCGATGAAACACGAATCCCTTTCTGGCTTTCGTGGACTGATTCTCCACGCGTTTCCGGTATTTCACGGCGGCTGAGGCCGTGTCCCGGGTTCGTGGCCACATTTTCGGTCCCGGACATTTGGCACTTGTCCGGAATACCGGGGATCTGACGATGTCAGCCGAAGCAACCAAGTAAATAAATACAGAGAAAAATCCCGACTGTCGCATCTTTAAAGATCAATTTACTTATAAGAATATTAAACATGTCTTTTCCTGTTGCTCTACGATCTGCCCGTCCCGCGCCCGTCATGGCCACTCTGGCCGCGGGTGGCATTGGGGCTGGAATCCTTGCCAAACTCTTGTTTGGGAATGCTTCCGCTGAATCTGATGCTCCGACAAAGATTTTCAAGGGTGGTCCTGCTTTTGTTTCGTTGCCGCTTGAGAGTGCTGAGCTGGTCAATCACAACACGAAGCGATTGCGCTTCAAGCTTCCCCAGGAGCATGCTGTTAGCGGACTTCCTTTAACTTGTAAGCATGGTGTTTGTAATACTCAGTGGGTGTTTGCTAACATTTTGTAGCTGCCTTGTTGACGCTATCGTGGCCCAAAGGACAATGGGTGCCCGTTCCTCGACCCTACACCCCGGTCTCTGCCTCAGGTAAATGAACTCGTCGCCCTAAACAGCCCAACTTGCTGACCCCCAACAGATGAGCCTGGATACCTAGAACTTCTAGTAAAGAAGTACCCCAATGGCAGGGCCAGCAGCCACCTTCACTCCCTCAACCCAGGAGACAAGCTACTCTTTGCCGCTGCCATCAAGGGTTACAGCTGGAAGCCCAACAGCTACTCCCACATCACCCTCATCGCCGGTGGTGCTGGAATCACACCGATCTACCAACTGGCGCAAGGAATTCTGAAGAACCCTAACGACAAAACTTCGATGACGCTGGTGTTTGGTGTCAACAGCGACGAGGACGTTCTACTCAAGCAAGAGTTTGAGCAGTTCTCGAAGGAATATCCTGATCGGTTCAAGGCCATCTACACTGTTAGCCACCCCAAGGATGGATCACCCTTCCGAAAAGGCTATGTGACGAAGGAGCTTCTCAAGGAGATTGTGCCTTCGCCTACGCAACAGGAGACCAAGGTCTTTGTTTGTGGTCCCCCAGCTATGGAGGACTCTCTTGTTGGGAAATGGAACTCGCCTGGAATCTTGAGCCAAGTGGGTTTCAGAAAAGACCAAATTCACAAATTTTAAAGGAGGGTGTGCATAGGGTGAAATTAATGCAAGGGCAATGTTTCTAGAATATATATACCACTCTTACTCTTATTTCTCAATAAGGTCTCCGTCATATACAAGATCATAGAACACTCTAATGACCCCTATGATAGCATCAAAACCTAATGCTATGAAACACCGTAACTATATATACCACTTGTCTAGGAGGAGCCCCAAGTAGACCAAATTTATTTGTTATACTATATCCTCCTCGGACATGGCTTTGAGTGACCGCTACTTGTCGTTTCCGGCGGCGACAAAAGCTACCAGGACAGCCGCACATGCAGCAGTTGCGAGAATGATATCTGTTCGTCTCCCATCCGTCATAAGAGCCAGACTCGCTGCGAATACACTGGTAAAGACGGCGATCATTGCTAGTCGAAGCGCCTCATTTTTGATGAGGTATAGGGCCACGACGGCCGCTTCAATTAACAGGGAAGCCGCAATGACTGTGACAACGGTAACTAGGCGTGAAACATGTCTTTCTGAGTAGTACTTTATTCTCCCGGTAGCGTCGTGCCTTGACCCCTTCAAAAGCGTTAGTATATCCATTAGAACCGCCTGATAAGAAGGGAGTAAAAAGAAACACCACTTACAGAAAGGTAGGTCCCTGCTAGGTTTCTAAGGGATCTACTCAAGGCATCATCGCCAATGGCTGGACTAAGGGCGATGAAGTCGTCTTGATCTTGCAGGAGACGACTGCCATAGCCTACAAATGGAGTCTCGGATTGAAACCACTCTTTAAAGACTTTATAGACACGATCTTCCGGCTTGGGAAGTTTCATGATTTCTCTCCGGAGTAATAGAGCCTCGTCTGACAAACACAATGATTAGTCGAATTGTCTCAAGTATCAGATAAGATAGGTAGACACTAACAGTACTCCTTAGTCAAGGTCCTTATGCGAGATATTACTTCCATTCGTTCGGCTTCTCTTGGTTGTTCCTGTGCTCTTGCAGAAAATACTTCCCAACACTTTGACAAGAGCATGACATCCAGGTCCGCCTTTTGGGCATCATCTTGGTCGAATTCCTTCAACTGGTTCTCGAGCTCCAGCAATTCAGATTGCAAGTACAGAAGATTTCTAGAACTCAATTGTTGGAAGCCTCTGAAGATGGAAAGCTCTGGATCTGAGGCAAGGAAGCTCGCGAAAGTCGCGTAGCCGGAAAACGGCGAATCTGCTTCTGTCATGGGTTGTGCTGTGCTTGGAGATCTGGGTACCTATGTTACTAATGATGCTTGTTTCTTCGGATTGTCTTTTTCTTGTCGACTTATGCTATAGTGGGAGGGAAAATGAGAAATCACGGAAAGCAGGCCGGCAAAGTCTCGGCTCACTTGGGTACTCTTCAGCCCAACCTGGTTGTGCCTTGGGTTGAAAATGTGCCTTTTCCAACCTCGTACAGGCACTGCCGCATTCGACAGTCTCGCACTCACCAATCATCACTCACGAAGATCGCCTGAGGTAGGAAAATGAGGCGGACGCCAAAGAGGGCGTATTAGGTAGGCTAACTATGACCCTCTATATAAATGCCCAAGACTTGATTTTCAGTTGATCGCAATGACTTGCTCAACTTTCGACCACATTCTTACTCAGTCACCATACTCCAGACCTAACATTCCAATGACTCTGCGACAGTAGAAAAGACTCTGATCAAGGTTGATCTCTTGACTGTTAGAGGGTTCATCTCACTTCTTTAACCTTGGATCGGTCTATCCACTATGAGGACCTCGTCGGCTGCCGTCCCTGGACCGACAGGCCGGCGAATGGGACACAATAGGCAGTCTTTTTGTGTTTCGAAGGCTTCACGTCGGCCAGCCCGTTCGACCGGATCTCGACGGCTTGATCAATCAGTTGACGTCAAAGTGGAACTTGAACGCCGCGCAGCTGCTGAACGAAAGGCTAGGCGCAAGACATACGGCATCGAGAGCGAAGAGCGTGTGGATGTAGAGGAAGAGAGGGAACAATTCAAGGACGAAACCCCCCGTCCAGACGGTCTCCCGCATACCGACAGCGGTGAAGGAGTAGACAAGGGTTTCAGAAACACAGGAGGCTCAACCGACATAACCGACCCGATCATCGACGTCAGCACAACAGCTGATGAGAATTCGAACACCGACCACGATTCAGCCCTTTCCACCAGCTTGGGAGGCAATGCTGTTGGAGAAGCTGATGACAGCCCAGGAGTATGCAGCCCTGTCACTGATGAGACTCCAAGCAGAGATGTGAAGTCAGAGAGGAAGCTAAAGGCCGCGTGGTGCGAGTTAAAAGGCCGAATGAGGAAGCCTTTTAGAAGCCGTTCGTGATATTCTCAGGTTCAAGTTAATAGAGACTGCCTATCGTAACTTGGACATGTTTGGCTCCGGGGCTTGGGCCATTCGCTCGCTCTCACAGTGAAAGACATGTTGGTGGAAATTAGCGCATTGAATTTATGGTAAATTAAATAGCTCCAGCATCTGGATTTACTCAAAGCTCTTCCGAATTTCCACTGTGCTAGCATTGGGGTGTGATGCTACGATGTGTTGATATTGTGTCTTTTGATATAGTTGAAGCTCGGCCCTTGATAGGATATCTGAGCCAAAAGACCGTTACTGATGGTGCTAGTTTCTTCATATCTTGTCTACTTGTTATCGAACTATGTTCATTGCCCCCTGGCTGTAATCTTCCCTTGTCCAATCTCATATTTAACCACTGTGTGCTCAAAGTGCTTTGCCAGATCATCCGCAGTCTTGAGCCCATCCGCGCTATGCGTCGCCGGTGCATGGAATGCATTAGCTGTCTCCAGAGGACTCATAGTCACAGGTCGACCGAGACGCCAGAAGCCGTGATATAGAAACATGACGGCCAGGGCGCCCGCAAAGGTAGTAGCCAGCGACGCAGCAAGAAATTCCTTATTGATAGCGTACTTGGTTGTGGTGCGCATCTGTGACCCCTGGACTGTCTGCTTAAAGGTCGAGTTGGAGAAGGATATAGCTGTACGGAAGGCCAGCTCACGGACGGTTTCGAGGATGGGTGGTGTCGGATCAGACCAAGTCATGTTCGTTGTTCCCATCTCAGCGTCGGTCGAGTTCATGTAAGTATAGCCCATGGGTCCGTCACCTTGCAGGGCCAAGATGCCCGTAAAGTAAAGAGTCACGTTGCTTCTGAACATGGAGGAAAGGGCGAATGCAAAGCCTCCGAGTAACGACGGCCATGTTCCCAAACCTGAAGTCTCCATGTAGGGATACATTAGCTTCTCGGTCCGATTGACTATCCCATCCACGGTTCGACTGGACCCTCGGAGTGTGACAGTGCCATTGGCGTAGCTGAAAGGATATCGGACTATTGCGCTGTGTAGGCTACAGGTTGTCACAGTGAGGTCTCCTTTGTCGCCGATCGCTCCCTTGTAAGTAGTGTTGAGATGCAACATTGTTGGTTCGTAGAGGCCGTTGTCGGAAATTTGAATGCCGCCAACCACCCACGTATCGCCAGGCGTTTTATCAATGTAATAGCTTTCACTGCTGCGAGTGCAGTCGATATCGAAGCCTGCGCCGACGAGAACACCCGAGCAAGCGCCTTCACAGCCCTCAAGATCGAGTTTGATAGGATCCCGGTTGGTGTAGGAGCGTAAGACACGTGAGAAGTTTGTTGTCAGTGTATTGAGGGTCTTTGCCCGGGTCATGTAGAGTCCTGTTGGCCGACTAAACTGGCCTGTCGAAAGAGCAGCATGAAATGTTGCCGGCTGCGTGCGAGTGTCAGGGACGATGAGGGCTGCTCGTTGAACCAGAGGTCCATTGGCAACGGTGACTGCCATCACAATCGACACGAGCGTGATCTTGCTGGCATTTAGGCGCAACAGTCCCAGGAGTGACTGAAAGGCACTCGAACCGTGTTCCCAATAGCGATGGCTTTCTGCGAGCGTCGCGCCTTGAGACATTTTGATCCACCAGGTGAGTGCTGTGCCTTCATGGTAAGCGATACCAAGTCCGATGTTGGCGATGGCGATAAGGACGGCGAGTGCCACCGCAAGTTGGATTGGTCTGTCTTGAGTCGGCCATGAATCAACCTCCTTTCCACTGGCCGAAGACAAAGCGGCGATGATGCCTGCAGCAGAGATGATGGCCACGACGATCCCAGCAAGGCCGGACCATGGAATACTCTTGAAGAAGCTAGGCTTCCGGTGTTGATTTAAGAGTTGAGACGGTTGAGGAGGGATAAGTTGGTAGGTTGACTCGAAGCCGTACTTGTTGCCTAAGGTTTGCTGCATCTCGTAGCTGTTGCTTGGGTATTCATGATGAGGCCAATTCAAGAGATTTTGATTAGACATGGTGTTGATACGGAGGGTTCCACCGTGGGCCTTGATTACTGCAGGGTTCAGACAAGACAGGATGACAAGGAAGAAGAACCATAACAGAGCCGCGTTATGATCCTCGGTAAAAGGCACGTCGAGAGCGTGCGGGGTACTGCAGTTGTCCTCAGGGAAGAGAAAAGAGACGATATGGAGAGCCAATCGACCTCGTGCACAAGGCTGTCGTGCATATTGGTCACGAGTTTGTAATCAGCCAGCTGAAAGAGGTTTACTTCGTCTCGCGCTTTATCTCTTATCTTACCTTGCAGCTGAGCCCGAATCTCTTAGACTGCGCAAAGGTATTATTTGCTTTTTATTTCACAGGCTCGGGAGGTAATGGTGCTGGAGAGCCTGGTGAGAGCCCGGTGAAAGCCTGGTAAGACGCAGCGCTATTACCGATCAGGCTCCGAGTAAAGACACAATGCTAGCGGTCGAACGGAAGACGGCGTGGCGCTTGGTAAAAGGCCGAGGTAGGAGAGTTTTCAGAAGTCGTTCGCCTGCTTATAATTGAAGTTTGTAGAGTGTATTTGAACTTGGAGATGCTTCTTTCTGCGGCCTCTGCTTGATAATTAAATACCTATCTAATCTTACCTTCATAGTCTTCATTGGTTAGTACATTTAAATAAGAAGTACAGCTTAATAACTCTCTGCGTTGTCAGCTTCAATATCAAGACTGAAGCCCATCATCTTTAATCGAATGTCTTTGAGCCCAGCCGTTCGCTTGCCCAAGGAGCTTAAAAAATATGACTAAATAGTACGTTGAGGTTTCATCACAAATCGAGTAGCCCCAGGCTCTGAATTAGCTACCGAAGCCTTCCAGCGTGATTTTTCAAAGACTTCATGAAAGTTGATGCTTCTCATCGGTATACTAACTAACACCTCATCTCTCCCACCCTGTGGAAGGAACCCATGTTTAGCAAAAGTCTTGATAGTCAAAATCCCAAACTGGTCACTGTAGGACTGTCAACCTAATGATGGAGATTTCATATGTTACAATCAAGTGAAACACCGTCATTAGGCCGTGCGTGGTGCTGATATGGCAAAGACGCGCATGAGCCGGCTCCAGGACTCGATATACGCAACTATTTTAGAGAGAACTTTTGTCTCTCGAAAAGGTGGAAAGGACCGCTAGCATCTATTCTGAGGGGTCAAATCCCGACAATCAAGATTGAAGCCTGCGGCATGTGTTGTCGTCTTACATACTGACGCGTGTCGAGTTATTCACCCTCATCCTTCAGAGACAACAAATATTGACGTCACCTGCAATACATCGCAGTTAAATATAGTTCAATTACAAAGATCTATAGTCCAGGATCTTTATTGAAGGATCCGACATGCTGGCAGATTCAGTTGCTCAGGTGGAAAGCGAGGCGAGGTGAATTAACAGACGAACCAGAGAAAAAGAGATTTACAACGCTGCGTACGCTTTCTAGCCTGGTCGGAATAAAGCCATCGGCATGTAACGCTGATCGGAGAATATGCGAATAGTAAGCGCAGCGTCCGCTTACTGAGACAATCTCAGTAGCTAAGCTGAGTTGAGACTACCCTGTCATGAGGGCAGCCATGGCGTTGATCCTGTGATCCCCGCTGACCGCAATCTTCCTCTCGCAAAGCATTCGGCGAGCGGGGAAAGACAAGATGCTTTCCTAGAATGGTGGTTATGGGCCGACAGCCCGATCTGCCGGCGAGGGACCGGGGCGTCATGCTGTGCCCCGATGATGTGTGTGTAGTCCAATCGAGTTTTTCAGCTCCGCCACTTTGAGCTGTAGCTCTGAGACTAGTGAGATGGATAGATGCAGAGGATGGGAATGCCGAAGTTTTTCAGAAATATCATTCGCGCAAGTTTAGTAATGGTAATGCCTTTGTTGCACCGATGAGGCCTCTGTGTCGGCTCTTCCATGTACCCATCGAGCTTGGAATCCCTGCCTGAACCTGAATGGCAATTGACAATTCGGAACCCGTGTTGATCTACTGTGGGCTTTGTGGTTATATGGGGACGGTCAGATTACGAGCTTAGTGAGAATGCACATACAATCCCATGCTGCGCTCCGGCTTTGTGAAGAGCATTGACGCAACTCTGGGATATCCCGGCCGTCAACTACCGAGCACATCGAAGCTTTCCATCCCAGCCCAGCTTCATCCATCTTGTGTAGAATTGGACAGTGAAAAAGCCACTGGAAAGGTCCAGATTCCCAAAAGATCCGGCACAATGCTTCCCCGAGGACTAGTTCCGAACGCCGTAGGGCTGGGGGCCAAGAAGGCGCAGCTGTTTGGCTTAGCCTTGAAGCCTTAAGCTTAAAGCTGGAGCTAGGGCGAGCTCTTGTGCTGTGGAGGCGGTGCGGACGCTATTCTTAGTGGATTGGCGTTGACGGCTGACATGGTGTAAGCGGGCATCCTGGGCGTTTTTGCACCACCATAGCCTCCTCCGTTAGCAGGCGGGCGGAGGCATCGTGGGTCTGGACTTGGGAATAGTGGTTGTCTGCTTGAGATGTGTGAGAGATCGAGATGTATAAGAAGATTGCCGTCCCTCCAAGATATTCGGACCTTTCCTTCTCATCATCACAACAGCATCAATCCAAAGCCACAAAAACCAATTTCTCTTTTTTCTCTTTTTCCTTATTTCCTTATTTCCTTTGTAGGGTCTTCTCTCTATTTCCTTACGACTCTCACTTATCAACCACATTCTCCCGTTGCTTGATAATAACAAATTCTTCTTTCGCTCCTCATACCAAAAAGACAAAAACACATATCCAACATCAAAATGCAGTCCGTCTTTGTCGCCCTTTTTGCCATTGCCGGCATCGCCAGTGCTGGACCAGCCGTTGAGAAACGAGCTGAGTGCCCTGGCACCGGAGCCTACTACGTCTGTGGTAACAACAACTTCCGCGGGTATTGCAGTGTCGACCCTTGCGCTATTCCTTGGTGTCCCGACTTTAAGCTGAAGACTTGTGAGCCTGCTACCACCGAGAAGCCGGCCGGTGAGAGCCCCACTACCACCGTCATCTCCGAGCCGGCTCCCACCGCCGAGGTCAAGAACCCCGGCGCTTTCCCTCCCGGTGATGTCTGCCCCCCCGGCCTGGGCCGTCTCCAGGTCTGCGCCAACAACGGCTTCCGCGGCTGCTGCAAGGCCGAGGCTTGTGGCGTCGCATGGTGCCCCGACTACAAGCCCGGCACCTATGAGCCCGTCAAGACCATGAAGCTCAAGGTCCGACAGTCTGATCCCACCGTCTGCGCCCCCGGCACTGGCTTCTTCCAATCGTGCTCCAACGGCTTCCGGGGTTGCTGCAAGACTGATGCGTGCGCCGGCAAGGCTCCCGTCTGCCCTTCTGCGCAGGTCAAGGCCCGTCAGTCCGATCCTACCGTCTGCGCCCCTGGTACTGGCTTTTTCCAGTCTTGCTCTAACGGCTTCCGCGGCTGCTGCAAGGCTGATGCTTGTGCCGGCAAGGCTCCTGTCTGCCCTCAGTCTGTGAACGTCAAGGCTCGCCAGTCTGACCCTACTGTCTGTGCCCCCGGAACCGGTTTCTTCCAGTCTTGTTCCAACGGTTTCCGTGGCTGCTGCAAGGCCGACGCCTGTGCTGGAAAGGCTCCCGTCTGCCCTCAGCCCAAGATCAAGGCTCGCCAGTCCGACCCTACTGTGTGCGCCCCTGGTACCGGCTTTTTCCAGTCGTGCTCTAACGGTTTCCGCGGCTGCTGCAAGGCTGATGCTTGTGCCGGCAAGGCTCCTGTCTGCCCTCAGTCTGTGAACGTCAAGGCTCGCCAGTCTGATCCCACCGTCTGTGCTCCCGGCACCGGTTTCTTCCAGTCTTGTTCCAACGGCTTCCGGGGCTGCTGCAAGAAGGACGCTTGCGCCGGCAAGGCCCCCATCTGCCCCCAGTAAGGTGGCATCTCAAACTTGAACGACATAGAGGTTCGGCATCATCGGTTTTAGAAGGATAGACTTGGGATTGCATGGATATTATGAGGGCATTTTGTACATACTTTTGCATTCATTTGGGAGTTATTTTTTTCGGGATTCATGTGGTTTTGACACCTCAAAAGGCTTTGGGTAGCGTTTTAACTGTATATATGTCAAAAACTAACTAATACATTCCTTCAAATAACTCAAGAGTCTCATGAAGTGTCCATTGTCTACTCCTCGTGTACTTCTCTCTTTTCTGTCTAGTTAAGCTTCTCTTGGATTCACCTGACTCTGCTCGGAGTAATTCCTTCCATCCAGTGGAGGCTACAGCACTAAGTGGTCTGGTGACAGTGGGTGTGGAGACGTAATTACTCCGGCCAGCAACTGAAACTCCGAAAAGCCCCGCGGAGAATTTCACCTCCTTCACCATCACTTCCATCCACTTCCCCCACAGAATGCGACTCCGACAGGCCGGTCGACAGGCCAGACAAGGGCTGGTCAGTCAAGCGTGTGAGCTATGCAGGCGACGCAAGGTCAAATGCGATGCTGATAGGCCAGAGTGTGGGAACTGTCGCGCATTGAAGCTACCATGCGAGTACAGCGCTCAGAGGAAGAAGCGTGGACCAAAGCCAAGGAGTTTATCGACTATCGAGACCAGGGACGATGGCGAACAGGCACAATCTTCAACAATTATCTTATCTCCATCTATGCCTCAGGTTCCCGTGCCCGTCATTGGCTCTTCACCACTATCGTCAGCCGTGACGCCAACCACCATTGCGTACTCCCCCCAAACTGATGCTGGCTCACCATGCATTGCATTGGCACCTCGAAAGGAGAGTCCAGCCGGAAAAGTTCATCAAACTCTCACGAGCACCTTGGAGGCTCTTGCACAATCTCCAGAGCACATAATCGAGGAGTGTATCGACATAAACATGTTGTTGCGTTTCCCTACCATTCCGGTTATCCAACCAGATGCGATCAGGCGAGAGAGTCATCTGCTGTTACCAACTTCACGACATCTATTTGATGCTATCACCAACTCCAACCAAATATCCTCATCACAGGGCAGTCTCATGCGAACCTTTGCTCACTTAACAACGGTCTTCGCCTGCGTCTGTTGCCGGATGCCCAAAAACTCGAACCTGAATGGCCGTGAAGCCTTAATCACCGCCTTTCTTGAAGCAACTCGCGGAATGATGGCATGCTGTGAGGATTGGGACGTTAGTCATGCCAATTCGACATCCCTTGTGATCCGCATGTACCAGTCAGCGGCACAACATCACTTGGGCAAGACACGCGCATCATGGCTCATGATGGGCCAAGCTATTCGCCTGGCTCTAGATATGCGTCTATATGATGAAGTGTCACACCAGGACCTCGATCCTTTGGAGGATAAGTTGCGGCGGAATGTCTACGGCTTGCTCTGTGTGGGTGACATGTCGGCTTCGATTCTGAACAATAGGCCCTTGGCGTTTCATGAGATATGCCTTGATGAGACTTACACGCCTGTTGAGGTTTACAGCGATTTCAGTTTGTTGTCTTCCGAAAGCGGTCTTTTTGAGCCTCCATATGAGCAGCGGTTTCATCAAGGCTTTTATCTCTGCCACGACCTCTGGAAGGCAGCAACAAATATCCTGCTCGATATGAAACTTCTCACCCAGACACTCACCTCTTCCGGGTTTCAACTTTGCTCCCAGGATCCCAGTCAGCAGCGGATCATGCAGTCATACATGTCTTTTTGTGGTCTTCTCGATTCGCTCCCGGCTTGGCTCCGCGATCCTGAGAGACATATTGCTGGCAACGAAATAGCCACGGCTTTTCAGCAACGGACCTTTTGGTACCAAAGGGCAGACCTTGTGGTGACCTTTCATTGCCTCCGGCTTGTTATTCTCCAACGTGCTGCGCAGAAAGGCTTCTGTGCACTTCTTGGGTTGACCAATGATCTGGACATGCTTGCTCTTCGCAAGATCGAGATCGCCAGTGACCTGGTCTCAGTTGTGGAAGGAATTCCATTCGATGCGCTGCAAGTGAACGGAGAGCCATTGGTAATTATCGTCACAACTCTTGTGACTGTAACATGGCTGACGTTGACAGGTTGAGAAACTCCGCCAGATCGGGGTCAGCCTCTTGGAAATTGCACACCAGAACGAGAACACTGCTATTTCTGGGCGAGCCCAATCACTCTTGTCGCCAATAATCGATACAATCGCGCGGCTAGACTCTCGAGTATCAGATGAGCTGAGCGCGTACCCGGGCTTGGCATGACTGACATCAAGCCGAGTCCTATTTGTCCGCGGAGAATTCCACCCCCTCACACCATCACTCCACGATCCACCTCTAATGAACCAAGGGGGATCCGGCGGGAAAATGAGAAGTGGACCATTGAAACCCATGCTCCTGACCATGGTTCTTAGCTGCATGCTATAAACGCGACATCTCAGTGCTCTCGTTCTTGCCTGGTTACACCTCATTCGAAATCCAGTCTCCGTCACACAGTCACAATGAAGCTAGTCGAGTATCGCAACCCTATCGTGCCAGGGTTCTCACCAGACCCATCTGTTGTTTTTGTTGATGGCGTCTTTTATCTTGCCAATTCGTCCTTCCACGTCTTCCCGGGAATTCCTATCTACGCATCGCGAGACCTAAAGACATGGACACATATTGGTCAGTACTAGAAGAGAACAGAGTAGTTGTGAAATTCTAATGGTCTCCTAGGCAATGCTATCAACCGGCCAGAACAGCTCAGCCTTGATGGAGCTAGCACGGCCAAGATGCCCCTTGACACTGGACATTTCATGTATGCGTCAGGGGGCCTCTTTGCCCCAACAATTCGTTATCACCAAGGAAAATTCTACGTTATCTGCACCAACTTCCCGGCGTTTGGACCGTCTGCAAAGGCACAGAACTTCATCATCACCTGCACAGATATCTGGGCTGGCAACTGGAGTGACCCAGTCTACATCCCTTTCTATGGCATCGACCCAAGTCTTTACTTCGAGGATGACGGCCGTGTTTACTTTCAAGGATGCTATTCCGTTGGTAACCGAATGAAGCAGCCCACCTGCACCATCAAACAGTTTGAGATTGACGTCGAAACTGGAAAGCAGCTCTCAGAAGAGCGGGAGATTTGGGGAGGCCATGCAAAATACGACACTGAAGGGCCGCATATCTACAAGATTGGCAAGTGGTACTATTTGCTGGTAGCAGAGGGTGGAACATTTGAACATCACATGCTTTCAATTGGCAGGTCCGAAAGCATCTGGGGGCCGTACGAGGATTACGCACAAAACCCCATCATGACCGCAGATGGCAAAGATGAGTACATTCAAAATCTGGGCCATGGCGAACTATTCCAGGACGGCGAGGGTCGGTGGTGGGTGAGTGGGCTGGGCGTCCGGAACGAGAACGAAGGCGAGCCCCTTGGTAAGGACAACTTTGTGGCACCTCTTGGAAGAGAGAGCTTCCTGGCTCCTGTCGAGTGGCCTGAAGGGGGCTGGCCAAAGATCACCCAGCCCACCATAAAGTTCCTGGCAAAACCTGTCAAGGTTCCGGAGGGACTTGCAGAAATTGTTGCTCCCCGCAACGTGAGCAACCTTTATATCCGAACGCCCGACCTTTCCAAGTACCGAATTCCCGAGGATGATGTCAGCCCCTGGGTTCTATACCCCAGCCGCACCAATCTCTCGACCCCATCCGGCACCTCGACGTTTGTTGGTCGAAGACAAATGTCTTTGAACTCTGTTTCAACTGCGACTCTTGATATCTCGAAGCTGGAAAAGGGGGTTGAAGCAGGATTGACTGTGTACAAGGATCACCCTCGACACGTCTCTATCATTTACAACTCGGATTCTCGAAAGATCGCATGTCGGGCTGTAAGCATGGATATCGACAACGTGTTGCTTGGTGAGACCTCTGTCAACTCCGAGGTTTCCCAGGTGCAGTTTCAGATCGTTGCAGACCCCAAGAAGTGGACTTTCTTTGCTCGGGGTGGTGAGCAAGAGTGGACTCAGGTTGGAACTCTGGAGGCTTGGAAGTTTGTTGCTCGGGAGATGACTGGTCCCATCTTTGGTATCTTTGCTCATGATTTGAGTGAGCAGGCTGAACCGGCAGGTGTTTCTTTTAAGGAGTTTACTGTGGACGATAATCGAGAGTAGAGAAGGGTAGAAGAGAACCAGCAATGGTAATGAAGTCGAGGGGACTGATGGGGAGAGCTCGGTGGTTACAATCGATTAACCCTCCATATATAACTAAAAAAGGTTCCTTATCCCATTTTGGTAACCAGGATGATGTATAGTATCATAAATGGGTCAACAGGTCCCATTAACGTCGACTTCGAGGCAAATCCCATTATAAGTCGAGACCTCCGCTGCTTGCGCCGTGTTCCTTGCCACATTGACAGTCACTTGATATACCAACCAGTAGAGACAACAATCCAATGTCACAAAAATACGAGGAATCATGGTCATCTGCCAATTATGTGTTTCACGTATGCGGTCTCGAGTCAGACTTGCCCACAAACCAATGGCGCGAGTCGCATTAGAACTCCATAACGGGTCGCTGGCCCGAGGGCGAAAATAACAATCTCCATGTCGGCTCACTGGCCCGGACGGCGCCATGATTAATCATACAGGGGTATGCCAATAGTTTGAGGAGACTTATCTATACATTTAAGAACTCTAGAGGCCTCTGTAAGTGGAAATTCGTGACACCGAACTTCCTAATACGGTTTGATCCTTATCGACACTTTACCACTGAGTTATGAGATGGGTAACTCGAGCTATGTCCTCGCTTCACCCATCCATCTTTTCGAAGAACCTGTCGACGAGCGTCTTGAAAGCCATGGAAAAGGTTTGTTTCTTTAGTCTCGGAGAAGATGCACGTTGTTGATCTGCTGGTAGTTTGGTTCCACGAAGGCGATCTATCACCATGATGAGAATAAGAACACAAATAACGCAACTGTTCTAGCTAGTATTCCATTCACCAGCGAGGACGAAGCCATTAAACAGATATTCAAAGGAGCTTCAGATAATAGCCATCTTATTATTACTAATTCTACCATCTTCTATGCCAAAGGGGGAGGCCAACCGAGCGATATTAGAACAATAAGCTCTCCAGAGCAGGCATTAATTTTCATAGTAAATTCTATCTAAAAGCTTCCTTCTAATACTATCATCCATTTTAGGACCTATTCCGGCGACCCTTTTACGAACCAGGCCTCGTTGACTCAGGAGATTAACAAAGACGCGCATATCTTACATTCGCGGATCCACGACGGCGGCCATATCCTTACTTCTGCAATACGAAGACTAGGGATTCTAGGCTTGCGGGAGATCAAAGCCCAACATTACCCCGGTATTACATTTATTGAGTTTCAGGGAATAATCCCCAGCGAAAAGAAAGAAGAGATTAAGCGGATCGCGAAGGAGATAGTAGACGCCGACCGCTCGATTATCGTGCATTAGTGGTCTAGAGATGAGCTGAAAGAAAAGTCATGGATGATGCCAGAGGGTGATGATGGTAATAATAAAATCGTCAGAGCTGTGGAGATTGAGGGCGAGGGTGCTTACATGTGTGGTGGGACTCATGTTCAGAGTACAGCTGCAGTTGGGAAGATTCGGGTGCGGAAGCTGAAGAGGCAACAAGGAGTAACGAGGGTTTCCTATGAGATGGCATCATAGACCAAGTTAAAAAGACTCATTCTTAACTAACTGACAACTGCTGGCACTGCAAAGAAATGGTGAGATAATGTTTATCTCGGTTCTGGCTTTGAGATGTCTTTCTTGAGCAATACAAGTCTAACCTAAAAATGGTCTATGTTTTACTCTATACTTTACAGTCTATAGGCAAACGCCTCTACTTGCTCCTCCGTAGTCGCCCAAGAAGTGACAAGACGAACCATGGTGTGCTCATCGTCCATCTTCTCCCAGATATAGAACTGAAACTGTTCTTGCAAGGTTGACAGCAGAGAATTTGGCAATATTGCAAATACCTGGTTTGTCTCCGTCTCGGCAGCCAACTTGTATCCTGCATCCTGTATCCTTGAGGAAAGAAGCTGCGCCATCTCGTTGGTGTGCTGCGCAAGGTCGAAGAAGAGGTTGGTGCTGAACATCTCGAGGAACTGGACGCCCAATGTTCGACCTTTGGCTAAAAGTCCTCCACGCTGCTTTACATGGAAGGAAAAGTCCTCAGCGAGGAGTGGGTTGCTGATGATGATGGCTTCACCCAGTAGCATGCCTACTTTTGTTCCACCGATCCAGAAGATATCTGTTAACTGAACAAGATCCGGCAACGTCAGATCGTTTTTGGGGGCTGATAATGCCGCTCCGAGACGAGCGCCGTCGAGGTAAAGCAAGAGGCCGCGTTGCTTACATAGGTCGGAGATGGCGCTCAGTTCGGCCTTTGTGTAGAGGGTTCCCATCTCCGTCGCGTTGGAGACATAGACAAGCCGGGGCTTTGCCATGTGAGGGTAGTGGGCGTTGTTGGCTAAAGCATTGGAAATGCTCTCTGGAGTCACCTTCCCGTCGAGAGAGGGTACGGTAATAATCTTGTGTCCTATCGCCTCAGCCCGTCTCCCGCACCGTGATGTGACCAGTACTCGCCGCGATGACGGCCTCGTGTGGGCGCAGGCAGCTGCCGATGGCGACGATGTTGGCGAGGGTGCCACCTGCAAAGAAATGAACGGCAAGGGTAGAGTCGCCCGATTTCTCTCGGAGACAGTCCCTGGCCAAGTTGCAGTATTCATCATCACCGTAGGCTTTCTACTACGAGAGGTTCGTCTCTAATAATTTTCGTAAGATTCTGGGATGCGCCCCTTCGCTGTAGTCGTCTAAGAAGCTGGTCTGGAACATGTTCAATGGCGTAGATGATGTCGATTCGTGTAAGAGACGACTCAAAACATCCAGTAGCAGAATCCGAGGAGGCGACGGGAAGGAGTTCAATGTCGGGAATATTCGAGACTTGGCAGAATTGACTTTGCAGAAAATCGACGAATAAGGAGTTTATGAAATGGCCCAGGGGCTACGGTTCTGGAAGAAAAAGAAGTTGCACCGGGGAACTCCGAGGCTGATAGCTTGCGTGGAAGGATTTTGTCAATTTCCCGAATCATTATATCCTCGACGCCCTTCGTTCAACATGTCAAGTAAGGAGGCAACTTGCCAATTTCGCCCTCGGAGTGCTCCGAGTAAAGCCTTTCTCGCCGTGCATGACTCGGGAACGCTCCCGACTCCCGTAGAACGCACGTTCTTGGAACGCGAGGCGATTGATAATTGGCCGAAAGAAGTCTCTGGAGTAATCTATGTCCTTTTAGTGGATATCTCTTTGTTCATTGCTCCAGCCAGCCAGGATCGGTTTTGTTCGTTCACTCGTCTAACGACGAGTCCATTATCTCAGAGACCAACTCATACTAGCCGTACGAAATGAGCTCGAAAGACCTGCTGCGTTGTAGGGTTGTATAGGTTCTGGAACCCGGTCCCCGCGGACTCCTAGCTCCGTGCATGGTACGGCACCCCTTGAGAAGGATGCTTGCGAGGTTTGCCAGGGGTTAACCCCTTAAGCGCTCCCCGCGGAGCCCGGACGGGTCTTAATCAACGTACCTAGTATTAATAGTCGAATGATTTATAAGAGGCTCTTTCTTTTGTATGTCACATCATAATCAAGAAAAACACAGGTTCAATGGCGGTCTCCTTCTCCAATACAGACAAGCTACGCTTGGCACTGCGATTATGCGGAGGTATGTTGCGGTTCTTGTGATTTCTGTCTCGATGTTAACCACCGTCATAGCACCATTTCAGATTTTTGCCTACATTTTGCGTGGCCTTGCCATTGCATCCGCTCGACAGCTCCCTCTCAGGCTATATGCCCTTTGTGCAGTCGCCAAGGCCCTCCCGGACGTTTTTGATGCTCGTGACACTCAGTATTTGTGTCCACCGACCAGGCAATTATATGAATCATGGATTCACAAGAAACTCTTGCACTCCCATAAAAAAGAGCACGCGGTCGTGGCTGGACGGTTGCGATGTGATGTTCAACCGCTGGCTGACGACCATTCCTCAATTCTCTGGTTCGGAGATCGTAGCAGGGCAAAGAAAGTGGTGCTGTTCTTCCATGGCGGAGGTTACAACACCCCTTTACTAAATGCATACATGGAGTTCCTTTGGAGAGCGTATATCAAAGCCGGAATTGAGGCCGACACCGAAGTTGCAGTCGCAATTCTTGAGTACTCGCTCTCTCCTGGCGTACAGTATCCCACTCAACTATGCCAGGCGAGTAATGCACTTGCGCATTTGCTGTCATCTGGGATTTCGCCACGGAACATCATTATTGGCGGAGATTCTGCTGGAGGTAACTTGACGGCGCAGTTGCTCTGTCACATGGCCTGGCCTCACCCTGAAGCTGTGCCCATCAAGCTATCCGAGCCTCTTGCCGGTGTGTTTCTCATCTCTCCATGGCTCAGCACACGTACAACCGATAGATCCTTTGCGGAAAACGGGTCGATTGATATGGTTTCGGCTCCTTATGTACGTCTTGTCACGGCCGAGGTTCTGGGACCTGACTGGGAGGAGGAGCCGAGTGACCGTTTCAGCCATGCCTTCCCACTGGACACGCAACACCCTTGGATGGATAGGCTATCCGCACTGACAAACAAGATGTATCTGTCAGTAGGATACCACGAGGTGCTTCGAGATCAATGTGTCGAGTTTGTGGACAAGGTACGAGAAGCCAACCCGAACATGGAGCTTCAATTTGATCTTCAAGAAAAGATGGCGCATGACTTTGTACTCCTGGAGGCCGAAGAGAAGCGCGACGGGGAGTGTATTGAAGCCATGAAGAAGTGGGTGAAGAGCATGTTGATAGCACATTAAAGAGGGTTGCATGAGTAGAAACCATTATAGAATTGGGTTGAGGAATATGAGTGACAGGCTGTGTCCTGTTGCTGCAAACAGATGAAACATCTCATACATCCCGAGCTAAGTATTCTCCACCTTCTATCCTCTGACAGAGCTTTTTCAGAACCATACCGCCGTACTTGAAATCATCCAGATCCAGATAGACGGTAGCGGAAAACCTTGCCCACAGCGCACCTGAAAAGTACAAGACGTTGATAAAGGTGTGGTAATCCTCGGTAAATTTCCTAAACATGAAATTGATGGAAACGCCAATATCCTTGGACGGTATACCTTTCACTGAAGTAGCATGATTCTGAACTGTCAGGGGCAGACGAACGTTGGCAAACCCGACATATTTCCCAGTAGGAACCGACAAGGTTTCTGTACCCAGTATCTCAGCAACGGCGTGTCCTCCAGCACGGGCTAGATCGACGCAGTACTCCCTCATGGCTTCTTCACCTCCGCAGACCCTACTTCGAAACTCGAGAGCTGCTGGGATGCATAGCATTGGAGCCGTGTCAATCGTGCCGGTGTACTCAAACTGGGCCACAAACGCGTTTTGGGCATTGGATTGGTTGGGGTTGAAATGATTGTTGGCTCCCAGGGGCACGAAGCCGTGAGAGGTTGGCAAAGATGAACGCATCAGGTGTTGGTTTCGAGGTGCGACGTACAAGACTGCACATGCTCGGGGAATGAACAGCCACCTGAGGTGTGATTGTCAGCTTCAGGGCGTCAGGAAACTGTCGGAGACTCACTTGTGACAGTTTGTGACAAAGAAATCCGGATCTAGTTCTTTGAGGTTCAGATTGATGAAGCCAATGCCGTGTGCGCCGTCAATGACACTGAAGATACCATGTTGCCGGCAGATCTTGGTCAGTTGCTCGAACGGCATCCTCACGCCGGGCATACTCATGACGGTGTCAAATATGGCCACCTTGACCTTGTTGCCATGCTCCCTGATACTGTTTGTGAATTTTTCCAGCATCGACTGCTCAGTATCTCGAGTAGGGTCGAAATCAACCTCAAGGCTCGTAACCGGTGTCGTCTCCGTCAGATAATCCACCGTCTTGCCAATAGCCCCGTATACTCCTCTAAAGTAGACGATCTTATCTCCAGACCGGAACCTTAGGTTGCGGAGGACTGTGTTCAAACCCGTAGTCGCGTTCGGTACGAGGACAAGTCCCTCAACATCGGCGTTGATAAAGGAAGCAACTTGATGGCGAATCTCGTCGAGCTTCTTGGGGAAGGTGTATCGAATGAACTTGTCGGGTTCAGACTCGGCGGCATCTTGCCAGTGACGCAATGCATCTCTTACATGGCGAGGATAAGATCCGTAGGCTCCTGAAGAAAGGGGTTAGTCGTCTAAATACACAAGCCTTAGCTGAGTTGTTTTACCTTGATTGAGATTCACTTGCTCTTTTCCGAACAGAAAGTGCTTCTCCCGCATCTCCTTTCCAAACGAGGTCAAGGTCAAGTTGTCCATGATGAATCAAGAGGGGGCCAATGTCGACAGGACAGAGATTTGGTGGCAGTCTATGAACGATTTGAAGGACAGAGACCGAGAATTAGGACCTCAGCAAGGCACAAAGGTAGGAAAGCAGAGAGACTGTATAACTAGTAATTATCTAGGTTCATTGTACCGCCGACCAAAAAACACTGCTCTCTAAGAGCCATATGGGCCTCAGGTAGCTTATACCTTGACGGGACTCTCCGTCAGCCGGAGGACATCTGCACACCCTCCTCGATGACAAATTTCCCCGTAGGAAGGAGCTTGGTAGTTGGCTTTGGAGCTACGTGAAGCATGGAGACCAGAAGGTCGGACTTCAACAAGGTGCAAGGTAGGGAAGGCAGAAAGGGGGAGTTTAGTTGGTACACTCGTCAACCAAAGGGCGTATGGAGGCCCCCCTTGATGACAGATTTGACCCCAAGGGAGAGCTCAACAGCAGGCGTCTTGCAGCTGTATCGCCAAAAAGATACGGACGCGTCCGAAAGTAGCCAAGATGACAAATTGGACAGATAATGGATTGAGTCGGCTCATGGCACAGGGTGAAATTGACATGCTTTAACCGCTATCTTAGGGCGGGCGGCGTTGGCACAGACGCCCATGGAGGTCAAAATTTGTCATCACCATGTGGTCCCAGGCCTTTACAGCTATCCAGGGAGCGAAAGACAAAGCAATTCTGGCATCATGTCGGGCCAAAGGAAAGAAACGTATCACTTGATGTATCTGATGCCGGGATCTCCGCCCCCCCTTTTCCAGGTCTCATGCTCTGCGATGACCCGACCTGGCTTGCTTCTGGGTTTGCTCGTCGGTAGACCTGGTCTTTTAGAATACCGTTCTTATCTACCGACGTGATCAGACTCCTGTTTTGCGTAAAAAAGTTTCAATGATTCTGCTGAGATGGACCTCACGAAGCTCTGTCCCCTATCAGAGCCGTCAAGTGTTGCTTCCATTCTAACAAAGTCCTGTTAGCCGTCTCCAATTGCCTCCTCGTATCCGTGACCTCCAGCTCCAGCTCCTTGTTTCTGGCCTCAAGTCTGTGCTTCTCATTAGAATCTGCGTGCCTGTCTGCCGCTTCACGACGGACCGTCTCCAGCTCTGCCCTTAATTTCCTGATGACACCCCCCGCCGCAAGCGTCTCGTTCATGTGCATTTGCACCACCTGATGTAGACGAGTGACATCTCGCTCTAAATTTGTAACCTTTGTTTGGAGAATCGTGCCATTTTCAAGCTCTCGGTACACAGTCCAAAGCGCTGAGTCGACCTCTATCGGCAAGGTATTGAAGCGAGACTTTCTAGCCGAGGATGCCTTTGCCTCATTTCTCGATTCCGTAGTCCGTTGAGACGTGTCAAGAGTATCGTGATCCCCAGACGGAGGTGACACTGGGGGCGTGACCATCGGCGGCTCGATGTGCCAGCCTCGATCAACGCATATGAAGCAATGCCATACTGACTTACTCTCTCGAATGATGGCGACACTCTGTTGCTGACATGTCGCGTGAAACGACTTTCGGCAGGTATCACAAGGCTTCAAATCTCCTGATGTGCCACATTCTGAGCAGAGTGATTCATGTGGACTCCCAGACGCTTAAAATCGGTCCCTTTAGTAACTACGCAAAGCGGAGTCGTTTCTTTTGAACATACCTCTCCAAGCCTTGTGTCGTGCGAGGACTTCTGCGCGTGTCTCTTGACGAGGCAGAGATGCGGTAGATGGTGATTGTGGTTGCTCTGGAGGCTGTGATAATTCCATCTCCCTTGGCTGTTGCGGCTTTGGGGTTGAAGTTTGAGCACGTCGTGATGATGATCGTGGAAGTCGTCGGCGTTTTGGAGTTCTGTCGCCCCCTACGGGGCTCTCATGCTCACGGGGTGTCTCCATACTCGTCTTTTAGACCAAGGGCGAAAGGAGTGAGAGAAATCAGTGCTGTGGGACGAAATACGGGATTAAAAACGGAGAGTGAATGTGTAGATTTATAAGCAGAAACGCGCCCTACAACCCCGAAAGGCTAACCACCGCTTAATGGCTATTCAAGAAGTCATTTTTCTTCCGTTTCTATGGCTGCTAAAGGAAAGGCTTCAGAGTTCACCAGGCCAAAGTGTGTATTGCCATCTTCCAGGGCAATAAACCTCACCAAGTGTGTCCACCTTTGTCTAGTTGTAGGCATCTTGTTGCTTGTGTATTGATGGATCAGCTGCTGGGACTCAAGCTGCTTCTGTACTCCATCTCTCTGCTGAGCTGCATAACAAGAGGGGTTAATTAGCACCGCCATGTTCGCTCTTGTCTACTGCACCCTTGTCTCCTAGCCCCCACCCCTTTTGTGTCGCGCCCTTGTTTGTTATGTACGCCCTTGGATGTAGTTTCTGCTGACAAATTAGCGGATAACTTGCGATGAATCAACAACGATAAGGCAAGGCGCCGATTTGTCATGATTTGACGAGCTAATGTGTATCTACTGATGCGGTATGATGCGGCAAAGAATCCTACCCATGTTGGAGGGGTTGCGGCAGATGTATTACCCCTGAATTGGCAAGTAGCATAAAACGGAAATCGGATGGATCACGGGTAGAAGTGGAGGCTATTCATGACGAACCAGTACGGTGTTATTAGGCTGCCGTCATGGGTCAAGGGCTGTGTTCCGTGTTATCGTGGCTAATGGTTTCTTTTACAAGGGTCACCAAGGTCATCACCACAAAATCGCAAATGTCTAACAAAATTCGGCAAGAATCAATTGAGCACTGCTTGTTAACCCTGGCTTTGCATCTGACATCTATCCTCAATTCACAGAAGTGCTTGACACTCCATCTCTACCTCAGCTTCGAATGGAAGTGCAGAGACTTGGACACAAGTACGGACCTGTAGATGTCCATGTTAGCCACGATCTTGCCCTGCATGATGTTACGACTTACCGGCTGGGGCTCCTCGAAAACTCCTAAATATGCCTTGTTCAACTCGGCGAACTTGCCCATGTCTGTAATAAAGACATTAACTTTGATGACTTTGTCCAGACCAGATCCGGCTTCTTCAAGAACAGCCTTGAGGTTCTTCAAAATCTGCGTCTAAGTGCCGAGAATGAGAGCTGTCAGATCTCCATTTTCATTTACTCTTCACGTACGGATTGATGGTTACTCACAGTCTGGGCAGCGACTCCTTCTTGGAGTTTTCCAGTGGTCGGGTCGATGCCAACGTTGCCGGAGACATATACCATGTTGTTGGCCTTTATGGCCTGAGAGAAGGCAGGCAGAGGTGCCGAGGCCTTGTCCGTGAACACGACAGCAGCGCGACGAAAGGTTCCCTGAGAGCTCATATTGGTTGGAGACGGGTGGGAATGTATTGACAAGTGGATGTGTAAAGAAATGTGATCAGTTGGGTAGATCAGAATCCCGTGAGAGTATGGGGCATATATGGACCACTCTACACTATAGTTACCCGATCCGAAGCCGGAGTAGTCTGGGACAAGTGGTGACGCCGGCATGATGATGGTGCCTCCACCCCCAAGATGACAAATTGGTTTTCTGTTTTGACATGCGGCATATTGACGAAGGGCGCAGTGGTGCGAGTCAACAACATGCAGCAAGGGACATGGCTAATTGATTACCAATTAGTGGTGACCCCGGTCTCATGATGGGCTTCGACTCTTCCCTTGCCCAGATACTACCGTTGATGTTTCCAGAGTACTGGGCCGAGGGATTGGCGATAAGAATACAGTCTCTCCATCTCAAACGAGTTGCGAGTTAATATTATAGATTATTTTTGATGGCTATACCTGCTTTCTTCTCGATCAACCCTTCTTTCTCACTCTCAGAGTACTCTCCTACGCAACGACCAGTCATGCCTCTCTACGAGTTCCATCACATCCTCCCCCTCACTGGCGCGGAGAAGTCCCGTATTGCACGCCTTATTACTGACTGGCATGCAACCACCTTCAAAGCTCCTCGTTTTATCGTAAACTGCCGTTTCATCGACATCCGCGCCTCCAACATTGAGGACTTTTGGGTTGGCGGTAGACAGCTCAAGACAAACAAGCTCATGATCACGCTGCGCAGCGGAACAGGAAGGACTGCCGAGCAGTACGCGGGCATTACCACCAAGCTGATTTCGTTCTGGAACGACTCCGTCGAGGGGGTTCAGGCTACTCAGAAGGAGAAGGAACTAAAGGATGTCTTCATCATGGGCTCGTACGACTCGGCCTTTGAGAGAGGCTTCTTCTTGCCAATGGTAAGTTTTTGACAATCTTCAGTTCGACTTGGTAGGATATATACTAATGCGACCTTCTTTCAGCCCGGCAAGTTTGAGGAATGGGTCACTGGGAACGAAGCTGAGTTTCGGGAGCTGGCATCTGGAGGAGACGAAATTTTCCAGGACTTGGTGGAGGAACTCGAAACGCGCCCCGAGTTCAAGGTAACCAACAACGCTTAATTGGTAGATAAGAGATTCTAGCAGAAGGCCTCTGTTAGAAACGGGGAGTTGTGATTGTTGTTGGTATAATGAGGTTTCCAAGACGAGCAGGCGCTGTTACGATGATGCCCTCGTAGGAACAGCTCTGCTGGGCGCAGTTACTACCACATTAGACAAATGACTTAGATGAGACTCAAACACTAAACTTGAAAGAATTCGCCTTCACTGAATCATGCAAACGGTGACAGTAACACTCCGCCCTGCGCCCTAGGTCCGGTTGGCTATCACTAGGGTCCAGCGAGTGGCCATGGGACTGAATGCGAAGGGGTTGGCAGGGGGGGCATGTCTTGTTATCTGCCCCTTACAGCCGATTGCACCGATTCGTTGTTGTAGGTGTTACAAGGGAGTTATTGACAAGACGGCATGCAAGGTGCCGAAGCCGGCTTTCTTCTGTCAGAGAGTGGAACCTGATGTCAGATCCTATAAAGAAAACGACCAGAGCCCCCCTTGTTGAAGGTTTCCAACTCCAAAGACCAATAAACATCGATCAGAAAGAAACTTGAAAGCAATATCAACATGACTTCTTCTAAAAGACAAGACGCCGCTAAGCCGACCTTCAAGGCTGAGCTCGATGCTTCCAAGCTGAGTTACCATCTCGCGACGCCTCGGGGTCCGGCAAATGTGCCCCATTCCGGCTGTACCGATCATATGCTCATCTGCAATTGGGATGAAGCCACAGGGTGGGAGACCCCTGTGATCCAGCCATTTGGTCCTTTATCCCTCTTACCGAGCGCCAATGTTCTCCAGTACGCCACCGGATGCTTTGAGGGCGTCAAAGCCTACCGCGGCTATGACGGCCAGCTGCGACTCTTCCGTCTTAGACTTAACTGCGAGCGGATGCTTAAGTCTTCGGTTCGCGTGGGTCTTCCACAATTCGATCCTGTGGCCCTGGAACAGCTCATTCACAGCTTTGTTGCCCTGGAAGCTGAGCGTTGGTTGCCCAGGGATCGAGTAGGGCAGACGCTATACCTGCGGCCAACCCACATTGGGACTACACCGGGACTTGGTCTTCAGAAACCTCGAAATTCCTCGCTCTATCTCATTGCCACGCTCGCTCCTGGCTTCTCTACCAATGGTGGCATGACTCTGGTTACATCTCCTGCTGAGACCATCCGAGCGTGGCCAGGAGGGTTTGGAAACGCCAAGCTGAGCGCCAACTACGGGCCTACCTTGTCTTCCCATGCGGAAGCAATCGCTCAGGGCTTCGACCAGGTCCTATGGCTATTCGGTGACGAGCAGTACGCTACAGAGGCCGGTGCGAGCAATTTCTATGTCGTTTGGAGAACAAGGCAAGGTGGCCTTGAGCTGGTCACAGCAGGCTTGGAAAGCAAGACCATTTTGGAAGGCATCACTCGGAGGAGCATCATTGAGCTGGTATATGCCCGAAGAGATGAGTCTCAGAGCTGGTCAGTCGATGGTACAACCTTGGAGCCACTCACGGTAGTTGAGAGAGACTTTTCGATCAACGAGATCCGTGAGGCTGTTGCTGAAGGCCGGTTGGTAGAAGCTTTTGCCTCTGGCACCGCGGTGAGTAGATTGCCCCTTTGTGGGAACCGAGAAAGACCCTAACTGCGTTATTAGTACTTTATCGCCCCGGTCAGTCATATTCGCCATAGGGATGAGGATATTGTCATTCCTCGTGAGAAGGGTGACTCTGGCCATTACGCCGCACTTATTAAAGGCTGGCTTAGTGATATAGTCTATGGCCGCTCTACCTTTTCCGACTGGACCAAGGTTGTGAATGAGACTTAGATGCAGCATACATAGCGCTATAGGTTAGCAAGAGAAAGTTTAAAGAGTATCCTGCGAGAGCAGGGGGATCTTCACACTTAGGTGTTGGGCATCTCGAGAGACTAGTTAACTTGTCAAAATCTCCTTTCTGTACGATCTAGTTGAGAAGTTCTAGCGTGATGAATATGTATATAAAGATCATACATCTTGCAGTCTACGAGTTTTGTGTAGCCATGTCTTTCACGTGGTCTGGGACATGCAGTCTTAGTTGAAGCAGTTCCGTCAACATGCTTCAGTAGCAACTGGAGGTTCTTTCGAGCTTTGGCAACATAGCAAACTGCAACAAGTCAACCAGCCTATCCTCAACTCCACAACTGCCTATCTTACCCCTGAGCTCGCGATCCTGTCCCCCCTCGAGTTGGGGCATGATAGAGACGCCCGTCCTCCATCCAATGGGGCGGTGGCGTAGTTGGGAGCGCGTCAGACTGAAGCTATAACTTCAATCATTAATATCTGAAGGTCACCGGTTCGATCCCGGTTCACCCCACAACAGTTCTAGGACGATATCTTTTTGCCGAGGATGAGTCCTTTTTGTTCGCTTAACCATCTCCACCCCCTCCCCCTCAACTGAGACGGAATACGAACCCGTCGCCTCCATCAAATCCCTCGGGGCGGTGGCGTAGTTGGGAGCGCGTCAGACTGAAGCTATAACTTCATTCAAGCAACTTGGTTGTGATCTGAAGGTCACCGGTTCGATCCCGGTTCACCCCATGGACTCTTCTTTTTGGCCTTCTTACACCCTCCAATTGTCTTTTTGGTTATGGGAAGTTGTCTTGTCTTACGTGGAGTTGTCACGGCTGATGGAGCTGACCTAAAAGTTGACTGTGTTTTCCATTGACTGTTGCCTCTTACTTGTACGAGCCTACTATTCACAACTAACTTCCCTGCTCCGGATCCTATCAATGCCTCTTCCATGCTTGTGCATTTCACTGAATGCCAGATGATTCCTTTTTCTTCTTCTTCAAGACTTAGGCTGTTAAAAGTGTAGCTCTGACATCTCTGGTTCGACATTCGCCAGTGCGCACCTTTCTTTTCAGATGGAGGAAATACTCAGGACACCAGGTACTCATTGATCTCCCAGCACAATATCAGTCTTGAATCCATTTTTATATGAAACAACAGACGCCCATTAAATATACATCATTTTGGCTTGCCTGTTTTCTCCAGGCGGGTTTACACTGAACTGACTCGGGTTTGAGCACTGCTTTCACAAGGTTAGTCAACAAGCACACAAACTACTCATGTCGAGGGCAGTCGCGACAAGACAGTTATCATACCATTAATGAATCAAAAACGAGAATGGTGAACTAGGAATGTTTTATTTTTGGTTATCTACAATATATCTTTTACTCGTTGGAAGGATATGTGACCTTCTCAAGAGGCACAAACTCCTCCTTGATCGTCCTTGCGCTAACAAAGCGCTGCAAGTGAGCCATCGTACCGGTCTTGTCGTTGGTGCCCGAGTCACGAGAACCACCGAAGGGCTGCTGCGCCACGACGGCACCTGTGCACTTGGTGTTGAGGTAAAGCATACCGGCGGCATGCTTCAGAGTGTCCTGGGCCTTGCGCAAGACATAGGGGTCTAGGGCGAAGATGCTGCCAGTGAGGGCATACCGGGATGTGGTGTCGAGAGTCTTGAGGGTCTCCTCCCAGGCGTTGTCAGGGAAGACGTAAGCTGCGAGAATGGGGCCGAAGAGTTCCTGGCTCATGAGCTTGTGGCGAGGGTTGGTGGTTTGGTAGATGGTAGGGTGGACATAGTAGCCCTTTTCCTTGGAGGCCTTGCCACCCACGATGAGCTCGAGCTCGGGGTCATTCTTGGCGTCCTCAATGACCTTGTTAAGCTTATCAAAGGAGGCCTCGTGGATGACGGGATTGATGAAGTTTTCGAATTGCTCGACGTCGCCGATCTTGAGGGCGGAGACTTGCTCTTGAAGGTGCTTCTTAAACTCAGGCCAGACTGATTCGGCGACGTAGACTCGTGAGTTGGCCGAGCACTTCTGGCCTTGGTACTCGAAGGCAGCTCGAACAGTGTTGAGGGCGGCGCTCTTGACATCGGCAGACGGGTGGACGATACCCCAGTTCTTTCCACCAGTCTCTCCGACAACACGGGGATACGAGTTGTAGATCTCATCGCCAATTCCGTTGCCGATCTTCTTCTGCAGACCCTTGAAAACCTTTGTCGAGCCAATAAAGGTAAGAGCACCAAACTCGGGTCGCTTCAACACAGCGTCGGTAACTTCCTCGGGGTTACCAGGGAGGAACTGGATAACGTCCTTTGGCAGACCAGCTTCTAGAAGGATCTGATGCAAAAGCCAACTAGCATGGAGAGCAGAATCGGAGGGCTTCCACACAACCACATTACCCAGAAGAGCGGCAGGTCCGACCAGAGTGGCGCCAAGAGCTGTGAAGTTGAAAGGTGAGATGGCGTAAACGAAGCCCTCCAGGGGTCGGTACTCCATCTTGTTCCACACGCCGGGAGTTTGGACTGTGGGTTGTTGGGCGTATAGTTTCCACGCCTCGCTGATGTAGTGGCGGAAGAAGTCTGCCGTCTCAGCTGGGGCATCGATCTCAGCCTGCCAGATATTCTTGCCCATGCCGAGCATGGTAGCAGCCACGATATCAGAGCGATACTTGCCAGTCACCAGCTCAGAAGCGCGAAGGAAAATAGCAGCTCGGTCCTCAAAAGGAAGAGCCTCCCAGGCGGGCTTCGCCTTCAGCGCAGCATCGATAGCCGCGTTGACCTGGTCAGGGGTGGCGGCTCCATACTCTGCAACAACCTCCTGATGATTGCAGGGGTTCTTTTGCTTGAGAGTCTTGCTGCTTGCAACCTGAAATGGCTTAGAAATTTGATCATAAGATATTGGTGACTGAAACTTACATTTGCACCGCTGATCTGAATGGGAATATTAACGGGAAACTTGCTCTTGAGCTTCTTGATGCTTTCAGTGAGCTCCGCTCTCTCAGGGGAGCCTTTGGCATAGTCGAACTGAGATTGACATTAGTTGAGAGACCAAAAATACCAGACAAGATAATTTATACCATCTTCTCATTCTCAAACTTGGGAGGGCTCCAAAGGCTTAGCGACCTCTTGATCGAGAGTGTGGGAGTAGTGCACCGACGCGCAGCACGCAGGCCAGCCAGGGGCTGTCGTTGAGCCAACAAAGATCTCTGCATATTGGATGATTTCTCGAGATGCCACACAAAGATAGAAAAAAATCTGGTATAGAGATCTTTGGTGCTTCTTCCAACTGATCATGCAAGATTACTCGTCACTTCTTATCATAGAGTTTAGCGAGGGTGTCGGAAGGCCATCCCGACGATATACACCACCCTGACGGTCATCGCCGACAACTCAACCGACCAAAACAACGACGCCGACGCTAGCCTATTAGATGAAGAAGCCTACTCGTTTCTTTTTTTGAATCGATTGGCCTGCAGACGTTTCGTCGCTTATCTCCTTTGATAGATCACCGTGGATGCATGATCACGCAGACCCCGTGACCACCCTCCTGTTGTTGACCACCCCCGCATCCAGCCACACTGGGGGACTAAGGTGGTTCTAGGCCAAGTTCGCTCCGAGATAGGAACGTCGGGAAATCATCCCGGCTTCGTCTATTCGCGGGATGTTTGATGGAGGGAGGAGAGTTTCGTGAGCAGGTTGGACGGGGAGGTCCGCATTGGTGCGGGTGGAATGACGATAGTGTCATGGATATATTGGTGTGAATGAAGTCTTAAAGCAGCAAGTGTGTCACTCGAGTCAAGCTCATTGAATCTATCTCGATAAGCCCATCATGCTTTCCAGAAGTGCCGTGTACACCCGCAGGCAATTGCTGCCACTATCATCTCGTTTCCTTTATCAACCAAGACGCCTCCTCACTGATGTGGCTATCAAGCCATCCATCAAGTCAGCTCCGGCTCCCACGGAGGAGTCCTCAGCTCTCTCCAAGCTCCCTACTGGGGTACTACTTCGCTCTGTTGCTTTGACTACTGTCATGGCGACAAGTTGGTTGCTGAAACCATCCCTCGCCTTTCTCGCCTTGATAACGCAGACAAACTCGGCCATTCTAAACCCCGATAAGAACCCCCTCCTCAACAGGGTACTCCAATGGACCATTTACGACCACTTTTGTGCTGGCAACAGCATTCCTGAAGTTTCCAGCACCGTCAAGTACATCAAGAACCTGGGCTATCATGGCATCATTCTCGGATACTCCAAGGAGATTGTCTTGGATACCAACGCCGAGACTTCCCAGACTGGAGTGAACGAGTACCCCGCCGAGTACTACAGGGTGATTGATGAGTGGAAGAAGGGAAACATTGAGACCCTTAACATGATCGAAGCGGGCGATCTTCTCGCCATCAAGTAAGTACACCCATGTCTCCAACAAGAACCTGAGCTGACTTTATCAAGGGTGACTGGTGCTGGCCCTATCGCTGTAGATGCCATGCAGGCTGGCAAGCCCATGCCCAAGTACCTGCACGATGCACTCAACGAGATCTGCAACGAGACGAGGAAGAGAGGATGTCAGCTCTGGATCGACGCGGAACAGCAAGTTCTGCAGAACACACTCGACGACTGGACCATTGTGTTGATGCGGGAGCACAACCGAGACGGCAACGCATTGGTCTACAACACAATCCAGGCATACCTCAAGGGCGCCAGGGCAAACGCCGAGAAGCACATCACCCTGGCTGCTCAAGAGGGCTGGACGGTAGGCATTAAGCTAGTCCGCGGCGCCTACATCGAGAATGAGGTCCGATCTCTGATCCACGACACGAAGGAGGACACAGATCGTTCATATGACGACATTGCCGACATGTTCATCTCCCGAAGAGCTCCTAAAAACGCCGCCAACCTCAAATTCCCCGACGCCGCTTTGGTGCTGGCAACCCACAACGCTGAAAGCGCCCAAAAGGCCCTCCAAACACACCGTCAACGCGTCGCATCCGGCCAACCCACCGTTCCGATGAAGTGCGCCCAGATCATGGGCATGGCGGACGAGCTGAGCTGCAAGCTCCTCCAGGACTACGAGAAGGCGGCTAGCCAAGGCAAGATCACGGCGGAGACACCGCGGATCTTCAAGTGCCTACCCTGGGGGTCGGTGCAGGAATGCATCGGATACTTGTACCGACGGGCGGTTGAGAATCGGGGCGCTGTGGAGAGGACGCAGCATATGGCTGAGGCAATGAGAAAGGAGCTTCGGCGAAGAGTGTTTGGGTAAATTTTGAAAACGAATAAGCAGAATGCACAGTAAATACATTAAGAATTAAATCATAACTTGTGCTAGATTTGTGACATTTTGATATGAGCTCAAGGTGCCTTGGCAGAATGCGTCACTTTCAAGATGATCGAGACAGCACTTTTGTTAATCGGTTGTCTTGTCTTTGACACAGATATTCAGCTAGTTAGAGGATCAAAAGGGAAGACTCTTCAGCACAATCCTGACCAACATCGGGTGGAATCCAATGATGCACAACACCAAGCCGAGAACATCACCGTCAAAAGTCATTGTCTCGGAGAAATATTTTACAATTCAAAGCCTGCTCTAAGGAGGAGAGTGTGTAATTTCTAGTAGTTTATGGTGTTTTACATGGTATCGTATTTACAGCTTGTCCTTCCCTGCCTCGCCTTGACCATCTGCGTGAGCTTCTTCTAGCCTGGTCAGGAGCTCGCTCTTTGGCTGTTCATCAACCCACCGACCGCGAGGCAGCTCAAAAGTCGACGAGATTCTCCCGTAAGACATGCCACCGAGCTGCGCGATGGGACGCAGCTTGTCTAGGTGAATATGACTAAAGTCCTCGTTTGCCGCATCTTGCTGTACCCAGAAGCGTGTTGCCTTGATGAGGCAGATGGCGGAACCGCTCATGCCTGGGGAGTGACCTTCAAACTCCTTGATGTCAATAACTTTGCCCTCGATGGAGAGCACAGACTCTTTGACGCGGGATGGTTTGACTGTTGTTGTTTGGCTTTCGGTCAGGCCTGTCAGGTCCCATTCTGAAAGACCGTAAGGAGCATCGATGGATGAAGCGTTAACAGCTTCGATCATGTTCTCAGAGACGGTGTTAATGACACATTCTCCCGTCTCTTTTAGATTCCGATAAGTATCCTTCATCAGGCCAGAGCGAGCGGAGAAGCTGACTATGAACATGGGAGGATCATGGTCAACAACCTGGAAGTAGCTGAATGGGGCAAGGTTCTTGGTCTTGCCATCTGCGGAGAGGGTGCTAAGGAAACCAATGGGGCGAGGAGCAATGCCGGAAATTAGGAGACGGTAGTTTTGCGAGACAGATCGATCCGGGGAATAGGGGTCGATCTCTTTGTGGATCTTGTCCTGGGTAGAAGGGGGAGGGCCGGTGCGGACACCCTCGCCAAACGACCACGAGGGGTCGGGAGATTTTGTGATCTCGATGGGCTCGCCTGAGTGGTCAAATTCAGGGCGATTGGCTATCGTCTCTTGAAAGTTGGTGACCTGCTGCACGGCCGAGAAGGCGGGCTTGGCTGCAGCGGCAGCGGCAGAAGAGTTCATCCTGACTGCCGGAGACGACAGCCTGAACGGCCGCACGTACAGTGAACTGGATGGGGGTCAACATTGCTGCAAACCACATGATCAGAACATGCCTTACCGTGCAAGGATGAAGCGGGATGTGCAGGCTCGGGAATGCATGGCAGGTGTGGTCAGATGATTGACTGAATCGGGACCGTCGATGGCAACTTGTGCAGATTCTACTGCAAGCCCCCAGAACAAGCTTGATATGTGAGACCAGAATTCAACCAATAATCGGACGACTCCTGAACTGGTAACTCTTCGCGGGCTGGTGATAGCTTTTGTGATCAAGGCGAAGATTGTGGGCGAGATCGGGACTGATATACCGACATGACCTAAAACGGCTATATGACGGGTACCAAAACCCCAAGGAAGGCTATCAGCGGCGTTGAATATCGGAACGCCGCTCCGACCTTGACAAATCCGGGTCCGATAACGCGCTCTGCCAAGACCGCTGATAAGCCTGGCCTAACCTTGCCAGATAAGGAAAGTCGGGGTCGAGGCAGGTGCAAAGGAACATAAGTCGGAAGCCTCCCCCGACTTTCCCATCCAGAGTCCACACCAAGCCCCGTCGAATCATCACGCCCCCGTTTCGTTGCAATGCCGAATAATCCTCAGCATCAGTTCAGAATAGTCAAGAAGTGTCCGAAAGCGTATGTTGTTTCCTTCCTTCTCCACATGACGTTTTCCGCGGCCAACCGAGCTGACACACTCACCCGCTCTCAAGATGCAAGCGATGTCGCTCCATGAAGGTCAAGTGCTCCGGCGCTCAACCTTGCGCTAGGTGTGGCCGCAAGAACGAAACATGCATATACGAAGCCGAAGAGAAGAAAGTATCGGTTCCTGAGAGGTAAGTTGCTTACATGACGCGTGGCTGCCTGACCTTGTTGTCTCATTCCACTGCAGTTATCTCCGTGCCTTGGAGAGCCGCCAAGAGGCACTCCCGACCCCCGGTTCCCTCCGTGACAACTCCGGTCACTTCCGGCCCCGCCCTAGACACTCATCCGTCTCCGATTATGGGTCCTTGACCGTGGTTCCACCAGACGGATCCGTCGTGTCCGGTCAGGTGGAACCGGAGGAGGGTCTCACTCTTGGGACACCCGAAGTCGAACACGATGAAGATGAGCAAGAGCCGGGCTCTCTATCGGGTAATGAGGTGCTCGAGCCGGCCTTCCGACAGAACCCCCTCGTCGATAATGACTATGTGTTTGGACGAGCACTTGGACGATACTGTAATGCCGATCCCCTCTCCTCCGAGTAGGCTGTACGCTGACGATGCCTCCTAGGGTACATGGGCCCGGCATCATCCTGGGCATTTTGTAGACGAGTCTTAGCCCTCCTTGGCAAGAATCTTCCAGAAGCCAACAATGAGTCTTTTCCTTGGCATCTTGACGGAGTGGCATTCCGCCTACAATGGAAACCTCTGATGCCCGATGAACCACCAGACGTGTCCAACCTGCCCCCTTCGGATTACGCACTCTTCCTCATACAAACAGCAAGGTTCTACCTTGGTCCGCTGGCGTCTCTCATCGATGAGACCGAATTCATCCATCATATCAGGGAGCTCTATGAGGATGCCTCGGCCAAGGCGTCATCATGTAAGCTATGGTATGCTCAATATTTGCTAATGCTGGCATTCGGCAAGGCCTTTCTGAGTGGGAGGAACCCCGATGGAAGCCCACCTGGATATCAATATGCCGCCAGGGCAATGCAATTGATGCCTGAGTTGGCGGGTATTGCTCTGGATCCAGTGCTGTCCGCCCAAGCTCTCACCTTGGCGGCTATCTACTTTCAATCCATTGATATGAGAGTAGCTGCATTTCAGCATGTACGGATCACTCCGCTTTCGGACCTTGGGGACCACCACTAACAAACTGGCAGATAGGACATGCCCTCCGCATCTGCGTGTTGTCTGGCTTCCATAGACACATGCCGGAGGAAGCTGTTGGCGCTCAACACTCCAAGCGTTGCCACAAAATCTTTTGGGTTGTCTATATGCTAGACCAAGAGTTTGCAGCCCTCATTGGCGCGACGAGCTCTATTCGTGATGAAGACATCACAAATAAGCTACCTTCGCAAGCGGACAACTCTTTGAACGCGCTTAGTCTCACGCTCCACGTTCAATTAGCCCGTTTAATAGCGAGAATCCTTGGAAGTATGTCGCCACGTCCCACTCCTGTTCCAGATGCTGACTCGCCCAAGCTGTTTATGGCGTAGGCAAAGATTATGATGGCACCCTCGTTGGCGATACACAGTCTATCCTAAGAAATCTGGCCGAGCTGAATCGAGACCTGAATACCATCATCAACAATCACTTCCGAGACTCGATTAGTAAAGCTTCTAGAACAGCGACAAGACTTCTTTTACAATATCACCACGTGAGCCGCCCTGATGCTCTATTGACGTACCTGTCGCTGACGTTTCATTCAGTGTGTGGTTCTGACTACCAGGCCACAAATAATGTGCGCGTTACACATGCACATGGAGCAGTCAAAGACGCAAGTCACTCGCGAACTGACACTGTCTCGGCCCGTCTCGTCATTAATACAATCCTGCGTCGACTCTGCCATAGCCATCCTTAAGACACTGCGTGCTTTGGCTGACGAGGACCTCATTGGTAAGATTGGCAGGCTTTATTGAAAGACTCTTCCTAACTTGGTACTTCAGAGGCATTTCTACCCTTCCAAATCGAATACGCCTCCTCTTCCGCATTCTTGCTCCACCTCATTCCTATTATATGTCCATCACTCCTCCCGGACTATTCATGGCGAGACGACGTTAGATATGTTCTTGATACCCTAATTGCCAAGGGAAGTCTCGCTGCTCCTCTACGAAAGGTTGAGCTGGAACAGCTAGAGCAGAAGTTGTCCGCTCTAACGCCACCGAGCGATATCGCCAGCCCTCAACCTCCTCCCGAGGTACACGAAACTCAATTAGAACATAGCGTCGCTGAACATGTTCAGCCGCACGCGCCTGACGAAATGGGATGGGATCTTTTTGCAGCCAATGCCATGGCTGGATTGACTCCTGGGGAGTTGCTGGATCTTGCAGAGCAACTGGATGTGGATAGCTTTCTATACCAGCCTGAGCTGTAGTTGGTTTGGCAAATACTCATTGACCAGGATTTAACTGGATATCTAGGTTTTAAGGCTAAAGAAACGCCGGTATTTATTGCGAGGTTCTGTTGCGAGTGATTGGTATTATGAGGTTCACGTGCTCAAGCGGGATTGCGAAGATTGTGTCAAGGTAAGTTCATTCTTTCTTCAGTAGCATTAGAAGCTTCTCTCTTCCGCCTATGAGAATAGAAATATCATGAGCATAAAAAGCAATAATAACAACCCAGAACTCTCGTTATCGGCAAGTATCCTTGATCCAATGTCCGACCATTCATTCATCCCTCCCGTATGTCCAGTTCACAATATCCAACTCGATAAGCACATGACGGAGATGGCTTTTGCTTTGGGGTATCTCCAAACCGCGTTCATGCCTCATCCAGTCTAGTAGTCTCCCTCAAGTGTATCACCCCACGTCATGCGGATGTTGTGGCGGAGCATGTCGGTCAGTTCACCTCGGCCAATCCTACAGGGACTGACACGTACGAGCCTATGCTCGTCTCTGTCAAGAGTGAAAAGGATGGAACGCATCATATCGACATGCATAGCGGCCAGAGACTTGGTGTTCATGTCTCTAAGCGAGTACATGTCGAAGCCGCGGGGCGGTACGAACTGGAGTTGCTTGCTTCGCAGCTTCTTTTGCACTCCGCTGAGAATGCCGTAAGGGTGGTCCGGGGACACGATGGTGTGAACTATGCAAGATGAGTCGTAGCGGTACTCCATGTAGTGGATGAGTTCAGCGAGTTCGTTTACAAGGGTGCTGTCGTCCAGTGCCGCATCGATGATTCCCAGGATGTACTTGGCGCTCTCCACCTTGTGCATGCTGATGCTCACCATGTTGGCAAGACCAACGGCTTCTCTGTATGACACCTTGAGGGAGTTCATAGCGCTCGAAACAACCGTAGCGTCTTCGGCAATCGCCTTGTAGCGGTGTGAAAGGGCATGCCCCTTGGCCTGAATCCTGGCCACCTTCTGAGCCAGGGTGCTGAGCGTTTCGACGCGTGACTTGTGGCCGTCTAGTTTGGTCTCCGCCTTGTTGACTCTCATCCTACTCTTCTCGAGGTTCGCCTCGGCTCGTTTGAGGTTTCTCTCGCGGGCTTGCATAGCTATCTGGAGCTTCTGTTCAAAATCCCAAGTGGTTGGAAAAGATGATGTCCACTTTGAGGCAAAGTTTCAGCAGGCGATTGACTGGATCTATGGAAGAGACTGACCTCGTGGACTTCAAAGTACTTGCGCTTCACCTCCATGTTGTCTCTGTCGGCCTCGTCTACGGCATTTTTGGCAACTTCCAGCTCTTCGTGATAGCGCTGAAGAGATGTTGTCTCGGATGCGACTTCATTCTGGACCGTGCGAAGACTCAGATGAAGCTCTGCTTCGACGAGCTTCGCTTCCTTTGACCACTTTTTCAAGTCATCTCCATGGGAGAGTAGCTAAAGGGCGGAGTGAGCGTTAGTAGGTTGATAACGCCATGCCAACGACCATTGTCAAGAAGCCTTGGCTGTTGAACGTGTTTCACTTACCGAGTCTCGATGCTCTCTAGCACAGCTGGAGCAAGCCTCGCCACAGGAATACACGCTGAGCCAAGCCGACTTCATGTCTTCAAGGAGAAAGTCGGCCAATGAAGAGGAATGAGAGCTGCCCGGGTGTTGAATGAGGGCCTTCAGCGCCGACATGGCGCGCCCAGTGGCGCGAGCGAGGTTTCTTTGAGCGTCAAAGTGATTGTTCTGGGCGCTGGATGAACAGGTGTCGGAGTCCTCTCTGATGGAGGTGAGTCTGGACTCAAGGTCCGAGACTCTTTTGAGGAAATCCTTGCCCATGTCGAACTTCTTGTGTGTGTCTCTGCGTAGAAAGAAGGTTGAAGGAAGAGGAGGCTGGAAGATGCAAGAGATTAATGATCATCTCTATGTGCTCATTCAACTGTTTAAATATTCATCATTGGCCCTTTGGGTCGCCATGCCCCTTGTCAAAGCTGTCGGCTCCCGTATCATATCTCTTGAGCACCTGTCAGACTATAACATTTCGTCATCTTTTCGGTTGACTCTTCTTTGAGAAGGAATAAGGCTTTATGATAGGCTCTTAGTTGTATCTTCTTTGACTAAACGGCAGCCGACTTTTCAAAGGGTCGGTGGAATGTGCTTTGTTTACACACATCGCAGTCAAACCTTAATACCAGCATAACGCCTAGTTTCATAGATCACACGGATAGGCCGCCACGAAAAATATGTTCTCGTGATAACTAAAAAGGAAAGAGAGAGAGAGAGAGAGAGAGCATCGGCCTATTCGCAATCCCTATTCGCAATCCCTATTCTCAATCTCGTAGACTCCCTTTCTCTGAGACTTTTAGCACGTTATTGCCTCGGCACCCTGCAGACTCGTCTTTATCGTCAACCCAGCTATGACACATATTGCATTGTAACTCGCTCTATGACAAAGAAAAGTGTGCTACAGAATAATAATGGTACAATGATATCTCATGGAAATGACATCACCAGTTCGCCGCCCAATGCTATCCTTTAACAGCCTACAGCCTACAGCATCAACATGAACAAAGCAAGTGCTCCACCAGCAGCCAACGCGCTGATCCTGGACAAAGACGCAGCGTTTTCGCCCTCCTCTGGGCCTATGTTTTGAGTGGTGTTGATCTTGATGCAGCTCAGACGTGAGACAGTCTCGTTCACGATGCTGTCTTTGCCGTTGCCCTTGACAAACAGGGTCAGCAGCGGGGTGATCCTGTTCAGCTCAGGATAGGCAGTCGAGGCGTTGAGACCTCCCTGTTTTTACAAAGAGTCAGCTGATTTCTTGATGCATTCCAGGGGAGAATTATGGCCACTTGCCTCGAATTCAACGAATTCGGTAAACATTTCAGCCAGATTGGCTGACTTGGGCAGGATGGGCCAGCAATCGCTGGATGAGTTGCGAGAGCCATCGATATTCTCGAGCTTGGAGAGGTCCTTTACAGAGATTTTACCGATCCCCTTGCCTCCTCCGGTGAGGTTGTCGCAGGGATCGATGTCGGCTTTTTGCAGGTCCTCCTGGAGGGCTTTGCAAAGATCCTTCGACTTTCCTTCGGCAATATTGGTTGCGAGTTGTTGAATGGCATCGACACACCGCTGGCCCATGACTTCGGCACAGTCGTGTGAGCCGAACTCGTCAAATGTGTCTTGGGGAGGGTCATGGAATATGACGGCACAGCCTTGCACCTCATTTAACGACACGTCCTCCGGTGTGCCGAGGTAGTAGACCGAGGTGAAGTCATCGGCACCACGGCCGGAAATGTTGACGCCTTTGACGATGGAGAGGTAGTCAAGGGACTCTGGGACATCGGGAATACGGGTCAAACCGATGTTCTCAAATGTTATGTTGGTGAGAGTGCAGTGAGGGTCAAAGTTGTCCATCGGGCATGAGACTGCCTCACAGCCGACGATTGTCTGATCCAGGTCTTGGGCATTTCCTAGCAAGACCAGCGATGAAAGGATGAGAAAATGCGCGGAGTGCTGCATAGTGAGAGAGTTAAAGACGAAGCTGAAAGAGAATGCGGATGTTAAGGAATCTTTCAAAATACCTAGACAAACCATATGCTGCAGAAGGGAACAAGGCATTTAAGGGCAAGAGTTGGAACCTGGAAACAGGCCATCCCGAGTATGGGGCCATCAGTTCACCCAACGAGGGCGGCAAAGAAATTGACGCATATCATGGGTGTCAAGTGTCTGAGCGCGTCTCAAAGTTTCAAGTAGTCAAATTGAGGCTTAGACGGCCTTGATCTTCTATAACGGGAAGTGTAGGACGGCCTGGTCTTAAAGACCCTGGTGTAGATTAATGACCCGCCAATCAGAAAGCAGCTTCAGTGTGACCAACAGCCACGTGCGCCACTTAAGCGCCGAATGAGACTGGGGAACGCGGGCCTTGGGAGTTTGCTAGCCAATCACAGCACACCAAGACAGGGTTCAAGATGGCCGTTGACCTCTATGTCTCATAAAGGGATCATCTGCCACGGACAGGGGCCTTCCTTACTCGTAAACGGCTTCAATTCCTTGCTCACTTAGCCGCGCCTGGAGTCTAATGGGTAATTTGTGGGTATGAAAGCCGACCTGGTCAAGGCCCATCTACCCACAAAAGAGGCAGCCTTGCGCGATTGTAATCAAAGGCAGGCGGTAAGGCACATTCAGAGACAAAAGAAAGACATAAAGAGAAGACGAGAAGGACGGGGTCCTGTAGGATCTAGTACTGAAAGTGCATAGGTCTCTTGCCTTAGACGGGCTTTCACCCAGTTTCCCTCTCTTCGTCTTTGTTCCTCGCCTTTCCTATCGCTTCCAAGAAAGACTTGACCGTTTGATCGGGGTCAATCTTCTCGATCCACGTCTCCGTGACGGATATGCTGCCCATGTTCTTCGCTAACATCTCCCCTGTCACCCCCATTATGTCCATGAACTCAAGAAGCCAAGAGATCCGTCTCTCAAACCAACCAGCTTTGTGAAAGTCGCGAACAAGTGGTTTGTCTTCCCTCAAGCGCTCATGCTGTAGCCAGAAGGCGTATTCTGCTATTGAACGAGCGATTGAGTACTCCAGTGGCCAAAGACAGGCAGCGGATTTGAATTTGTCACTTCTATAGTCGACTTCATATGTTATCTGCTCCTAGCATTAGCTCCCTACAAAGGAAATGTTATAAATTGTGCGGACTACAAGAGTCGCTGCTTACCAAACTTTGGTATTTCGAGTCCGATGCGTATTTCTCTCTTTCCTGCCTCGTGCTCTCGATGTGGGCATCGTAGTTCCCTTTCAAATGGACCATGAACTCGGTCCGGAGCTTCGGCAAGTCAAACGACTCAAACTGCTTCATATCCATCTCTAGGGCCTTGATGAAATCTTGCTCCTCATCCAGGATCTCCTCAATGTCTTCGTCCTGAAGACGCGACGGGGCTGGCCAACTTGTCCATCCGATGCCGTCGCCCCTATGGCAACAGACGTGGGCAATGGAAATATGGGGCTCATCGCATTGACTTCTTCGGAGAAATGATAGGAGCAGTTGTTTTGCTGCCCGAATACCACGATATTCTTCAAGGAGGGCGAGTAATTCAAAAGCCCACATCAGATCAGGCATTGCGCCAAAAGAACTCGGGCGGCGGAATCTGAACCGAAACATGGAGGCTACATGACAGCCGTCAGGTGAACATGGGCATATGCAATCGTCCGTGATCAAGGGGTCGGCGCCAGCCCTCAGACAAAGTTTGATAGAGTCAATGATATCCCAAGTGGCTGGGTTGAAAAACTCTAGGTCTGGGAGAAGGTCAAAAAAGATGGTGCGGCCGGCCTGGCTCACGTTGCCTACATCCGCACCCTGTTCTAGGCAAAATTGGATGAGGGGGGCATTGCGGTATTTCGCTAGGGAGTTGATAGCTAGCTTCCCTTCACTGTTTTTCTGATTGAATTTGTTGAACCCGCGCTGGACAAGAGTCGACGCCATTTCGAGGTCAGATGCGTAGTGCATCAAGCTATTGTCTGTGACACCGCTGTCTCCAAATGTAAAATTGACGTCGTCGGAGAGCTGAATGACCTTTGGGAGAAAAGTGACGTCCACTGTCAGAGCGTCAAGATATCTGGGAGCGTGGATCAAAGCATACTGGACAACAAGTTGAAAAACGGTTGGCTCGGCCACGGTTTGGATTACCAAAAGAACGTCCATAGCCAGGTTCCAGTGCTCACGGAAGAAAGCATAATCCAGAAAGGTCCACTGTAGTCTCGTGTCTTTGAGACCAGGATTGGCACCTCTCGAGATCAGTAACTTTGCGACTTCTGTTTGCCCCATGGCCGCGGCGTACATTAGCGGCGTCGCTCCAAAATTGTCCGTAACGTCTACATCGTGGCCGGCGCCTAAAACGAGACGACACAGCTCTGGACGAGTGGTCACGATGTGCAAGGGAGTTTGTCCCAAGAAGTTGACATTGGTCTCTAGTGGTTGCGATCGCTGTAACCAATACGCTGCCGAATCAACGGATCCGTTGAGGAGCACATTGTGTAGGATTGTCGATCCCGAGTAACCTGGCATTATTAGGTTCTGTCGACCTAGAAATGAGGGTTTGTGTAAGAGGACTTACTCGGGCTGTAGTTCAAAATCGTCCTCACATACTCAATGAAGAAGGGGTCTGGAGTGCGTTCAGAGCCAAGCCAATTTGGCGAAAATTGAGTAGGCCATTTATCAACAGGGGATGCATGAATGGCAGTAGCGTCGAATCCATGCTCTAGGATAGTATCAAGCAGGGTAAGGTGATTGCCCTTTCCAATCCACTTTGCGCACTGGACAAGGAAACTGTTATTATATGTCAGTTCACTGAAAACACCTTCGAGAAGGCTCGCTTGCCTTTCAGTCTCGTCTGCTAGCGTCATCTCGCACTCGGTGACGAGTAGGTGAAGCAGATCAAACTGGTCCTCTTGACGGGCTCCCCAAGGATAACGCAAAAGTGTCTACGGCTGTTAATAAGAAGAAATATGGACGAGTATTATGTCACAGCTCACTTGAATATAGCTCTTTCCCGAAGGATCCTTGTGGCATCCAAGAGAGCCGTTGGATCGATGGAGTTCAACAAACCTCTCACGAGCTTCAGAAAGAGAAATCAAGCATCTCTCAAGACGCCATATAGTCTCGAACCCCGGGGACGTGTAGTTGACGATTCTTTTCGCTCGGAGAGCAGGCCGGAGTTCAAGCCCTGACCCATCGACCATGAACCCGATTCCGGCAACGATAGCGTATGGGATGCCGAACCTCGATAGGGCCATTCGTAGTTGTAAGCTCATACACCTGCATCCTGAAGCCCTGTCGTTGGGTTTCCTAATGAAGCTGGAGAGTGGCGTGTACTGGAGGAACCAAAATCGGCCGGAGACGCCAGTGAGATGGCATGAGCAGCCATACTTTTGCGCCCCGCAAGAATTTGAAGTTGGCTTTGCTGCTGATAATATGACGCGGTGCTCTTGATGTGACGTTGGGCTCGGATTAATCGCCGTGGTGGTGAACGATTCTGTCTCATCAGTGTCTCCTTCAGGCTCTGGATCACAAGGGCCTCCTTCTTCTTCTGGCGGCGGATCGGGATCTGTGTTGGCCGTTGATGTGAGTTCTTGAACCTTTGGAGCTTGGCATTGCGAAGCCATAAAAGCCCTGTGAAATCATGTTAGCAAGATCCAGTAAGAAACCAAGAGTGAAGGAGATACAGATTCAGAATGCTGATGAGATCATTGATGCCCACTCGAAGATCCATGATCTGTTGTTTTGGGTGCCGGGCTAGCATTTTCTTCCACTGACGACCGTGGCCTTCTCCCTTCTCTTGATGCTTCTCCAAGAGTTCACGAAGTGTTGGTTCGATAATTCCGTATCGCTCCTGTACATGGTGAATTATAACGTCAACGGGTTGATACCCCTCCCAAGCCTTCAACAAGGATACGGTCTGGTGAAGAATCTGAAGTCTTTCGAGGAGTGTTGTCAGATCTTTGCGCGCCTCGCCAGGCCTCAATCGCATCTGACGCAGGGCATCAATGCTTTTCGAAATCTGGATAGCGAAGGCAGCGATGCCAACTCCGGCAGAGACGAAGCCGACAATTACTTCAGCCATGGTCGACTCCGATCCTTAGTTAGTACGAGATTGCTGGGAGGGAAGAAATACAGGAATTGGTAGCTCTAGATTTTGGGCATCAAAATTGTAAGCACAATTCTGCCTTGCCCATCCTCTGCGCCATCGCTACCAATGAGGCGCGATTTTCAACCGCTGCGGACGTCGAGAACTCAGCCTGCAGGATAGCTTACGCCACACGCATTGCCACCTCGGATCAGATCTCCCCACTGTAATGTTGCTTAAAAAAGGTGAGGCTGTCTCTGAGGTAGCTATCAAGAATCTCACAACCGCTTTCCTACCCATGAGGCAACATGAGACTCATCAATACCACAACCCTAGAGATCGAAGAGTTCTTTGACATCTCCATACCTGAATATGCCATCTTATCGCATACATGGGGCGACGGCGAAGTGTCCCTGCAGGACTGGGCTGACCGTAAAAACCGCCGCTTCAAACCTGGTTTCCAGAAGATCATGTGGGCTTGCACCCAAGCTGCCAAAGACAAACTCGATTACGTTTGGGTAGACACCAACTGCATTGATAAGAGCAGCTCAGCAGAGCTCTCAGAAGCAATCAACTCCATGTTCAAGTGGTACCGGCGGTCCACCATCTGCTACGTATACCTGAAGGACGTGCCGGCCATGACCCTGGATCAGTGTATTGAACCCGACAGTGCCTTTAGAAACGCAAGGTGGTTTACCCGAGGCTGGACTCTTCAGGAGTTAATCGCATCGCCAAACATCAACTTCTTCTCCAACGACTGGACGCCGATAGCTACAAAGCCAGAACTGGCGCTTTGCATCTCCGAGATCACCGGCATCGCGTGGTCATGCCTCCTCAAGGGCAGACTCTCCAAGTCCCACCCACTAAGGAGATACAGCGTGGCCCAGCGACTGGCATGGGCATCTCGCCGCTCGACGACGCGCATCGAGGACCAGGCTTACTCGCTTCTTGGGCTCTTTGACATCGCAATGCCGCTCGTTTACGGAGAGGGCCATGAAGCTTTCACCAGACTTCTTGGAGAAATCATCCACAAATATGCCGACCACAGCTTCTTTGCATCTCAGCTGCGATACGTTGACTTTCTCCCTCGGTCACCTATGGAATTCTGTGACTCGCAGTCTGTGGTCGTCAGCGCCTCGCCACAGCTACAGAAGCATTACATCCCCGGGGACCACTCGTATCCGTTCCATCTGACCAACACTGGCTTACAGATCACTCTGCCCATTGTGACCACGTTGGTGCCTCACTTTGTGTTTGGTGTTCTGGACTGCTGGGACGTTGAGAAATCTAGCACTCAATCTACCCGCTCTGTCTCTCGGATATGGATACCGTTGCTTCAGAAGGGTCCTGAGAGGTTGCAGCAATATACACGGTTGCTTTGGCCTCAAACCTTCTTCCCAGTGAAGATGGTTTGGAAGCAGAGTGTAATCGGGGCGATTGATGAGGAAGAGAATATCGCGAGGGTGTCGCAAAGCCAACTGTCAGAATATTCTCTCTTCTGGGCAGGAGAGAGATCATATATAGACTCTACGGCGACACCAATCTCGAGGTATATCGATCCCATCTCAACGGGCTTTCACAGAAGTATTCATATCAAGAAGCCGTATGCGACTATCCTATCTGTTCCGCCGTGGCACCCTCGCGAGGCTGGAAGTCCGTTTCTGTTATGCTTTCCTCGAGGGACTGCCAACTATCGCCTCTATGGCATCTTTCCAGGCGACAGTACTTTGGACGCTGTATGGTCAGCAGAAAAGCCGCCTCTCCTACCACTAGTGCAACCACGCAGAATACAGGGCAACGGGGAGAACCACAGCGACCTCTTCGGCGCAGTGGTTGTCTTTAAGAAACGCCGAGTACGGCCTACGAGGTTTGTCGCTATATGCTTGGCCAATATGGGGCAGACAGATGATGATGACAAAAGCCGGATGAAGTTCACTCCCAAGTGTAAGATTTTCCGGGGCTGGGACACATGGAAAGCCCAAGACGTGCAAAAAATCGACTTTGATGACCTCTCTGATGTTGACACCGAGGGCGAGGTGTTGGTCACAGTGCAGAAGGTGTCAAGCAATCTTCGGTCGGTGGCCCAGGGCTCTGAGCCCCGTTGCGTGGGACTGACCCAGGTGATCTTTGATCGAATTCTGATGATGGACGAGTTGTATCTATCGCCTAAACAAGCACAAAAGGCGCCGGAGGGCATCCTACAGCACTATGGCCAAGAGTGCTCTGACGAGGATATAGGGGATTTGATATAGCGAGCAGCTGATGTTGGTTCAGTCATGATCATATGGATAGAAACCCGGTGGAGATCAAACCAATGTCGCCCTTGCTTGGTGCAATGGCATGTGATCGATCTGTATGCAATGGCGTATCACAGTCTTTTCAACCGTAGAAATCAGAGTGGCATTCTTAATAGCACCATCGAATACACGTAACCAAAGAGAAATCTCCAACGACCCCCTAACCTCCCCGGCTCAGCGTCTCAAACTGCTCGTTAGTGAGAAAGTGACCACCGCCCGAACATCGCCAGCCGTCGTTAGTCCTGAGCCAATCGTACCCAGCGTTACACCTGGTTGCTTCCTTGAAGATCTTGTCCATCTCTGGGTTGTCCCTGAGACTGACCTTGCCACCCACCGGGATACTACTGTACTTCTGTAGCTCCTCCTGCACCCTCTTCTGCGCTTCCTCCTTCTCAGCTTGCTTCCACGCCTCTTCAGCCTCTACCTTTCTACGCTCCTCCTCTTCTTCAGCTCTCTTCTTCGCTTCTTCCTCCTCTGCCTTCTTCCTCAGCTCCTCCTCAGCTCTTCTCTTTTCTTCCTCTTCAACCCTCTTGCGCTCTTCCTCCTCGGCGATCTTCAGCCGCGTCTCTCCTTCAATAGCGCGCTTCAGCTCGCCCCCCTGGCTGGGCTTGTGGATGCCCACACTCGGAGGGGCCTTGGCGCAGACGTCCCATTCGAGGATGGTGCGACGTGGGTGAAAATAGACCTTGGTCTTCCACTCACCCTCCACGAGCACGGCGGCAACAGCCGATAGCGCAGCAGATCCTTGGAAACCAACATGTAGGCCCCCTGGGTTGAGCTTATTCACGGACTGAGAGTCCGAGGCCCATCCACCCGAGTTGCGGTTGTAGGAGAACTCATGCAGCTCATCACGGTTGTCGGTAGTGTAGACGCGGATCCCGAAGAAGGGTGATGCATAGTTCCAAGCAACCGCTGCGAGCATGGCCGTGGGAGGGAGCTTGTAGGATGGAATCTCCTCTATAAAAAGACTAATATTAGCTTGAGCTACGATAAAGACAGTGGCATGTGAAGGGTGGTTGTACTGACGTTGAACCCAGCCAGTGTGATCATCTGCGTAGACGTATGCCAGCACGTCGTTCGTATCGACGAAAAACAGCCTCACTTCAGCCCAGCCCCCCGAGATTGCCGTCAAGGGGGTGCCGGTCTTGGCTCCAGAGGCGACTACAACACTTTTCTCGGCAATCCAACCCTTCTCAGGGGTGAAGATAGCCTCGAGAATAGAGTTGTCGACAGCTTGGTAGAAGACGTGAAGCTTTCCGTCTCCCGAGCGAACGACCGCCAACTTAGTCTCAGGGAGGGGCTGAATGTTAGGGAACCCGGTCTTGTCACTTTCTTCGGTTCCGTTTTCAGTCGCGAGGATCTGGGTCAACTTCCATCCCGGCGTGGGTGGAATCATCTCTTCGGGCTTTGGAAGTGGATCATCAAAGTCGTCTTTGACCGCGGGCGAGAAGGAACTGTGGTTGATGCGCTAATATCGTCAGTGTTTGCCATGATCAAGGGCATTATCGCTTCACCTCCTGAAGATTCCCGCCGTTGGCCACATAGTAGACTCTGGTCTGTTGACAGTTAGCCTAACCTTATATGAGAACTCAACTTGGCTCAAGGTGACGCATACCTCCCACACCTCGTTCGCCAGGTCCGCCCACCATCCAACGGAAGCAACAGAGCTCCCAGGAGCGGCGTCATCTGCGACAAGGTCGTCCGAGGGACCATGCCACTGCTGCGAAGTGCTATACCTAGACTCCCTCACAAGGGAGCAGCCCGCGTTGTACCCATAGATGGATGGTTCGGTGTGGTAGACGCGGATGAACGTGTTGTGCTCAGAGGCCGGCTTTGGCTCAGGTCTAACATCGCACGGGCACTGCTTGATGTCCACAGGGCTGGGTGGGTGCAGAAACGTGATGGCTGATAGGTGGGACTTGGTGTAGTGGGAGGACATGTTGAAAGGTGTCAAGGCTGGGATAAATGTTGCTCGGGGTTTTTAGTTGAGGAACTAGCTTGATAGCTGAGAATATCGTCTTGCCCGGAGGCATCTTTTATGCTCATGAGGTATGAGTTTCCAAAGCACTTCCCTCCGTCTCCCTTTCCGGCATTGCCGGACATCGTTGTAATCCGTGTGTTTTCAAATCTCATATCTTGTCGACCTTTGGCATCGGTCAGCCAGCCATGATACTGTCCGTCGCCAATAGTCTCGAGAGGTTTCATGCAGTTTGTGTGTTGAGAAATAGGGATTGAAAAGTGCTCCGACATGGCCGCTTTACTGGCCGCATAGGGAGTCATGAGGCATTGGTTTGATGGAATTTGACAGCTTGAGCTTGATGACAGCATATGCAACGTGGCCGACGGCATATGCAAGACGCTCGCCATTGCCTAGTTAGATGCTTACCGCATGGTTCATTGTCTGGCAGTCCTTGGAAACGGCCATTAGTAGTTAGACTCATTGGACGTTTACGTCCTTTGGCTGGCTGAAGCATGCTCAACTCTATCCTTCCGGGAATCGAGCTTTTGAAAAAACCATACTTATGCAAGTCAAACGGGCCACGAAGTGGGCTGGTACTATGTTTCCTTGCCAATATTTCCTTTCCACCACTTGTCATCTCTTTAACTATGGTGGATAGGCATATATTAAAATAGTATTTGTATTATTCTAGGGGATAGGAAACCTTATTCTATCCTCGCAGATGCGAAAAGCTGCAGAAGATCTACAATGTGGCGCCCGAAATATTGGACATTGGTGAGCTGAGCATCCTCTACGTGCGGGGATCAGAAAGTCTCAACCCCCTGTCAGGATGTTGATGCGTCCTATGTACTGGTCCTGCTAGGTTTTTTCTCATTCCGGGCTCATCTAACTTTAGCTGAACAATATTGCGCGTGGAAGATATTCCCCCCTCTGACCATCCGTTGATTCCTCGTCCCTTGACTCATAGGGGTGGGCTGACGACATGGCCCTGGACGTGGCCTTAGACAACAACAAATCTCTATCTTTCCGCAGGCTATCAAATGACTCGATCAGATCATTCTATGCTATTACTTGGCCTGTTGTGACGTGTTCATTGGGGTGAGGTACATTTCCACCCCATGCTGCAGCTGCAGCTCTGCTTACCGTTCGCCCCCAGTCACAGCGTGCCCAAATACCGGCATGCTGATACCCTCCCCGCCTCGTATTGATCGGTGTTCGAATTATTTCGAGGCCAGTCAGCTCGGGCCAGTTATCTTTGGTCTATTCCGCTCGGAGTCGCATTTTCACTTCTCCTGATCTCATACAACACTACCATCCAGTCTGCCAAGCTTCCGGGTAAGCCTACCTGCCTCTTCTGTTGACTACAATACATCTCTGATGACCACGTAGTTTAGGGCCAGTAACCTAGCCTGATGAAAGTGGAGATGATGACTCCCTTTACTCACCCAGAGGCGAGCGAGCCAAAGGTGTCTCAGTCATCTGATAATCCCTAAGTCGATGAGAGACCCATTGGTTAACTTGAGCTCGGATTTCTTCTTCATCGGGCTCTGCTCTCCATTAACTCATGTATTGAGAATAGATGATGTCGTAGTGGAAAAGCGACTAAAGGGGCTCCCGAACTGGGTTTGAGAAGAATATGTAATCTATTATACCATCTCTGTATTTTGCGACAACCTATATCCCCGATAATAAGCTCTATCGTATATGACTCGACAAGATAATATGGATGAATACCTTGCCACCTTACATCGGACGAAAGATGATCCGTGTGAGTGGTTGGTTGAGCAGCTTGATTGCTGCCTGCTTCTTCTCTTTCGTCACTTTGAGGAGTCAGCACTGCTCTCATGAGTCACACCCAGCCGCACTGGACCCAAAAACCACGGCGATGATTTAAACGATGCGCTAGAACCACAAAAAGTCTCATGGCAATGGAAGCAGACAAGAAGCTCTTCAGGAACTTGGAGATCTCCAATTCTGAGCTGACCAATGAGATCCAACAACTAGCTCGCTCAAGGAACCATCAAAATGACAACCATATCGCCATCAAGGACCTACTGCTGAGGTTGTATAATTCAATCATCAGAATCGCAGGACGACGGGGACATCCGCCGGCCCCGAACAAGACCATCATTGAGGCGTATCACAGCTTCTTTGGACCCATAGAGGCACTTGCTGGGCTTCCCATGGGTGACTTCCTCACTGCACGCATGTTTATGTACCTTTCAAATGCATTGATTTACGACAAATCTCTCAATTTGAGGTTTAGCGAGAGCAAGGCTGCAGCTGCCTCAGCATTCTTGCATGAGTTTTGCGTCGAGCTGGATGACGGGTTACTCGAGCCCCTGAAGAGGATGTGGATTAAGGATAACCAGGAGCAGTTCCACTGGGTCTTTTCTGAGTGCCCAGTCCAGCACTCAGAAGAGTCTGGTATTGATCCTGCCAGATATTCAGACCTTGCACAAGCACTGTCACCGGAGGAGCTCAAAGCAGCAGGGGGAAAAGGACGGCAATGGTTTCGTTCAGAGCCTGAGGACGAGCCGGACCGGAAACTCTTCTCCACAAGGCTCCCCGATATTGATGACGAAGACACAGAGAATCTTATTTGGAAATGCGTAGGAACCGACGGTCCTATTTGCTCAGGCCGGGTGTACCGCACACTCAACAAAGACGCTGGCGAAGAATCTCTTCACTCGGTTCCTGTGCTTCGAAGATCACGGCAGTTTATCCTTGATGCGCGGCAAATCTCAAAGCCCCTGATAACCAAACAGGGACGGCATCTGCTGGCGGGGATTCTCTTCAGGGCAGAGATACCTACCGAAATTCGAGAAATGATTTGGGCATATATGAGAGAGCCGCCGCCGTCTAGACAAACCAACTACCTCAAAGGCCTTGACATTGCGACCGCCTACACCCCTTTTCCAAAAGTCCCCAAGCCTTGCCAGGAGTGCAAGTTGAGAAAAGTAAGGCGGCGAGACAAGAGCATAAAGGAAACATGCCCCGAGCACACCATTTATGTTTGGAATCTCCCTCTACGCATGTTTCACGTTCTTCACCCGGGGGGCAACTCAGGATGGTGGCCCTGCGCGGAGGGCCTCGAATGTTCTGGGCACCATGATGATGACGAATGGCGCGTGGAGACTCAAGACGAACTTCTAGAGTGGATTGACGCCGTCATTCTTGAACGCAACTATGAATGTTCTGAGCTCTACGATACAGGCTACGGTCCAGATGAATCCATCACACGAAACCCGAAAGAAGACGAGACGAGACATGAGAGGCTATTTTCAGAAAACGGTCCTTTTGTGGACGTAACGGAGCAGCGCAAGATGGAAGGTGGTCTCTGTGGTCCGCTGAGCGTGATGGCGCACAATGCAGCGGTGGTCAAAGCATTTTTTGAAGGGCGAGAGAGGGGAATCGAAACAGCCGAGGTTCAATGGGCTCTGGGACGCAACTTGGTGGAGCAGGCGAGGGCTGAGGATTCAATGAGGAATCTGTGGCATGGGACTACTCGTTCTTGTTGGTTTTGCCGAAGGTAAGCAACCGAGATGTCGTGAGTGAGTCAGTCTGCTAACTCTATAGACGACCGCCGGATTATTTTAGTAGACCACGCCATTTCCCTCCCTTGATGGCTGACTCGTCAGACTCGGACACGGACTGGTAATAGAGACCATCATGAGCCACGATAGAACTACAATTCACACAAGTCTCTTCAGTTGGGTCAGAAGTGAACGTACCTAGCACTCTGACGAAAGTAAACGCGAGGACCGAAACATCCTTTTTGAGCTCTACGAATCAACTTCCGACTGAGATCACGCCGAGCGGCTTTGGAAACCATTCTCTCTAGCAAGGCGAGGGCATTCCGGCTCTCGGTGACTCTCTAAGAACCGAGGTCGAATCATCAACTATGAGCGGTGACCCAGGGAGAATGAACTTTGCCAGCTTCTCAATATTCTTTTCGTCCCGTACCTAATATTATCCGTAGTCTGTCAGTATATTAAAAAAACGAAAAACGGAGATCAACTCCATCAATCAACGGAACCTGTCCCGATCGGAACCGGGCTATTTTGTAACTCCCCCGAGTCGCCACCTGAGTGCGTCAATGCATGAAGCACCTCTCCACATACTGAAACAGCCCTATATTTATCATGATCATTGAGTCAGCGAGTCGGCTGCAAAGACGAAGACGCCCGAGGTTTGCCCTCAGAGATGCCGGACATGCTCTGCCGATGTTCCTGGAGCTGGATATAGATAGACTTGGACAGCCCTACTAGAGTCTTTGAAGCACGCTAGAATCAAAGCCAGAATCACGCTTTCTTTTGCAATTTGCTGTGGATTTCCTCTCGGCTTACACCATGGCTCTCACTTTGGAAAGGGCCGGAACCATTCCCGTCAATGCCCCTTATTATGATCTCGGCCACCACACAAGGCAAATCACGACGAAAAGCCCAGAGGCTCAGGAATGGTTCAACCGAGGGCTAATCTGGGTGTATTCCTTCAACCAAAAAGAAGCAGCTGCCTGCTTTGAACAAGTCATCAAGCATGATCCCGAATGTGTCATGGGCTACTGGGGCGCCGCCTTTGCTTCGGGGCCCAACTACAACAAGGTCTGGATGGCCTTTGGCGAGAGGGATCTAAAGGTTTCTCTCAAGAAATGCTACGACTATTCTCGAAAGGCCAAGGAGCTTTCTTCTGCCGCTACTCCGGCGGAACAGGGTCTTATCGGGGCTCTCCAACATCGATTTCCAAGCACCGAGCCGCCCAGAGATTTCACACCTGCTGTTCTGGCGTACGCGAATGCCATGAGACAGGTTCATCGTCGCCTTGGAAAGGACGATTTGGACGTCATTACACTCACGGCCGATGCGTTGATGAACACGGCGCCCTGGAAGCTCTACGAGGCCATGACCGGAAAGCCCAACCTAGACACACCTGTCCTGGAGGTACATGATGTGCTCGAGCGCGGTCTAGAGCTTCCAAGTGCAAAGAAGCATCCTGGAATTCTTCACATGTACATCCATCTGGTTGAGATGCCCAACACTCCAGAGAGGGGCATCCGGGCAGCTGATTACCTACGCAATCTTGTCCCTGATGGTGGTCACATGGCTCACATGCCAAGTCACATCGATGCTCTCGTCGGAGACTATCGCCGAGCGTTGTACACCAACCTCGCTGCCACAATTGCGGACGACAAGTACTACGCCCGAGAGGGCGGCAAGAACTTTTACTCGTTTTACCGCATGCACAACTATCACTCGCTAATCAACGGAGCTATGATGGCAGGTCAAGCCCGTGAAGCTCTGGAGGCAACCGCACGCATGGAGGCCACCATCACCGAGGACATGCTGCTGGTAGACTCGCCTCCGCTGGCTGATTGGCTCGAGTACTTCAAGTCGGTGAGGGTGCACGTTCTTATCCGCTTTGGAATGTGGGAAGAGCTCAAAAAGCTTCCGCTCCCGGAAAACAAGGAGCTCTACTGCGTCACGGTGGCTTCGGCGCATTACGGCAAGGGCATCGCATGGGCTGCTACCGGAAATGTTGAAGAGGCCGACAAGGAGCGAGAGCTCTTCCGTGAAGCCCTCAAGCACGTCCCTGAGACACGACTCATCTTCCCCAACAAGGTTCTCGATGTGTTCCAGATCGCCGTGGCGATGCTCGACGGAGAGATCGAGTATCGACGTGGAAACTACAAGCAAGCTTTCGAAAGCCTACGTCTCGCGATTGAGAGAGACGACTCGCTAGTATACGCGGAACCTTGGCCCTGGATGCTCCCGGCCCGTCACCCATATGCAGCCCTTCTTCTCGAGCAGGGACACGTCGAAGAAGCGGCACAGATTTACGCCGAGGACCTAGGACTCGACGACAAGCTGGTTCGAGCACTGCGACACCAAAACAACATTTGGGCACTCCACGGATACCATGAGTGTCTGGTCCGTCTCGGACGCACAGCCGAGGCACGAATTATCCAGACGCAACTTGCCATAGCTGCTGCTGGTGCGGACATCGAGATCAAATCTTCTTGCTTTTGTCGACTGGAGACGATGGACAATGGAAAGCAGAGTTGTTGCAAGTAGAGGATTTGGTCTGAACACTGAGAGAACAAGAGTGACTTTCTGGAGGACGGTTTCTGATTCGTACATCAAGCCATGATGTCAATTATGCGGTCAAGAAGAACTTTCTTGCTAGATAGCCGCAAGAAAAGTATGTAACTAGAGAAAAAGAGTATCAAGAATGATCCAATCTTTGAAAATCAGCTCCATCTCAGAACACGGCGTCTTGTAGCAACGAAAACAAATTAAGTATCCAGCCCTTCCTCCTACTTGGTATGTTTGAGAAAAAGCCACTTAAAAGTGATCAGGTTCTACAATAAAACTAACGCCTTCTAAACTGCCTCCTTCGTTCCTTATTCACCATCTCCCTTCCGTTCGCCGAGTGTTAACGAGTGACGAATCGGCCTGGCTCTTTGTGCAACGGAAAAGACGCCTAACAGAAAGTAGGCAATTCGACTATTCTATATGCACAACAAGGCAAGTTTATATCTCAGCCTCTGTTGTCCTCCACCCATAGCCATTTATTGCTCCTGGCGAGGTTCAGGACCTGGGTTGACCTTTGCCGCCTCCACCTCGGCAGCCGCCTTGTTCTGGTCCTCATAGACCTTCTGCACCGTGGGTCGAGCCTCCATGCGCTTCATCCAAGCTCCAACCTTGGGGAACTTCTCATAAAGATCCTCTCCTCCAAAGCTGGGAGCCCAGCGCTGCCAGGCCACAAACGAAAGATCCGCAAGAGTGCACTTGTCACCAACGAGCCACTCCTTATCTCCCAGTGCTCTCTCCAGAACGCTGTTGACTCTGTGAATTTCCTTGACGTAGCGGTCGATAGCGCTCTGCACCTTCTCAGGGTGAAATTTGGCGAACCAAGAAGCTTGCCCGTAGTAAGGGGCCTGGCCCGAGACCTGAAAGAAGAGCCACTGCTGGATCTCATGCTTCTGCTCAAAGTCGGTGTAGCCAAGCTTATGATCCTGGTCGTATTGCTCAACAAGGTAGTTGACGATGGCTCCAGATTCCCAAAGAGTCAGACCAGTGTTTGGGTCCTCAATCGTGGGCAAGCGTCCGTTGGGACAGAGGGATAGATATGGTTCCTTCTTGACATGGGTGAAGTTGACAAATCTGGTCTCGTATGGGATTTCCAGTTCTTCCATAACGAGAGCGACCTTCCAAGGGTTAGGCCCATATTGGTGCGAGTAAAGAATGACGGTTTGCATCGTGAGAAAATGACTGATGGATGTTGAATAGTGTGAAGTGTGTATTTTGACCCGAGACATCTTTAGCACGACCCGGCATGTCTTATGTCTTATACTCTTGTGATACATTGTTTAGTACAAGACACGGATCAATTAAGTCATTATTCCGAGCTCGTTTCACCTCCTATTGCATTTCCCTGTCTATTACTCACATCGGGGATCTCCACTTGGGTCGTGGAGACGTCGGTGACCAGGTCCCTTGAATTAAGACCCCGAAAAGTGCCCGAGAGTCTCGGCATTCTGATAACTACGGAGCCTCCTAATTGCTTCGAAACCCCTGGAATAATATGGACATATACTTTGCTCCAAACCAATATGTTGCTGCTCGACGTTTAACAACACCAATTCACCGTGCCCTGCTCGCATGTAGTTTTGAGTATATCTTTTACTCAAGGAGGAAATCGAACACCCTAGCTTTTTACCTTGGTTTCTCTACCTTTCTAAACTCTCTCTTCCTCTTAACTTTCATTTGACCATCTTTCCCACACGTGGATGTCTCAACCAACCAAGGATCCGGCCAGTCACATTCAACCAACCTATTAGCAAATGATAACGACGCTAAAAGTGCAGTGCACAGAAGCCAGTCATATAGTTGCAATTCCTAGTAGCCACTGGCCAAGTCAACGCCATCATGCAAGCCTCAAGTTCCACAGCATCAGACTGGCCAGCCTGAGGTTGAAAATGGCACGTTCGGCCGCCGACTTGATCCGGGCCAATCGTCTGTCACCGGCTTCTTTCGGCAGGTCAAAGAAATAAGTCATCATTCGCTCAGGCAGCCAGGCGCCCAAATGTGCACATTCATCAATCGCTCGCATCGAATCATGCGTTAAACACTGCCACCACCATCCGCTTCGGTTTCCTGTGTGCTGACGACGTTGTCGATCTGACCATGGGTGCGGGAAAGGTTGAAAAGCGGTCGCCCTCCTATGGCCCAACTGGTTCTGCCTTACTCCCTCAAACCGCTGTTGTCTCCCCAGACGACGTGGTTTCTGCTATGGTTAGTCGCGTGATTTCTTCCTTCTGTCTGGTCAGTACCTTTTCGACTTCGTACTGATGGAAACCAAGTCGCCCGCCCCTCTCCCGCTTGAAGTGCCAGGAGGTCGGACTGTTTGGCGGTGTGTGAGTTTTCCGCAGCCTCTTCCTCCCCCTTACGCTGACCAACGTTTGGGAGTGCAATTGTGCAATGGGATGGTTCTCTGTTGTGTTAGATTCCGACTGCCCTTATTGCTACGTACGACGCTGCGGGGCCTGCACTTACTCGACAACTTAGACTTCCCTCGACTCGAAAGGTCTGCCCTGTCCTCTTTTCTGCTAGGGCATGCAAGGGTTGGTCAACATGACTGCGTCAACTTATTCTTCCAACCTGATCATCCTCGATTCTTCTGCATACGAATGGAACGAGGAATTCATTAGCGGCCGGCCTCAGACTTATGATTCACAAAACATTCCGTATGTTGTGGGCAGATCTGAGATAACGTCGAGCCATGTCCCTACCACCGCCGACGAACTCATCGACTGCTTTTTGACCGTACTGGATGATCGTAATGTGCCACATGGACCCAGTACTTACCAAGACTTGGACCTTCGAGCTTTGTGTGCCGGGTGCAACATGAAAACAGTGGAAGATGGTCTGGAGAACAACGTCAAGAAGCCCGTTGCGCTGCTGGATGACAGGTCTCGCCTGGCCAACAAGCAACTGGCTCTAGCGGGGTACAGGCGCTCAAATCCTGGTCTATTGAATGTGAGCCAATTGTTGGTCGAGCTCAAAAAAGCGGTATGTTGAAGAACGAAGAATCGGTGCGTACTCGGTTGCTAATCATCCGGCTACCTGATTAGAGATATAATTGCCATGGCCAACCCGATGCTGAAAGAAGGCTTTTGTAGGAGGCCCATGTGTGAGATATAATATCAGAACCTCGCTAACGTACTTTCTAGATATGTGACGAATCCAGACTGTTGTGTCATCATGGTCTTGCTGTCCACTGCATCTCCTGAGCAAGCGCTGTACCTCACAGAGTTTTTCTACAAGTATCTCGGCTCTAAAACTTCCCTTGGCATACATCGCCCGGTTCGTTCAACCTCTTGAGATGCTTGCTGGATATCCACTGACTGATTCCTTTACTAGCCACGAGGAGTTCTTTCTTTCGCATTGGAGTTTCATTTGCAGTTCTATGTCTGGCGCGAAAAAGATGTATTGCGGGAAGATCCGAGGAAGAAGAAGAGCGATAAGCCCCTGCGAAGATCGTTTCGACTTAACTTCATTAACGGGGATGAACCTGAAGGGGGTTCTCAGGTCTGCATTTACGAAGCCCAGATCTCGTGTCTGGTAGCGGGTCTAGACAATCATTCCTGGATGGCATATCTATTCATCGACACCTACTATCAGGAAGACTCCTCTTCTGAGAGTGTGGAGTATTACCACTCCCAGGAAGACCTCAGGACGGATCCTCTTGCAGCCGGAACAGTGGACTCGGACCTACCCATTTGGACCCCGAGAGAGTACTTCCTTGTCGTATACGAGTGTCGGTTGAAGCAAGTCAAGCACGCTCTTCAGAACCTCGTCTCGAGATTGCTATTGAAGCTCGAACCCTATGTAAGACTTTAATCTCCCCTGAACCTATTTTCATAGGAACTAACATCGTGGCCTCAACTAAAGGTTCAGGATTCTATGACCCTTGTACCTCACCCGACCGATGACGGCATCTCGCCTGCCCAAAAGAAGAAGATCCAGCAAATGCTAAACGAAGCCAGCAGAGTGCTACGACAAACCATTCACTCGATCTGTAAGGCAGTCGAGGTCTGGGATAGATTCAGCAGCCGGGACGCAGCCTACCTATCAGACATCCTCCGACCAAGAAGCGGCAGGCCGGACCCAATCCCCCCCTTCAGAGTTGTTGCCAGGATAGGGGAGCACATCGACGGACTGAGGGATCTTCAGCGTCTTGCCGAACAGCAGCAAGAACTATGCGCGGGCCTTGCCCGTGAGGTATGTCGCATATTTAGGGGACGACGAGGAGTAGCCGCTTGTCCATCTAAAAAGCTTACAACGTCAGCTGGAAATGGAGCTTGTCATGGAAGACAACGAGATCACTGTCCAGCAACAGGCAACGGGCGAGTTATTAAAGACTTTGACAGCAATCGGCGTAGTAAGTAATACGCGAACAGTCCTTTACTGTTGGCCAACTCTGGTGCTCACTGCTCAAAGCTATTCCTACCGCTTACAGCCACGGCTGCTCTGTTCAGCATGCAACCTGGCGTTCTACCAGCCAGTTTCTACACTGGAAAGTCATTTCTCCTTTGCTGGCTCCTGCCCACGTTTGTTGCAGTCGTGGCCGGTGTGTACTACAACCGAAAGTCTTTCCGGCTGGGTCGTTCTCGACGAGGAGGGGCCTCGCTCCAGGATCACATCTACTCACTACAAATGCGAGGCCGGTATACCGAGTCGGCAAGATCTTTACTTTCAAGGGGAGCAGATATCTCATACAGGGACGATATTGAACTTGGGCCTGTTTCACGTGTAGCAAGCTTTCTTGATTAGACTAATGGTCATCTATTGAACTTTGCGGGTGAGACCTGGATAAGCCAAGCCAATTTACCGCACCATGACCGAGGAAAACAGACTTTCCAAGTCCACAACTTCGTCTGTACTCCTTTCAGACCTCTCCCTCTCTCTAAGCTCTTGTTTCTCCTTCCGGTCCCTATTCTCAGGATTAATTCTTCCATGCTCCCGAGAATAGTCCCTGACCCTCAGTATTCCGCCCATCGGCAAGGCAGTTCTATGTGTAGCAGTGATGAAGTAGTCCAATTGCTCCTTGTCCCTGAACGTGATGAAACCAATATCTTCTGACCGTAATCCGGTAGATTGGGGTGAGTAGTTAAAAAAGCGACGGGCCAGTTTCATCGCTGTGTCGAGAGAGCGTGGAAGCGGACTTCCGGCACGGATCGTTGCGGTGAAAGGATGCTCCTTGCTGTTGGGAACCCGGAAGCCCTTCTTCTTGGTGAAAATGCCAGCAATCCGGCCACATTCTTGCCGAAGCCTGAGTTTCTGTTGGTTTTCTAGAAGGAGAAGTGCACCAGCCAGAGCGCAAGTGGCCACAGCATCATCCCCGGCATTGTCGGCAACACCACCACCGAGATCTCCCCTGCCAGGCTGAAGATCTTGGCAGTGATACCTAAAGATCTTGAGTAGAGATATAAGCCCGGGAACATTCCCAACTGGGGCTATATCTTTGGCGATGTCGCGAAGATCTACCCAGGCTGAAAAGAAGCGCATCGCTTGAGGGAAATATGTGGACAAGTATTCCCACTCGGCTGCCATCCCAAACCCAATCATCACGAGGTTTGTCTTCTTATCGCAGCCCTGGATAAAATCCAGAATGGCAGTCTCCAGGTCTTCGAGATCAACTTGTCGCTCCTGGCCAAAGCGATGAGATCGGCGAACTGGCATGCCCCTATGCCCTCCAGCGCGAACAAGATTGTATTGTGTGTCTTGGTCTATCTTGATGTTGAGGGTTAAGCCTTTAAGTTGCTTCGCTGTGTAAAAGTCTTGAAGGTTTGGGCAGCCGGCGTCGGGCGACGTAGGTGAATCTGGTGTCGGTGCTGGAAAATATGCAAGACCGACTTGATGGAGCATGCGGTCCTTTTCGCTCGTGATGGCGACATGCTCTGTATCTATCGCGAGGAAAGCCAAGTCCTTGAGCGCATTGTGCAGACTTTGTAGTTTTGTGATTCTATTGTTGAAAAGGTCCCTGGAAGCCGGCTCGTGTCGGAGTTGCTCGTAGGTGGCCATGTTGTTCGAGGGGTGACATTCGCCAAGCTATGGGACGTCTCGATTGGCCTCGTTGACCTCCTGAAAGATAGAGTGCCAGTGATCAAAATACGGCGAGGGATGGGTCGTCGATCAAGATGAGGGATACCATACAAGGGCGAAGTGCTCTTAGATGGGGAATCACCGGTGAGTAGTAGCGATCTCGAGACTTGGGGTAGCGATGAACACCGGATCACGAAAGCTAGGAAAGAAGAAAAGAGCGGTGCACAGCCGGGTATTTATTATTCTTGTTGCCTTGCAGAAGGTTTTGCAACTCAGCTATGTAAGTAGATAAAGTTACGCCATGCACGTACTGCAGTCAGTTAAAAGAGAGTTTGCCTTGGGTTTGGCCCGCCATCGTGCGTTTCTGACTCATCACCGAGTATCCCTATCACCTACTGTTGAAAAATGGAAGAGGGCACTCCAAAAGTAGAACGATTCTTTAGAGAGACCTGGGAATGCTCTGTTTGCCTTGCCCTCATCTTTTCGGGTTAATTGAAGACTCGACCCCTTTTCTAGGTTAACTTGGAGATGATACGTGAGCTCGTATGTCACGCCGGTGATATAGGTGACATTGGCTACCAAGGTTATGCAGTTAATTAGCTGTTGAGCTATATCAACAGCCCTTTGCCTGAGTACGCGCAGAAAGGCATCCCTTACTTTGCTGTTGGCGTAACTGATCCTCTGTATGGCTGACAAGGCGGGGAAAATAGATTTCCCGGGCAGTAAAGAACACACCATGTACACTTGTCCCTTTTCTCCCAGACTGTAACATTATCCCTTAGATGCCCGATCATCTGAAGGATGGCACCTCAACCACGTTCATTCAAGTCGGCTGCGGAGACGGAGAACAATGTCCTTCTTGCAATCCGACACCAGAAGGATGCCGAAAGATTCGTGCACCAGCTCTGGGCTCAGAAGGACTCGATCGCGTCCCTAGTCAAGCACCATCTGGGCCTGGGCAGAGATGATGCCTGCAAGGTCTTGTCTCAAGAGTCTTGGGTACAAGGCGGCTTCAATATTTGTGTTCTCGTCGAAGTCAGCTCCGCTGGCTCGACAAGGCGGTTTATTTTCCGCTGCCCAATGTCTCATAAACTCGCCGAGAATCGATATCCTGGCACGATTGATGAGAAAGTTAGTAGCGAAGTGGCAACGTACATCTGGATGCAGGAAAACTGTCCCGATATCCGGATCCCAAACCTCTTTGCGTTTGGCTTCCGAGATGGTAGCCACGTAAGTCTTTGCAAAGTATCGACGCCACAACCTGCCGACGATATCCTAACTTTCGCTTCGTTCTAGTTTACTCATATCCAGCAACGGCCGGTCTACCGGAGAATCTATCACACGATCTGGCAGTGGATTTACCGTGCTTTTCGCTACCCGCTGCTCTCGAGTTACAGCCACAACCCAACTACTCTGTCTCTGGGAACCGCTTACATGCTCCTAGAGTACATTGGCCCCGAGACGGGCAAAATGCTTTCGCTCACATGGGAACAACATTTGAATGACCATTGTAGACGGACTCGCCTGTTCCATGGCATGGCGCGCATCATGCTTTCCCTGGCCCGTCTCCCTCATTCACAGATCGGTTCCTTCAAGTTCAACCCACACGACGGCTCAGTCGCGCTGGCAAATCGGCCACTCACTTGCACCATGATGATTTTCGAAAACAGCGGGACACCGCGGACGATTGAGCCATCCCAACTTTATCACAGCACGGATAGATTCGTCGCTGACATGCTCACACTGCATGACTGCCACCTTCTTCATGACCCACACGCCGTGCGAGATGAGGACGATGGTCGAGAGCGAATGGCCATCAGGACCCTACTTCGGGCAGTGATGCACCACTTCATCCTACAAGATCGACGGGATGGCCCGTTCCTCCTACAGATGACCGACCTCCATCAAAGCAACATCTTTGTGGATGACGATTGGAATGTTACTTGTTTAATTGACCTTGAATGGATCTGCGCTCTTCCAGTGGAAATGCTGGCAGTGCCGTATTGGCTGACAAACTGCAACATAGACGGCATCATCGACGAGGAGATTGGTATCTTTGACGAAGCGCGGCAAGCCTTCATGTCAATCTTGGATGAGGAGGCAGGTAAGATGCGGTTCATGCACGACATTCAGATCACGAGCACGATGAGAAAAGTTTGGGAGTCGAAAGGAGTGTGGTTTTGGGCCTGTCTCAGATCTGTGAATGCTTGGATATTTGTGTTTGAGGATCATATCCTCCCAAAATTCTCCTCTAACGAAAGACTGGTAGCCGACTTGAAAGAGGTGTCGAGCTTTTGGCGGGAGGAGATTGATTCAGTTGTAGAAGAGAAGGTTGCCGAGGAAAAGAGGTACCTGGCCGAGCTCCAGGGCCTCTTTGATGAAGACATCTAAAGAGATGTCCTTCGGCAACATGTTACTGCATCACGATGCACTCAAGGTCTCGGTGAGTTGGATTGAGGACGGACATTGACCCTACCGTATTGGTTCCCGCTGCTGGCATTCATGCAACGAGGACAGTCCGCACCTACTTGTGCCCGATCAGGGCTGCAGATGTCCCTGTAAAAGGAACTCGTTATCGAGTATCCCTGCCATTTACCGTTGAAAATAAGCCAGGGTATCAAGGAGTCGGTAGCATTCTTTTGAACAGGCCTGGAAATAGTGTGATCGCTTTCCCCCAATCGCCTGCCCCAAGGCATCGTTGAAGTATGGTCTCTCATCCGGGCTGGCTTCATCGATGGCATCTGTTAGTGTTCACCGACCCTCCGGTATCAACCTACAATCGGCCTGGGCGCCGAGTCGCCTTCAGCACTGAGCGAAACACTGTGGGTGCTGTATAGGTAAAAGTGTCATGTCCCGTCTAATGCTTCAACGGCCGGGATGAGGGAGCTTCTTGCTGACATCCTAGACGCAAAACCAGTGCTGGGCATTGCCATTGGCAATATGCGTTGAGAGGTCGAGCATAACGCAACTTGCGGTGCACACAGTCACTATCGCAGATTGAGGCATAGGCATGGAAAGACTGTGTTGTCGCGGAGTTTCTCCTCGTAATCGGGGTCCTCGTTCATTGCGCAATCGCCACGATCCCGGTTGAATTGGCCTCCTCCTTGGCGCTTTCAAGTTGTTACATTGTTCAAAGTCTACTCGGTCGTCCGTTTCGCGGGAATTCCTGGTTGTTGGGCTTGATCGTGAATGGGTTGCAAATGCGTTTCGTCCCATCTCCCTCCATGCCTGGCTTCTCCGAGAAGGGATTGAAGTATCTGTGACGTGTAAAGAAACTCAATCCCCCATGACATGCATGTTGAGGGCCAAGGGAAGATGAAGATGCTAGAATTGGTCCAGATTGCGTTTCCAATGGCCGTGTTGCTCGCGCGGGAAGAGCCTGACCATCCCTCAATTGGGCACCCAGCTTTGGGGGCTTCTGGCCTGTGTCGCATTTGGCTTGCTGAACGTTGCAGGGTCCTTTCATTCGGCTCTAGTTTGGGAAATCATGTGGGTGTCGGCCGGGTCTCAAGTAGCGGTTGCCTTGATTCCCTTTCACAGGTCGGGGCCGGCGACAAGGGAGATGTGTTTCCGCAGGTTGGGGGGATGCGAGGTTCTCCAGCGCTCTCTAACGAGGAAGGTCCGCTGAGTCTCAGCTCGGCTCGGTAATCGTAGTCCGGTGTCCCATAAGCTCAATCCTTTGTGTGGGTGTCGATTCGTGGGCTCTGCGTAGTCGAATGCGCTCCTACGACGGCCTCCGGTCTCGGGTCGAATTGCGTCGTCATCGTCGCTGTCTAGGGAGTGCGACAAGTGGTGTCGAAAAAACGGCTGGTGCTAGAACGGTGAAAATTTCCGGTACATCAATGATACCATGGACAGAAACAGAAGCAGGCAGAATTGGAAAAGGAGGACTTTGGGGGCGAGCCTGGTTTTCTGGTTCTGCCCTGCTGCCCAAGCTTGACACCCGACCACGTCGCTGAGAGCTGCGGAATGGAGGGGGAGTGATCCCAGTGATGCGAAGAGGTCAGATACTTACCTGCTCCCGTCTGTATACGAACAAGTACAGTAGTCGCTGCGAGAGAACACCTGATTATTTTTAGTCGATGCAAAATTTGCAATGTGCATGCTAGGTTGAAAATGCAGTTCAGGGACAGACGGGAGAGTGCATGTTGATAATGTGTGTTAGAGTCACGGGTACGGCAGAAATGGCGCGTCAATCGCTTGGCGCGGAGGCCTCCTCCACACAAAGAGAACATGGTAGGGCATTCAGTCCGAAATTCGATCATTTCCCACCCGGGGCTGTGTAGGGCTCCGTGGTGAGAACGTGATGGGAGGCAGAATGCCAGGCACTCCGGCCTGTGCGCTGTCCAGACGGCCCTCCAGCGGAGCGGACCGTTAATCATTGGGTCCGGGGGAGCGACAGAGCGGAAGCCATCCTGTGGAAATCTTCACGACAAACAGCCACCCCGTTGGCGCCACCATGGGGGACATAAAACACCAGACATGGGAAGGTGAGTGCGCAGCCAATTCAGTTTCGTGTATTTTGTCCCCCTTAGCGCCGTGTTTCATGATGCAGCGGCAGCCCCTGGCTGGAGCACGTTGATTGGATGCGGCGACACGCCCAGAACAAAGGAGACTCGTGTCTCGGTGCCGGTCTTTGTTTACTTTGTCTCTCTCCCACAGGTGAGATCAAGTATGCAGCTCTAACGATGATGCCGGTTGGGGCCCCTACGTCACGGTCTGACTCTGTACGACGGGCCTAGGCGTTTTTAGCATGGGCGTCTTGGGTAGAACTGAGTACGATCTTCTGGCTCAGTTAACCCGTCAAGGGCCAGGCTTCAACTATAATGAAGAACACATTGGTAGAACTAAGTACGGTCGGTGAAGCTAAAGTACTCGATGAAGGCCTCATCAAAGACAATCAACCAACGTAGCATCTGTGTCTGGGCTGCATCTGCCCGCTCGCAGCGGCCAGCTCTTCGGGCTCGTTCATCCGCTATCCCTAGAAGCTTGGGGCCCTGGTGGCGATCGAGCGGGAGACCCTTGTCTGCCATCCATCTTGGCGGACCCATCTTGGCGCATCGTGCCAAGCCCAACTGAGTGCGCTAAGGGGACGAGGCGCTATCGAAGTCGTCGTGACTCAATTGTTTGAAGATGGTCAATATGGAGACTTCTGGTCATGGCAAGTCAACGGCAACTCCAAAAATCACCAAAATAAAGGTAGGATAATGTCTTCGATGCTGTGATACCCATGCAGAGTTGTTCTTGCCTAGGTTTGGTCGGCTCGCTCCCAAGACTTGGATTGGTCCTCACGCATGTGTTTTAGGAACGTCATCAGGGCCCCAGGATCATGGATGGAGCCCTTGGATCCATCCAGGGGAGCGTCCCCTGGCACGGCACCAAGCCACAGGGCCCCAGGGCCGCTAAGCTTATTGCTCCATGGAGCAGTCCGTTTCAACTCCAGGGCTGCTTGGACTGGGCTGTCAATGTTGGAGAGACGGCCCCACGAGAGAGTGAAAGAATAAAAACCTCTCTATGCACAAAAGCTGGGTTGGCCTGTCCTGAGTAAGAATGCGTCAAATGACAAATTAAGAATAGGAAAATAACAAAGAGAAGATCAATAGAGCATTGTATGTGTAAGCTAGTTTTAGAATTATCGTTGTGCAAATTCTTCTCTACAAAGAAGGAGCGTTTGATGACCACCAGAAGTACCTCATCATTCAACCGTCTCACTTATTTCCTCAGGGCCCACACCCTCGACCTGACATCCGCTGCGCCTAGGCCAACTCTCCAGTGTATCAACCACACACTGAATGAGCCGACAAGTCCGGCCAGAAAGGCATGCTGCCTTGTTGCGACCCATTCTAAACACCTGTGATGGTTCGAATGTGTTTCTGGCAATATCTGGTGGAGTGTCCCATCCCCTTTTCATGGCGACGTAACCACTCTCCTTCTTCTCTTCTTCCCTCTTTCCAGACCACAGCGCCCAGTCTATCATTCTTACTTCTGGGCTATTGCTGTTCTATTGCTGTGAGCGTTACGATTACACGATTCTACGACTCTCAAAAGCATTATTACCACGATCTTTACAGCGATTCCATATTACATACCGTCACAAGGAGTAGCCGCCGCCGCCATGGGTGTTTCCGCTGTCGCAAGCAAGCCACTTGGGGTCGCCCCCAGACCCATTCATTTCGAGATGAACCTGTCCACCATCAACGACAAGAGTTACGATCATCGGAAGATCATAGAGGCCGGCTTTGCCCCGTCCAACATCACGCTTGGGAACGGAGAGCTCAGGCCAACGAGCAAGGCACTCGTCCCACGCCATGTCGGGTCTGTCGTTCTTGCAAAGAATGGTCAGTAGCGATGCCGGCCAGTGGCTTGGTTGTGGCTGAACCGTCCATGCTAACAGTTACCCGAATAGGCCTCAAGCTTTGCTACGATGTTATTGCCTTCAATTACATCGCCGTCCACTTATTCGAATGCATGTCAGCTGCTTATTTCTTCGCATTCAAGGATGATCCTCAGGCATGGATCAATCTCCTATGTGAAGCGAAATGCACCGACGTCGACATCAACAATCAAGTCTCATCCTGTGCTGGCTCTGCCCCACAGACCCATGGCCACAAGCGTCACAACTCTGGGAGTGGAGGTGGAGAGCCTAAGAAACAACGGTCCAACAATCGGGGCCAGGACAAGAACCCCTACAATGACAACAACTTCAACAATGCCGACGATGATTATGACAGTGACGAAGATTCCGACAGAAATCACAACATCCAGAAACCCAACAAGGATGAGCCCCCCAAGAAGAACCTCGCTTGCCCATTTCAGAAGTTGTACCCCGGTCGGTTCCCCGAGTGTGAACAGCGCCTCCTGACCAGCTGGGATCGTGTTTACCAACATCTCAAACGCCACCACCTGCTCAAGAAGTCTTACTGTGCTCGCTGCCGCAAGAGGTTCGAGGATAAAGACGACGTCCTCAAAGATGATCACATTCGACGAGGTGATTGCCAAAAGACCACTGCAAAGGAGACCGGGCTCCTCCTCACCGCCGAGTACAACAAGCTCAAGAAACTTGGTCGCGGCACTGATGAGGACAAGTACAAGGAGGCATGGGGCAGGCTGTTCTCAGAAGAGCCCTGCCCCAAATCCTTTCTTCTTGAGACCGAGCTTGAGATGCTCGAACGCGAGGCACCCGATATTCTAGCTGGATTTCCCGAGTTTGATGGGATGTCGGATGCGAGAAAGAAGGAGATTGTTCGTGCCCTCTTCCGGCGAGGTTCGGCCCCGATCCCGGATCCGACCCCACCGGCTCTTACCCAGACCCCAGACCCGGACCCTACCTCGATCTCACAGCCAACTGGCCAAGGCATGGGCACCAACCCGGTTGATGGACAGGCAATGGCGCAAGCCAGTCATGGCTCGATGCCATACATTGACCCGGCGATGATGGCTCAGCTCATGGCTCTCCAAGCCCCGCATCATGCGACCTCGTATGATGGAACCCCGTCTCATCAGACCCCGTATCAGTCGGACCCGTACCATTCGGGCCCGTACCATTCGGGCCCGTACCATTCGGGCCAGTTCTCGGCGCTAGCTTCATCTGATCTTCAGGGCTCGCCCGGCATGAGCACTAGCTCGATTGCCGGTACCCTGACCATGCCGTCTCAAGTTCAGATGAATCCCCAAGCTGGGCATGGCCAACCGCCTAATGGCTCTGGGTCCATCCCGCCGTGGAATTCCGATTCGATGACTGGTCGGCCAATTGAAACCCCGGCCTTGACTGAAATGCCGGGTCAGGTTCCAATGAATTCTACATTCGGATTCTGTTCGCAGAGCCCCGGCAGCCAGAATCATCTCAGCCAGGGCCAGCTGAGCTACCTCGACTCGCTTCCACAGACCTGGTCTGGCTCGATGCAGGCGATGCCTGACAGTTCGGCCTTGGACAATTTCGAAACTGATGACGAATTATCTGATGATTTATTTAACTTTGGCACGAGTGAGGGCCACGATGAGCTGGATCGCTCCTCGGACTGAGGCAAAGGCAGCGGCTCAGGCTCAGGCTTACGACGGCATTGACACGACACTCCCTTTTGGTTACGACTTTTTTGTTCAACGTTGACACGACTCTCTTTTGGCTACGACTTTTTTTTTGTTCAACGTTGACACGACACTCTCTTTTGGTTACGACTTTTTTGTTCAAAGTTGGAAAGTTTTCCTAGACTACTATATACTTTGCTATATAACTTTCTTTTGTCCTTTCTTGCGGACTCCAACATACTCGTGAAGTCATCTCCATCCTGGGTATAAAATGCCATTGACTTGAGCTACCTAACACTTCGCCACTACATCTTCCGCCCTAAATCCTCCTTCCTTCTCACGCACTACCGTGCTCGTCCACCATCTTGTTTACGAGATTCTCCAAGGTCAACTTACAGAGCGCTGCTTGGGCCCTCTCGTCATCTTGCCCAGCCTCCCCCAGCGTCCCTTGTTCCTTCAGGAAGTCCGAAACGACTGTCCGGCCATGCTTCTCCCAGTAATCCCGGGCCATGGAAACTTCCAGTCCCAACCCCCTGTCCAGATACGGCGAGGAAAGTGACTTCTCACTAGGGAAGACGGTAGCATTGATACGCTCCCAGCGTCGCTTGTTGCTGAGATTCGGCTTGTCGTCCCTCGCCAACTTGGCCTTTTGGTAGTAATTGATGCCTTCCGGCAGCACCAATTCACGTAGCTCACACTCTCTCCTGATAATGTGGTTGTCGCATTGACCCACAGAGTCAAATACTTGAGAACATATCGGGCAGTAAGGAGCCCTCATGTGATGACGCTGTACATGTGTGACGACTTTGTCAAGAGTCACCAGGTCATGCTTTTTGAGGCATTGTTGGTGCTTTTGCGTATTTGACGCGTAAAAGGGGCAAGAGAAGCGCAATTTGCCTCTTGGTGGCGAAACCACCACGAATTCTTCGTCGCTGTGCTCTTTGTTGCTGGGTGTTGAGGGCTCTGACTGCCAGTTTGATGACCGTGAGCGTTTGCGAGGAGGCTCTTGTTTGTCGGATGGTACATCGTATTGTGCAATGTCTATGTACTCCCGGACTCTCCTAAGAGAGTGGTCCAAAAGCGGTTGCACTACATGCTGAAACCTGTGTGAAGATGATGCCAAGATGTTTTCGTCATGCTGATCTCCGCAGCAAGACTCGACATCGGATTCATCACTGCCAGAGTCATCAAGACTGTCATCTACCTCATCATCTGATGCAGCTGGAGTGATGTAGCTGTACGCTCCAGAGCTTTCCCTGGAGCGAGGAGGTGGCGATTGGCGGTTGGCAGGGGTCCCCGGTCTGCTCCGTTTGATGCTGGTCGCCGTTGTGGACGAGCTATTTGATCCGGCCGGAACATGTCTGTATGGGAGGCTCTTTGTGGCATGTGTAGTTGGAGGAGATGTAGAGTGCCGAGATGTTGGAGAGTGAGGAATGGCCATTGTATAAGTCAATCTTTTTTAAGGCACAAGAAAGGGGAATGAATTGAGTAGAACAAGCATGAGATGAGGGATTGAGAATGAAAACATCGCAAATGTGGACGAAGTTCCAGACGGACAATATATAGTTGAAGTTGTAGACATGACATTCAAGATCGCCTAACCGCCCAGGGGAGAAAACAAGTCGCAGCCTTGAACACACAATTGCGCCGACGGCGTTGAGGGGTATCATCTCATTGGCCAATCCTACATGGGCCCCGCATAAATCTCCCACAGCTGTGTGCGCTGTGTCTTGAGATGGGTCGCATCAAAAGTCGACCAACCTATGACAGGGCGCAACCCCAGGCGAATGTCGGGCTTAAAGTGCCAGTTTGCCTTTTTTACGACCGCCTATGGCTTCATCGCAACTGAGGAGAAGAAATTACAACGTCATCCGGTAAAACCGACGTGGTTACCCCCTACACAGCATTGAGACCAGGCGGCTGATTCGTGGGGGCCAATCCATTTACTAAAGTTGAAGACCTCCAACACATGTCTAAAGTTCCAATCTCCTGTGATAAGCAAGAGGCAATGGGATTGTCTACTAGGCTACACTACTGCCTACTAAGGCGAAGAAGAAAAGGATCTTTATACAACGGGGAGGCTTTATCTACACGAACCGCAGGTCAGGTTAGAATCCCCCCTCACCAAGTCCGCTACACGACGGGTTTCATCCTCACACACAGTACCCGTCCTCAGCCTCACACTTACGCCCTCGACGCGTGAAGATTCAGTCCTCCTCCGCCTCCCAAATACGCACATTCTTATCTTTAGACGCTGACGCAAGCCTATACGCAGACGGTGAGAAAGCCACAGAAAACACAGCATCCTCGTGTCCCCGGAGAACATGTATCTTCTGGCTGGTCGCTACATCCCATATTATGATGGTCTTGTCCGCAGAGCCAGATGCCAAACGCTCACCATCGTGGGTAAAGGCAACAGACCAAACGAAATCTGTGTGCCCGCGCAGGCAGAGAAGTTGCTTGATGGGTTTGCCAGGTCTCGTGTCCCAGAGGATGACTGTCTTGTCGGATGAGCCGGATGCAAGACGAGAGTTGTTTGGCGAGAAAGCTACGGCGTGAACACAGCCGATGTGGTCGTCGAGAGTTTCGACAAGGTTTCCTTTAAGATCCCACAGGCGTATCGTCATGTCAAGAGACCCCGAAGCCAGGTATCGACCATCAGGTGACAGAGCCACGGATGCGATGGAAGAGTCATGGCCTGATAGCTCCAGTGCCAGGTCACCACTCTCAAGATCCCATACCCGGACGAGATTGTCATGCGCACCCGATGCTAGGTAACGACCATCTGTCGAGATGGCAACCGACATGATGTTTGCATGCGCGAGAAACGTCTTTGAGGGGGAAGTGGGCGAAGCCAACTCCCACAAACGGATCGTTTGATCCAACGAACCCGAAGCCAACGTGTTGTCCTTTGCAGATACTGCAACACTTCGAACAGCACCAAAGTGCATTTTGATGGTCTTTTGAAGGCTTTTGCTTGACAAGTCCCAAACGCGAATACTTTTATCCTCAGACCCTGAGACGAGCTGCTTGCCATCGGCAGAGAAGGCCACCGAGAAGACAGTGTCCTCGTGGCCAGAAAAGACATTGCTCCTCAGTAGCAGTTGACTGGATCGAGTTTTACTTGCTTTGGCACGCGGAGTATTGACCGACGAAGCATTTCTTGATGGAGTATTTCGGGGCGGAACGTTCCTTGATGCATTTCTCGATGGGGCGTTTCCTGAATAGACATCCCCTAGTGCTTCATCCCATCCTAGTGAGGAAGAGACATGTCGCTTCTTCTTACCAGAAGGTGACTCAACCGGCGACGATGGCAACTCCTGGTAGGGCCGCGAAAAGGAATCTGATCTTGCTTGGCTCTCTGTCTGTGGTGTTGATGCCGGAGTCGTATGTGTAGGTTCAGGCGCAGGTGCAGAACTGTCACCGGTTCCCTCTTGTTTAGCTTCTGTCGACTTCCAAGGCTCTGGCCTCGGTCCAAACATGGGATGACTGGTCCGCGACGAAGTAGGCGATCGTGAAACCTCTGCATGACTCCTTCGAGTTGTAGCCCGTCGTGTTGTCCCAGCGTCGTTGGCTGGCTCATCCACTACCACCTGGCGAGTGCCAACAGTGTTGGACACGTTGGTAAAGTCAACTGACCCTGCCAAAAGTCCATCTGATATGACGTCGGCTTGAAGACGTGACATCCTGATGGTCCCCCGAGCTGTAGGTTGTGGCTGTGATGGAGCCGCATTGGGCGGAGCATCAACTGGAACCACAATAGGTGGAGGATCAATGCGCACAACCTTTGGAGTCGTGGATACCGTCACCGCGACGGTCTCAGTAACCCTCTGCGTAGCCCTCCTCTCCAACATCTCCGTAGTGTGAGCAGCCACATCTGCCGCACTCACAGCCCTCGCCGGCCGCGGCGCCGGCTCGTTGTCGTTCCTATCGTGCTTGCTGCATAGAGATCCCATACCTTCATGGCCTTGCGGGATGCAGCCTGCTGGCCTCAGTTAGTGAGTTGTCGATGCAAACTGAGGTTCAGCGAGTCAGGCCACGGAGCTGGTCGCGAGACCCTGACCGTGACCGGGATAACATTATCCTGGACGAGTAAAAATTGCCGCCCTGGTTAATTGCACTTGTTTTAGAATTGAGCTTAGCCACACTCGTCAGAGGACCATTGTGACTCAACACAGGTGTGTGAGATGCAGGAATAACGCACAGCTGCGCTGTGAGATTCACGAAAATGCTTCGGGCCTGAAAGTAACAAGCGCTCTTCAATTACACTCTATTTTACAACGTATTGATAACTGCCTGATGGCCTTTTTCTTCATTTCATCCACAGTTGTGGAAGTTGGGGGCGTCAGCTGCGCAGGGTTATAGCCTGTAATCTTCATGGTCCTCTTTAATCGATGCCACCCTTCACCTTTACACCAGACTTTGTGGAGTCTGTTTTTTGCTATGAAATGCCTCCATATCTGTTATACAGGTATTTTTTTGCGTTCAATCCCAACTGCCTTTCCCAATTACATCATGAAGTAAAGCGTCGCTGGCCATTTACACCTTTTCCCACGTGAAGCACTTGAGCAACGATGCCGTCTTCTGCCCAGATTCCTTCCTTTCGCCGCCATTTTCCTCAAAGCATGTAAATGTTCCGTCGTCATTTCTCCTCCCTCTGTTAATCTGCCCTCCTCGCACGACCAACATGCACAGAGATGCAGCGACAAACATGAAGCCCGTAAACAGCTGCGCTCCAAGGTAACTTCCCGTGCCTAAGTAAATCTCCACCGCAATCGGCTCGCTGAATGTTGAAGGGATGACCATTGCTACCCAGAGGATGCTCAACCCTGAAGCTAAATTCTCGATGCCCATTACCTCGACGATGACTGGCGCTGCGTTGACCCAGAATATCCCAGCCGATAGTCCTCCGACGAGAGCGAAGGTGATGAGCACCCCGAACGTTTTGGCGTTGACCCAGATTGCGAGTGAAAAGACCCCCGTCATAAAAGTCATGAGGGTCGTGATGTTGAGACGACCGTATCGATCGCTTAGCCATCCCAAGCAAGGTCGTCCGATGGCCTGGCCCAACATGAAGAAGGCGGGAATCATAGAAGCCTTGGAAGAGTTGAGCCTGATCACGTTGGCGTAGTTTGCGAGCGTGAAGATGAGGACAAAGTATCCGAGCATGCTAAATGCACCAAAGGCTAGGATCCAGAGATACTCCTTTCTCTTGAGGAGCGAAGTGTCAAAGGCTAATTGGCGTGCCCCCGTAGCACCATATCGAGTCTTGATGAGGAGCGAGCAGACGATGTTTACCACAGCAGAGACAATGGCGAGAATTCGGTACGCCCATTCCAAACTCATGGTGCGTATCATTGCCCCGACCGCGAGCGAATACGTGAGACCTCCAAGTCCTGCGCCTGCGATGGCGATACCGTTTGCCAAGGCGCGTCGTTTCGTGAACCATTGCGAGATGATGCCGTAGGAAGGAAGGAAGAGCAGGCCCATGCCAATACCGAATAAAACACCCTGCGATAGGAAGAGATGCCAGATTTTTGTTGAAAGACTTGCGCAGACGAGACTAAGAGCTTGAAGAACAGCACCAATGAGCATCGTCGGTCTTGTTCCAATTTCTCGAACGAAGATGGTGACGAGTGGTGAGATGAGCATCATGACGCCAATGCTGAGAGATCCGACGGTCGCGTACATGAGCGCCGTTGCTCCAGGGAATGTGCCTTCTTTCAGGTAGTGAGCCAAAAAGACTGAGTAGGCTGCGCTGATGCCCCAAGAGTGGCCGTTGACGATGGCCACCGAGGTCGTGACGACCCATCTATAGCCTTCATCAGGGGCTTCGTCAGATGGTGATGCATTTTGTTGGGATTCTGCCTCTTGAGAGGACGAAGGCTCCTCTTGGTTCCCCATGATTGTTCGAGAGGGTGGGTTGGAAGGAATAGGAATGCCGCTACACCGTCGAGACTTCTATTCATACGCTACTGTGATGCAAGGCTAGATGTCGACGCCGGGCCAGGCCATCTATGAGAGATATGACGGACCACCGGGTCAAGATCCCGAGAAGGTTGCTTTGGAAATTGGCATTTGTCACTCGTTGCCTGATCCAACGGCACAGGGTCCTTATTTCCCTGTGACGACGGCTATTCGGCCGAGGAGGGCGCACGAAAGGATTTTGCCGAGAGGGCTGTTCTAGTCTCCGATCTCAGGCATGCAAGATCGGATCTTTTACGTGATGCTGGGGTCGGGTTTTTATGTCACTGACCCGTAGCATCTTTCGGCTCACGAAATTTGATCAAATGATGTTGATATGCCATTCGAAATGAGGGGCCAAGGCTTATATGAGGTCACATTCCCTGTTTCTGAGAAATCAGGGCCATTGTCTCTCGATTCTCCTTGTTCCATTGGAGGAGGAGTTGTGAAGGTTCCGAGTTGAGTAGACCGATAGCCGTGCAACCTCGCGAGAACCGAACTTACAAGACCCGCCACATCGGCTTAGCCGACACGGTAGAAAAGATTTAGACTAGATATTAGTCCTTGTCAGATGGCCAAAGGGGTTCTTTTGATCAAGTTTCCATGACTCCGTATCCCATTACCCCAGCCAAGACTGATACTGATGAGGAAGAAGCAACGATTTATTCATCACGTAAACGCACCGAGGAATTACTTCAAAAGAGTCTTGGATCCATCATTCAGCCTGGAGTTTATGACTAGAAATCATACGTTGGGTTGGTGATCATCCCTTGTTTTGCCACTAATGCACCATTTCAGTTCCCAGTTCCTTGTTGCTTTGTCCATCCACACTTCGAGATGAGACCCGAATCATAATGTATCATCTATGCTTTCTAGACCAAGCTCCACGCTTTGCTGTAATATGGCATTGTAAGTAAGAAAACGCCATCTGTTCATGGTTGTGCTTAAGGTGGTTCGATGCCTTTGTTCTCTCCTAGTCAGCAGTCCTCAAGCCAAGGATCAGCTGCAGCAGAAGGACTCCATCTTCTAGCTCAGTTAACCCATCTAGGGCCGGGCTACAACTATAATAAAGAACACATTGTCAACACATCATTTAGAAAAACTCATCACTTGCAGAACTAAATCTTCCGGGAAATCATCTAGGCTAGTTAGTCACACCATTGATAAATTGGATTTGAAGACAACTTCAAACGCCTTGTCACGGTACTTACATACTTGTTTGCACGGAGATCTACGAAATTGAAGAGAAATAACGCTTGTGTGATAACCCTCCAGGAGATTTCTAATGCTGAAAATGCATCATAGGAATCTGTAAATGATGGTGGAGTGGAGTGGAAGGATGCCCGTGGAAACCAGTCCAAACCAGCGTCGAGGTCAAGAGGCAATGCAGGCAGATACCGCGGTCTCTAAGGGCATCCATGATGCGACAGAGTAGGACCTTAGCTACGACAGCTTTTCTCTCGAATCTTGGAGTGTTCTACCTGGATGACAATTCGAATAGGTTAATAGTCATTTACACTCTAGTATGCTACCCGGGACTGACAATAAGCTCTCCTCGAGACTCAGAAATGCAAGTAGAAGCACTCATAAAGAAGCAAATTAGCAGTGGAAGTAGTTGAAGAAGAAATCTCAAGGTTCACTGATGTTGTCTTGACAGATATATACTAGGCTCCGAGAGTGTGTTCCAAGGTCGTGATGTGTTTGCGGTCATACACCTCCATCTCGACGTCAATCACCAATCAAGACAATAATTCCATCATCGGGAGTATATGTGTCGTAGCAAGGGAATTGCACCCAAGCTGTTGCGTTTGACTCTTTTATTCCAGGCGCCTCTAAAATCTTCCCAGATACGCAAACGACCAGAAAACATGCATGTGGATTTTTGAACACCCAGACCATTCATTCCTGCAAGAAAAGACAACATGCTGCTCAAAGAAAGAACCCCATCCCCAGACCAGATGCGCCAAGGCATTAATACACCTCCATTTCCTCGTCCTGGATCTCGCCCTGTCCGTCGTCGTTTTCGCCGTCGTCGGAGGATTCGTCAGGGATCTGGATCTTGACCCTGCGAGCCTCGCCACCAAAGACCTTGACCTCGTGCTTCTTGGCGACCAGCTCCTCGTCCTCCACCTCCATACCGGCCTCGGCGTTGAGCTCCTTGAGCCTCTTGATCTCGCTGCCACGGAGGCGGGGGAGCAGGTGCTCGTTCTCGGAGACGAGCTTGCGTGCCTGGGCGAGCTCGCGGGCGCGCTTGCCAGCCATGCGCTTCTTGTAAAAGACGCGCTCTCTGCGGGCGCGGATCTCGCTGACGCGCTTCATGGCGACGATGGTCTTTTCCACCAGCTCGCGGTTGTAGCGCTCGGGAACGTTGCGGCGGGCGCCGAAGAGGAGGGTGCTGTCGCAGACCATCTCCTTGCCGGCCTTGACGCGGGAGGCCTTTGTCCACCGGAGGGAGCGGGGGTTACGCTTCATCTTGAAGTTGCGGTGGCATTTTGATCGGCAGAATCGAAAGGATTTTCCTGTTGCGGCGGTGTGAGCGAGGCGACAGAGTTGAAAGAGCTGGAGAGGGACGTACCATCGTTTCTGACAAAGGTGATACCCTTGGAAGGGTATGATGGGCGACCACAGAAAAAGCACGGGTCGACTCTAGAGTTAGGGAGTCAGCATCGCAGTCATTTCCACGGGAGCGCAAAAAACGTACCTCATCTTGGCGACTTGGTGATGGTTTACTAACTATCGCGAAATTTTGCAGACCAAAAAATCTGGTCTGCAAGGTGGGGGGTCGGCGCCACCCTTTTCCGCTCCGGATAACGATAAGAAAACGTTAATGGTGCAGGGGTCAGTCAGCATGTGGGTTTACACGTTCTGGCTGTGGATCAACAAGGCTCTTTCAACAACCATCATTTCGTCGCAAAGGGCATCTCAGATGTCTCAATCTCGCTCAGAATTTTAGCGATTTTCTCAAGTATCTACCCTCCGACTGTGATACATTTTTTAAATCCTCATGTGATCTCCAAAGCTCTCCTTGTCCAAGCAGGTCATGGATGTGTCCCTTTCTACTTTGAGCGCTCGCTCCGAGGCTCATTCCTGGTGATATCCACTGTAGCAGCTGTGTTGTTTGTAAATGCTATTACATTCGCGCTCAAGCAAGCGAATGCCTCAGAATCGCCCGTCCACTTACACAAATTCATTCACACCGGGTTCAAAGGCTCCGGGAAGGGTATCGGACTGTTTGAGCTACTCCCAAGATCCTTCGAAGATGTTATCAAGCTGCGAACAATTCACGTTGCTCTTCATATATCTAGACATATATTCCTCGACCGAAGGGTGAAAGGAAGAGACTAATAGTGTACGACGAGTAGAAAACTACGCTTCCGCTGGGCTGGAAAATGTTTTCAACTTTAATCGGGCGATATATCTTTAGCTTCTCTGGTACTGACGGAGCGTGACAGATCCTGATCCGGCCTATCAGTACTCGGTACAAGATGCTCGGTCTGACGGCAAAGACGGAGATTTTCTAAGCTTTGAGGCAATATCGTATGCCTAGGGATCGACACAGGATCCTATGCAAGCATTTTTTGAGTGTTCTTCGCAGCCTCAAGGTTTTACACATCTCGACATCGGTCAGAATCTGACCAGCGCTCTGCAGTATCTCAGACACGATGTAGCTTTTGATACGCTCCATCATCTCGGCGAGTAGACAGTACAAGTGGAGGATAGCTAGGTTCCCTCCGCTGACGCAACTGAGCCTGATTGGTATCGACCTGACCATCCTCTACCAATTTCTAAGGATACAACACACTGTATTGAGAGTGTGCTGCAGCGGGACTGGTTTTATCGCATGTGGATTCTTCAATAGAACATCCTGTCAAGCTCACAGAGCACAATTCAGTCCAAGTATAGTCAGATGCCTTGGCTCATTTCCAGCAACGCAGTATGTAGTCTCGAATCCAAGGGCAAACAGCTTCCCAAAGGCTTCCAAGATGCCGTACAAGCACTAGTCCGGATGACTCTCGATCCAAACCCCTGATCAATAGTGGACATCTTTCGTCGGCTTAGAACATACGAGACCATAGATCCACGGGACAAGGATGTATAACATGAGGAGATTGTCTTGATCTAGGTGGAGGGGAAGAAGCTGGCACGTCCTGTATCATTGTTTTCTGGATGGAAGCATACCATATCTGAAAGGAGAAAACTAATATAGTGGAACGCGAATATGCGTTAGAGGTCCGAATGAACGCAGCTGCCATACACATAAACATTGAAGACAATAATCTGCTACCACGGTTGTTGGCTTGCGGTGAGTATGTGAGTTCTTTGGGACCGAGTTACAGGTAGGTCCTTGTCATGGTGTGAATTTGTGATAATCGGGCGTGTTCTGGTTATAGAAATATCTGTTTAGCTCCTCTCACACAGGGACGCACAGGAACTTGTCGTGGGACTTAATAAAACCAATAGTATACACACATCCAATCAGACTCATTAGTTAGAGAATACGGGCTCGGGATGTAACCCTTGCAGACTGCCGTGATAAGCTTATCCATGGCTTGCATTGCCGCCGGAGTAGTGACAGTCACGGAAAAGATATCGTATCCCAAATCTAGGTCAATAGTGCAGATCTTGGATGGCCTTCCTCATTCACCAAGTTGGCCCATGCAATTTTGGGTGCTTTTTGACAAGGCCACGGCCAAACTTCCGAACTCAGCGACGACCCGAAGATGAATACGACGGGACCCAGAGCGGGGCGGGGCGGGAAGGAACCTTTGAAGATCGAGGTCTATCTAGATCAGGGAGGTGATTTTGCCGAGTGTAACGCGACTGATTAGTGATATAAGGCCAAGAGTTTAAGCAAACCTCGGGTTGGTATAATTGGCTGAAAGCTTAGGTCCTCGGAGGCAGCATGAATAGCATCCATTTCCTCAATTGGAAAGTCGTTGATAAGAGTTGTTTACCTGCCTCATTGAAATCTGGAGAGCTGGATAATAATAACAATCCAAAGACTGGGACCGATGCCCTGGCGCCTATATTAGAAGACAACCTATCCTTCTAGAACGTGATCTTCATCCACCACTTCATAGACTCTTCTCTTGCTTCTCCAGACCGCGACCATGAAGTTCTCTGCTGTTTCCGGCCTCGCACTGGCGACTGTTGCTGCCACTGGCGTCAGCGCCATGTCGGCCAAGATGGAAACCATGAAGATTGTCAAGCAAGAGCAATGGGCTCAGATGCGTGACGAAGGTGCCTTTGACGAGGATCAGTACCGGGCCATGGCTGTGACCAAGTGCGTCAACGGAAAGGCTGGAGAGTACTCTTGCAATAACGTCGACATGATGGCCTTCATGAGCCACCAGGACATGGGGAGCCGGACCCGCATGGGCAATGACATCTGGGGTATGTGTTTCGATATGAGAAACGAATCATTACGCTGACAAAACCTTTAAAGGATGGACATCCGCGACTGGTAGAGAGTTTGCCATTGTCGGCCAGAGCGACGGCACAGCCTTTGCAGAAATCAAGTCGGACGGCAGCATCGTCTACCTCGGCCGTCTACCAACCCAGACTGTCAACTCTGACTGGAGAGACATGAAGGTCATCGGCGACCACGTCTACATCGGTGCCGAGGCCAGCCGCCACGGCATCCAGGTCTTTGATCTGAAGAAGCTTCTCAGCATCAACCCCAACAGCCCCAAGACCTTTGCCATTGCCTCTGACTTGACCGCCTTCTTCAACGGAGTCGGCAACTCGCACAACATCGTGGCCAACCCTGACACCAACATGATCTACGCCGTGGGCACTGGCTCGGCTGCCAGCTGCCGAGGTGGTCTCTACATGATTGACGTGTCCGACCCGGCCAAGCCAGTCAAGGTTGGATGCGAGTCCCGTGACGGGTACGTCCACGACGCGCAGTGTGTCGTGTACGATGGTGTTGACACAGAGTTTAACGGCCATGAGATCTGCTTCAACTACAACGAGGACTCTCTCACCATCGTCGACGTGACAGACAAGGCTGCGCCTGTTCAGCTGTCTCGCGTGGGCTACTCTTGGAGCGCTTACACCCACCAGGGCTGGCTCGCCACGAGCGACATGCGCTACCTTCTCCTCGATGACGAGCTAGATGAGATGGACGGCACAACGCCAGACTCAAAGACAAAGACATATGTCTGGGACGTCAAGGACCTCAGGGCCCCCAAAATGACGGGAGTGTACTCTGCTCCCGTCACCACCATCGACCACAACCAGTATGTGCTGGACGGCCTGTCCTACCAGTCCAACTACGCCTCTGGTCTGCGCATCGTCGACGTCAGTTCTGTCGCCGAAGATCCCACCGGCTCCAAGTTCGAGCAGGTCGGTTTCTTTGACTGTGATCCTTTTGATGATAACACTACCGGGTCAGTGACGTTCCGTGGTGCATGGAGTGTTTACCCCTACTTCAAGTCGGGCCATATCGTCCTTAACAGCATTGAGCGCGGACTGTTTTCTCTCAAGTATACTGGACCCAAGCCTTAATTAGATGGCGGTTAGATCTTGAGTATAATAGATGTATGTAACTAAGTTATTTATGTTGGACATGAGGTTATCAATTTCCAGCTGTTTGTCACATAAACTTGTTGAACATGTGTTCTTTGTCATAGTCGAAGCCCAGCCCTTGATGGGCTAACTGAGACAGAAAATCGTCACATAGGCTCTTAGAGCATCCAAAGTTTTCAAGATACCACACAAAGCTTTAACGCTGGAGCCTGGACCACCTCAGTAACCTGAATAAGCTCAGCACCAAGGGTAGGATTCCACGATTGACGAGTATCTTTTATGAACCGGGGATGGCCCCTATAAGAAGCAGGGGGAAAAAAATATTCGGCAAGTATACTTGAAGACACCGTGGGTCTGAAAACTAAAAGTACATGTTGGGGTGTCTCTGCTCGAGGCTCTTCGCCTTGCTCATGGTCGTATCTGATGAACCTTCCCAAGTAGCATCCAATAGATTCTCGCTACCCATATCCTGTAAAGGGGACGTCGTCCTCTCGGAGCTTTGAGGATCTGTAACAGATGCCGAGAACTCAGGGGTAGCTACCGTTCTCTGCATGGGCAAGTTGAGTTCCGTCTGGGCAACTCTCAACGGTGCTGTAATGGAGTTACCGGGCTCTGATTTGCTCTGGAACCAGGTCTTTATATCATCTAGGGACTGGAGCGGTAGAGTATCCCACTCTCTTATCCGGTCAGCCTTTCGCTGTGAGGGAGGTTTGAGTGAAGACTGGGCATTTTCTGGGTTGTTTTCAAGTGACTGGAGAACTTGAAAGAGGGCCTCTTCCGTCTCGGCAAGGCGAGCTTCTAGCCGGGTGATGAATCCAATAGGAATGCCTCTGTTGAGCGTAATTAGCCTTGCCAACCCTCACTTGTAGTTGGGTTGTACCTCTTGTTTTGTTCAGGGTAATGACAGTTGGAGGGATCATGACTACATTGTAGACAGTGGGGTCTGCAATGATACAACTTAGCAACATGACCTGATATGATAACACATGAACTGACAGTTGCCGGTCACACTTGGACTCATCGTTAGCCGAGTTGATTCAAGGAGCAGTGTTGGATCTCACCTTGCGCTTCCTCTGCCGACAGTGGCCACAAGCAATGGGGTTCAGCAGCCTCTCAGCCTCTCCACCCGTAGCGTCACTATCGGTCATATGCAATCGCGCAATAAGTGATGCTCTTTATCGGGATTCTATGGTGAGTGGTGGTTTAGTTGATGGAGGTGACCCCACAGCGAAGCACCTTCTTGACCCCGCCTCGGAGGTTTCTTTGTCCGACGGAGCGCTAACAACTTTCGCGTCTCACAACCTTGAACCTTGTTCAACCTCACTTGTTACACATCTTTTCATACTTAGAAGTTGGAAGCGATTACTTTAAAGGATTCGGAATGGATCCGTCTTGATATGGGGAAATGGCTTCCCAGCAGTCACCTCACAACACTTCCGAGACAGCCTCTTGTTCAACCCCAGGATACCCCATTGAACCACGGAAACGAAAGCGATCTGCCTCGGGATCACAGCTGGCCCGCGAACATGGATTGATGCGAGATACAGGAGAGCACGACGCTGCTCGGTTTGTTGGTAGTGGAAGCGGCATACACTACATCCGCGCGGTGCATCTGAGACTTGCTAGGAGATCTGCTTTCAGGACAAACGACTCATCAGTCATCACCACTCTTATTCCTGGTGAAGACGACCAGCTTCGACAAGCATCTTCGGCGAGAAGGAATCGCGAGCAGGTTCTGTGGAAGAGTAGTGAAGTCTCTGTGAACCCCGAGAACGTTTCACCCTGTTTCGAAGACTTTGTCGAGTGGTCCAAAAGCTATTTCGAATCATGGCACCCGGTTCTTCCCTTTCTCCACGGCCCCGAGATTCTTCGACTGTTCGAAAAAGCCTCAAAGAATGGAATCACATCAATAAACTCCATGGATCAGGTCATTCTCAAGTCTGTTCTCTCCATATCCTTGGCCGATAGCCGCCAAGGCGCCCCGGTCCATAAGCCGATTCCAAATCAGCTCGTCTTTGAAAGCGTCGACGACGCAGTGGCAAGCTCACAGTTTGCCTTGAGTCAGCCAGCATCAATCCGCTCAACCCAGGCAGCTTTGGCAATTCAGCTGTTTCTCACTTCCATGCTCTGTCTCAATGCCGCATCTCGCCTAGGCGGACTGATCGTGCGTATGGCTTTCCACATGGGTCTTCATCGCTGTCCGATAAGATTTCCCTTCTTCACCGCTGAGGAGGCTTCTGTTCGGCGCCGTGTTTTCTGGTGTATATACAGTCTTGAGAGACTTCTCTGTCAGTCCCTCGGATTGCCGCTTGATATCCAGGACGATGACCTGGACGTTTGTTACCCAGGAGAGGAACGACATCCTACGACGGGTTCCACTGAAGATGCAGGAAAGCTGCAATTACTCACATTTGTGGCGAAACACGCGCGTATTCGGGGCCTTATTCTTGAGCTCCGTAACAAATCTATTATGCAGCGGCAAGAAACGGCAGATCGAACGGCATTTGTGCAAACTGAGCTTGCAAAATGGTCCAACGAGATACAAGATGCTGTGGAAGAGGATGAGATAGCCGATCATGCCTCAGATGTGGGAGAGGCCTCACCCACTATCTCTCCAAACCACAAACTCATGCTCCTCATCCTGAAGCACGAGGCAGCAATCTGTCTGAACCGGCCAGGTCTAGCGTCAGAGTATCCATCCTCTTCTTACTCTTCTGCTTTTCAAGCATGTATCTCTGCGGCCAAGTCCATCTTCATACTCTTGAAGAAGCACGGAAACCGCAATCGCCTAGCAACAGACTCGACTGGCAGAAGACTACAAACTCCGCTTCTCTGGCCTTCGTTCACTTGGGCTGTGTGGATCAGTGCCTTTGTTCTCATACACGCGGCATTTGAGAACCAGGTTCCACTGGACAGCGCAATGAGGTAGCTTATTCTGTCCATTTTCTTGTTATTACTATGTTGACTTGCATCTAGACATGTCATGGCTGGAAAAGGTATTCTCAGTCATCTGGCAGCAAGAGACACATCATGGCCAGAGTATTGTCTCGGCGCCATAGATGAACTAATCTCTGCTGTACAAGAACTTTCCCAAGCTCGAGCTCCACCTCTAGAATCTCCTACCGATGACTCTATCACCTCCCATTCCCGAACCCTAGCGGCTCGACAACAGGACGAAAACAACTTTGCGCGTACGAGACGAAGAGAAACAGTCACAGGATGGGAACAATCAGCGACTGGTAGGTCCAACGACCCCAGTGGCAACGTATCAAGAGACTTGTCTACACTGCCGGAACACGAGGCAAACTTTGATACCACATCGCAGCATTATCCCGCAGGTCCGTCTGGAGCTCCTTTGGGACAAATTCCTTGGCAACAGAGACACCCACAACCACATCACCTGGCTCATGTAAACGCGCAAAATGGATCCGACTCGCAACCGGGTGCACCAGGTGTTTCACGTATGAATAATGGCCACGATGGACCATCTTTCACGGCCTCTTTAGGTCAAGCTGACTCTAATCTGGACACGGTGCCAGTTGAAGGTCAGGAGTCGATCATGTGGTATGACCAGCTGTTTGCGAGTTCCTTCAGCGCCATTGACAATCCGTTTCTTGTGGCTGCTGAGTTTGATGCATCGATCGATCCAACTTGGAATTACCTGAGGTAGTCTTGGAAGTCCAAGTGTGTACTTTAGTAACTATCATAATGTGTAAATTAGTTTTCCTGGCGGGATGGCAGGATAGAACGATGGGGCTTCCATGGCTGCGCCTTTGAAATCGAGCAGGTGAAAAGGTAGATTTATGTTTCTCGTCCCGCCAATAGCTATCGACAAGTCATGAAAACGAGTGGTTTGACAAGCCGACCCCCCGACCCCCTTGTGAGCCGACCCCTTTCGATACCTATTAGCTAATAGCAAGGTTAGGATAAGGGTTATAGTTAGCTAAGGTTTTGGTTGAGATTAGTCTGTAATTAATTTAAAGTGCAAAGGGGGTCAGCTTGACTGCATACACCATAAAAAAGGGCATTGTTTAATCCCTTCAACACCTAGGAGTGACAAAACTTGTGGTCCTCGCCAAGATACTTGGCAAGATAAGAACTGCAGCTAACTTCTTGGCTCTGTAGGCTATAGCTCAGACAGTGAACAGATCAAGGAGTAGAACAAGGCGACTTGTGCCAGCACAGTTACAAGTCAGAAGAGGGTTTTTCAATTTATACTTCTGACTGATTACCTTGCCGCTAAGGGAGCGTGATATTCACAAATCCACTACCTTTCCTCGCCCAAAACTGTCGACCAACTACTCATAACTCTTACAAACCGAAGTAAACTACCCAAGCTATCAAGTTTCCTAACTCCAGCTCGTTTTCCTTAGTAGGCATACCTAGTTGCGTCCACGTTACCATCCCGGTCAAGCTTCTTGTTGGTGCGAACAAGCCAAGTCCTCATGACCCAAGTCGAAGCAATGCACATGACAGCAAAGGCAGCGTTACTAGCCATACCAGTAAGATAGCGGGGTCCGTCGCTCTTGGGGTATAGGTACGCCGTGTAGATGTAGGACGCATTGGCGATGACGTTGACGATGGATAAGCTCACAGACTTTTTCTCTGGAGTTGAACCGAGAGTTGCCGACACCCAGCCTAGGATCATGGAGTTGACTGCATACGCACCACTGGCGAACAAGAAACAGGCGATGTAGCGAGCTGGTGTGTTGAGAGTTGCGCAGGAGATGATGTAACCGACAAGAGCGATACCCATGCAAACTGTGATGTGCCACGTTCGTTCGTTGTATCTTCCGGAAGAGAGACCAGCCAGGTAACCAAAGAAACCGGAAACGAGGTAGGGAGGGCAAGTAAGGACAAGAGTGATCGTGCTGTTGAAGCCAAGAGATCCAACAACAGTGGGGAAGAAGTTGTTGAACGAACAAGCAGAAAGATGCATGTTCTGAATGAAGCAGAACAGCCACAGACGAGGATCTCGGATAGCCTGGGAGAATCCGGCTCGAGCTCCCTTGCTCTCTTCGAATCCCACAGTATCACGAACCATTCTGTCATGAGCGAGCTGTCGCTCCTCGGGCTTCAACCATCGTGTAGTCAAGGGACTATCAGCAAGGGTAAACATGCCAATGATTCCAACCGCAAAGGTCAAAACGCCCTCAATGATGAAAAGCCACTGCCATCCCTTGAGTCCATGATGCCCATCAATAGTGCCAAAAGTAGCAGCGGCAATAAGACCAGAGAAAGAAGTAGCAAAGATATTTCCCGAGTATAAAATCGACAGTCTCGTAGCAATCTCCTTTCGAGTGTAAAAGATGGAAAGAAGGTATAGAGCACCGGGATAGAAGGGAGCTTCTGCGACACCGAGGAAGAATCGGAGGAGCACGAGGCCCGTGTAGTTCTTTGCGAGAGCGGTGCAGGCGGATACGACCGCCCAGCCCATCATGCAGATGGACATGTAGATGGAGGGTCGGACGCGTTTCGACGAGATTAACATGTTGGAGGGGATTTGCATGAGCAGGTAGCTATTGGGTGTTAGTAGAGGAAGAGAGGAGTTTGGTTGTGTTGACTTACCCGACGAATAGGATGGAGATACAGGTGTTGTACTGAGTTCCCCTGAGACCGAGATCATCCTCCAATCCGTTCAACCTTGCCTGAGCAATAGCATTTCGATCCAGCTACACCGTTCAATCAGCAAAGTAAACAACGATCTCGAACATCAAACTCACATAGTTGAGAAAGTACATGGCCCACAGAGTAGGCATGATGCGAAAGTCAAGCTTCCTCACAAGACGAATCTCTGCAGGATCAGTCTTTTTGACAGCACCAGAGTAATCAGCCTCTGCGTCACCAAGAACACCTCCTTTCTCGACGGGAGACATTTCGACAAAGTTGTCTTCAGGCTTGCGCTCGATGCTCTCACGCTTTGAATCGGCCGTCATAATGAAAAGAGATGAAGTTGATGTAGTTGAAGGGGCTTTTAGAAGTGAGGAAGCCTGCTGTCTGATTAGCATCTCTATCGTGGCCAAGACCGGCGTCTTATATCCAGGAGATCAACCCCCCCTGCCACAAACATCCCCTTGGGGCCCCAGGTTTTCCTTCCCCCAGATCACCGCCCTTAGACCGAAGCCTAGGCCCTCGTGGTCTGAACCTTTTTTTTTGCTTCACTAGCGGCGGACATTGAATTGGCCGCTTATTTGGAGCGGAACACGATGCGGGGATGGCCGCGGAGAGGAGGGTTGTAATGGCAAGGGCGTAGATCTTTTTGGTGTCGTTAGTTTGCGGGGTTGGAAATGTCTCGGTCTGGGGGCTGGGGGAGCAGGTGATGAGGACTTTATGGTGAGATTAGAAGAGTTTTTTGAGTCTATTGGATTATTATTTGAGAAGAGTCTGGCATCTTGTGTGTACTACAGTATCTCTATATCGCCCATTGTTGGGAATAGGGGTCTACTTGACCTCCTTCACCTCAACCACCTCCCGATCTCTATTCAAAACAACCTGCACATGCTTCTTCTCCCCATCCTCAAAGAAATTCTCCTTCTGTAAACGCTCAAGGAACAGCTCATAAGCCGGCATGTAACCCCGCACAAACCGCGTCACCTGCTCATCCGTCATACCAGTCTTGTGCTTCCTCAATGCCTTTTCCTGATCCAACCTCCACTCGTAAACATGAACAAGTTTATCCGTGCTCAGGTGCAGAAAAGCGTCAAAGTGCTGCGGTCCGGTGAAGGAGTTGCAGTATCTTGAGAGGTTTTCGTTGATGAGGAGGAGGTGGGAGATGTCGTGGTCCGCGAGCGTGTTTGTGAGTGAAGAGTCGGGAGATTCCTTTGCTTGCTTCCATTTCTGGGTTGTTTCTTCTTTGGTTAGGGGCTTGAAGCCTAGACACCAGCCTTCGAAGATGAGCACGTCGAGGCCTTGGTCCAGGGGTACTTTCTCCCACTGCCCCACAGGAACCCTTCCTCCTTGGCCACTATGAAGACTCTTGTCATATGCAGGCCAAGCAACATAGCCTCCATTATCAGTGTTAAAGTCTCCAAGCTTGCTGAAGAACTCTTTGGCCAAGACCTCATCGTGAGTCCCAGGTTGTCCTCGACTCTGAAGAAGCCCATTATCTGGATTCGCCTCTCGAATAGCCACGAGCTCGGCATGGTCGAGGTACAGATCATCCAGTGACACGATCCTGGTCTTGAGGTTGTGCTGAGTGGTCAGGGCTTGGGAGAGAGCCCCAGCCCATGTCGACTTGCCGCTCCCCTGCAGACCAGACAGACCCAAGACGAACGGCTTTGAGGTCTTTTGCCGGTGGGTGTTGATCAGGGGGAGGAAGATGGCCAGGACGGATTCGATTGCTTTGGCGTCAATCATATTTGCGAGAGTAGAGTCAAGAGTTTGTGAGTTGGTCTTTGGGAGTCAGCTGATGATTTGAGCACTTGTAATGTGAAGCACTGATGTCAAAACAGAGTTGAGTCACTGCGTTATCTCGTCTACTACCGAGGTTGTGAACAAGTGCCTCACTCCTCCAACTTTTTTGGCTCACATCTCAGATCCTTCCCCGCATCATGGGATAAATTACCGGTTCATTGTTCATGAGTCGTGGGGTTAACTCAAGCGGACATTTCTTTGTCCGCGGGTCCTTGATGGTCCGCTCCACTTGATGCAGGGCCTCAACTGATGCGCAGCATGAATCGACCGATACAAGTCCGCGCTCGGAGAAGAGATGCAGCTACAAAAGAAATCATCTTGAAGCTTCAAATTCAACATCTTCACCTCAGATTAATCCAGTCAGAGTAACACATCATGTCTCCCAGCGCAGTCGTCGCAAAAAAGGCTTACAGCATCGCCTCCATCCCCGCTGATGGCATCGGCCCCGAGGTCATCGAGGCTGGTATTGAGGCATTGAATGCGCTTGCCGATGCTCTTCAGACTTTTGAGCTCAATTTTACTCATTATGATTGGAGCTCTGATACTTATAAGAAGACTGGAAAGTATATCCCGGATGGTGGTCTGGAGCAGCTCAAGAAGCATGATGCCATTCTCTTTGGTGCCGTAGGAGCGCCTGGTAAGTCTACACCTCTTCTTCAAATGAGCTAGGCTTATATGTATTAGATGTTCCTGATCACATCTCTCTGTGGGGTCTCCGCCTCGCCATCTGCCAGCCCTTCCAGCAGTACGCCAACGTGCGCCCAACACGCGTCCTCAAGGGTACCCAATCTCCCCTGCGCAACTGCAAGACGGGCGATCTCGACTGGGTCATCATCCGCGAAAACAGCGAAGGCGAATACGCCGGCCAAGGCGGTCGCTCCCATCGCGGTCAACCCTGGGAGACAGCCACTGAAGTCGCCATCTTTACCCGACACGGCGTGTCGAGACTGATGCGCTTCGCCTTTGAGACGGCGCAGAAGAGGCCTCGCAAGCTTTTGACTGTTGTTACAAAGAGTAACGCTCAGAGGAATGGCATGGTTTTGTGGGATGAGGTTGCTGCTGATGTCGGAAAGGAGTTTCCTGATGTCACGGTGGATAAGATGTTGGTGGATGCCATGACGACGAGGATGGTGTTGAAGCCTGAAAGCTTGGACACGATTGTAGCATCCAACTTGGTAAGAATACTCTGATGATATATACTCTACATACAGAGCTGACATCTATCCAGCATGCCGACATCCTCTCGGATTTAGCCGCCGCCCTCGCCGGCTCAATCGGCATCGCCCCAACCAGCAACCTGGACCCAACCCGTCAAAACCCCTCCATGTTTGAGCCCATCCACGGCTCCGCCTTTGACATTACCGGCAAGGGCGTCGCCAACCCCGTAGCAACCTTCTGGACAGCCGCTGAGATGCTGACCTGGCTCGGTGAGGAAGAGGCGTCGACAAAGCTGATGGAGGTTGTCGAGACGGTGTGCGAGTCGGGAGTCGTCACACAGGATCTTGGTGGCAAGTCGACGACCAAGGAGGTTACGGAGGCTGTGGTGGCTGAGATTAAGAAGAGCCTGGGTAAGGCGTCCAAGTAGTGGATGAAAATGAGAATAGACTGTTACGTTCTGTATTCAGGGTGCTCAAATAAGGAGCCCATTGAAAGGATAAACTATAGGTAACATATGTACACTTCAATGGTTCATTGATCAATTCTTACATGGTGTTGGTCAACGGCCCATGACTGCTTCATGTCGCGCGTTCTTGATGAAGGTGACTCCAAGACAGCTACTCTAAGATCACCAGAAGAGTAGATTAATGACTGAAATAATGTTATAAACAATGCTTCTTTATCCGCGTATCTCATTCACACCTCTTCATGTACAAGACACCATTGTTTGTGTGTTCATACACCGCCTACTCCTTTGTCTTCATCCAAACTAACAACTCTTTAATCCACATACTGAACAACACAAGATACAGATCAAAGACGCTTGTGTAAACATGTAGCTATATAGCAACAAATATCCTCATCTCATCACAACAAGTAAATCACCCACAACAAATACTAACAAACAATCACAATGTGTCAAGTCACAATCTACTCCTGTCGCCACGACGACTGCCCCCTCTTCACAACCGCCCACATCCTCTTCTGCGAGGGAGTCCGCAGCAAGCGAACCTTTACGTTCGCCCTCAAGGAGCGCATCGCCAAGTTCGACCAGAGGGAGGGCATCCGTCTTCCCGCCTACGAGGGATGTACCGGGCTTGAGATTGGCCCTTATCCTAGTAAGAAAGGGGTCTGCACTGTTCATGCTTTCGATTAGTCTTTTGAGGCGACGTGTTGAGAGTAGGGCATTTTGGGGTTGAGCCTTGAAGTAGCTGCTCTCTATAGATCAATCGGCATAGCACAAATACACAGACTTTTGTCATCGTTAACATCATTTGCTTTTATTATAACTTCGTAGAGTTTTCACTTCCCTCCCCTCTCGTGACTATCATCAAGCGTACCAACAAGCCCATCCCTCCAACCCCCTCCTCCAACAAAACACACAACATCAACTCATCGCGCCATTCTCCGCAAAATATTCCGAAGCCTCTCATCAACCAAAATCCACCTATTCTGCCTCCACTCCAAAGCCTCCTGCGCAGCCCTCACAGCCTCATCATTCGGCTCAGGCAATCTCCTTGCAGCTCTAACCTCACGAATCGCAATCGCCAAAAGGTGGTTGTTGCGCAGGAGAAAGAACTCCCACCACGGTTGGGGCTATATACAAATCATCAGCTTACCTATTCCTCCACCATCCTTCTGAGAGGAGATTGCCGACTGTTACTCGAGGGCCGCGGTGGTAGGGCGACCCAGGCAAGGTCTGCGCCCACTGATGTATCCTCTCCGCGCGGCCCAACGCTTCAGCCTGGGCAAATCTCCAGTCCCAGAGGGGATGTGCTTGATGCATTGCAAAATCCACAAGAGGACCTACATCTTCCCTGTTCCTGAAAATATCCCACCGTTGGCGGTCCATTGGCACATGAAGATGTTGTCCTTCTGGTATGTACACCTCATGGAGGAGTTCAGCAACGTCTTCCATCCTCGTAAATATATTGGTAGGGTCAGGCGGGGGTAGTCGGGCGAAATCAACCACGTCGCGGAGTCTCACTATCCGTTCTTCTTGTGGGTGTGGTTCTGGTGCCTCCATTGCCGGGGGCGGTAGATCCAGGTCAGGCATCGGCTCAGGCTCGACCAGCTCTGGTTGAGGTCTTTCGTACACCTGATCCCAACGGTCCCGCCTATAAGCATAGACTACCTGATCTTCTTCTCTCTCTCGGTGGTGGTGATGCCGTCCATAAGCAGGACCCGCCTCTGCGTAATCTCTTTCTTGATATAGACCATGAGGCCGTCTATAAGCAGGGCCTGCATCTTCGTCTTCTTGAGCCCGGTGTCGACGATGCTCTCTATGAGCAGGACCTGCTTCCTCCTCTCTTACTCGGTGTCGATGATGATGATGTCTATGAGCAGGGCCTGCATGCTCTTCTTCTCTCTCTCGATGCCCATGATGTCGACGGTGATGTTCATGAGCAGGACCCGGCTCCGCATCATTTCTCTCTCGATGCTCGTGTTCTCTCATGGGAAGTCTCTCCAGACGTCTCGTTCGTCTTCTCACCCCCGTGACTCTCGGACCACGATCCTCTTCTCCGTATCGAGGCCGCAACTGAGGAATTCTTAGGGCAGGCTCAACAGCTTCCACATTTCGCGGAGCCCGACGGTACCTTTCCGGCTTCCTTCCAGGCCGACGTCGCATCGGCACCATGTGATTATGCCCTCCGTATAACTCGCAGTCGCACGACTTCCAGCGCTCACCACAAATGAGACAGAACTCTGCTCGACAAGCAACGCACCTACTCCAGTTAGTAAAACAACACATATGCATCCTCAGGGAAATACTTGCGTTATGTGGTTGCAGGCTTCTGCAAGCTGAACCATAATCCCACAACCAGGACAATTGACGATCCGTCTCCGATCCATCATCTCCCACAAATCCTCCCCAATCTCCCCCTCATCACATCTCCGTCTACCATGATTTCGCCCTCCGCAGCGCTGACAAGTCAACTGCTCGCATATGAGACACTCCCCATGACAGTCCAGGGGAATAAATGCTGCGCAGTGGGGATCGTGGCAGTATAATCGGTCCGGTAAGGGGACTTCGCTCTCCTCCTCCAGCTGGCGGAAAAGATGTACCAGGGCTGGACGCTGTGCAAGTCGAATCGTCTCCTCTCTAAAGTGCACACAGCATCTTGGAGGAAACTCGGTAAGACCAGCGAGACCTCGTCGGATCAACTCGCGGAGACAAGGATAGCAGTATACGCAGTTGCAAGGGACTCTGACATGTCCCCCCTCACCACAGATGATGCACTCTCCAAGGTTACCACGCAGTCGCTCAACCTGTCTTTCAGGTTCAGGCGTCGCTCGAAGCGCAGCCAATCTCTCCACCTCATCGAGTGTAATCCGGTGGTCGAGATTGAGAAAGTCTCCCTCTGCAAGTCGCTCAGCTGCAAGCTCCTCCTCGGGGATGATCCTCTCTACCAAGTCAACCTGCTCAAGTTCATCCGCCATTTGAATAGCCAGATATATACTCCGAGCCATGGCGTCCTCAGAGGGGGGGTCTATAGGCGGGTCGATATTAACCCGAAGCATGAGATCGATAAGGTCCGGGTGGACGCGGTCAAAGGCGTCGCCGTCGCGGTGGTTCATGACGGGCGACTATTCTCGATATCTAGCTGTCGTAGTGATGTTGTTTCAGCAAGATCCAAAAGTAAACACAAGGGGGTAAATGGGGGAATAAGTAAGAGACTTTGGTGTCTACGCGGGTCGGAACCCTGATAACAAAACCGTTGAGTGAAAGGGGCGATGTTGGCCTCTCTCGCCGAAAGATCTGGATGTCGTATAAAGTTAAAGCCTTTGCAGCCTCACAAAGGGGTAAAGAACACATCTTTATAGTTTAAATGCAAAAGACTCTTCTTCACAGAGCCATGGTAAGGGCAGTGATGATAGATCATAAACCCCTTGGGATGGATGGCCTCCTTAGTGACTCAACAGGTCAATAAACCCTTTGGAGTGACCCTCATGTCCTGCAGCGTGCGGTTATACATGAGTCGTATGCTTCACAGGCCTCATGTCCAGTGACCAAACAACAAAGAAACATCACAGCACCTTCACCTGACACATCACATTTACTATGCAATCGCTTGTATTTTGACAGGTAATCAGACCGAATAATCCACTGTCTTGTCTGTAACCCAAGAATCCGTGGCCATGCGCCGTCACCTTCCCGCGCTTCTCTCGACAATTAGTCGCTGCCCACAGGGTATCCGGGCTCCCATCCCATTCATCGACGGCATAACCCCTAAAAAAACGATAGTAACCAGAAAGCCGAATAGGCGAGTTTGGTATCCAACCCACTTTGCCCAAGTCCCATGTTCCTTGACTGACCCTGAACCCCAGCTGGGGGTGATATAAATCCCAAAAGTTGAAAAGACGTAAGTGACAAAAAGAAACAAGTAGGCAGACACATAAAAAGACACGTGAACCCCGCATAACTCCACCTCATCGAACTCCATCGCTGATTCCCTATGTGACGTTGAGGACGAAAGACACGTAATATACCCAGACAAACAACTCCGACCGACACACACTAAGCCTAGTAGCTAAAATCGACGTTGGCCATTGCCATGGCCGGCGGTCCCTTGTTCTGCCCGTCGTCGTTATTGCGTGATGTGTTGGTGTTGTTGTTCACCGTTATTGAAGATGTGTCACCGTCGCCGAGCGTTGTGTCGGCGCTCGAGGCTGTCGTCGTCACTTGTAGTTCGTGATCAGCGGGCGGTTGGGCGCTTGGAGACCAGCCGTCGTTGAGCATCTGCTGGAAGCTCCAGCTTGGCTCAAACGACTTGCTGTTCCACGCGTGATTAACCCGCTCGTACATTTCGTCGATCTGTTCCAGGCTGATTTTGCTTGTCTCGTATACCATACACCATACAAAGAAGACGGCGATGATGCAAAAGGCGCCCCATATGAAAAAGATCTTGGGGCCAAAGGCGGCGTTGCCTGGGCCAGTGCCGACCATGAAAGGAGCGCTGTACGCAATGCCAAAGTTGAGAATCCAGTTCGAAGCTGTCGATACAGACATGGCCTTGGCTCGTACTTTGAGGGGGTATATCTCGGAGGTGACGACCCAGACGACTGGGCCCCAGGACGCAGCGAAGAAGGCGATGTTGATGGCGCAAAAGGTGACCAGGATGGTCTGTGATGCCTTTTCAAAGTTGGGCCCTGTGGCGGTATTGAAAGAGGCCATGAGGAGTTGGCAAGCAGCCATACCGATGGCTCCGATCATCAAGAGTTTCCGCCGACCCCAGTGCTCAATGACTAATAGGCCTGGGATAGTTGATACGACGTTGATAATGTTGATGATTAGTGACTTGGTGTAAGGGCTTTCGACACCAGCACCGCCAAAGAAGGTGGTGCTGTAATACATGATAAAGTTGATACCAGTGAGCTGCTGTAGCATCTGCAGGCCACAGCCGGTAAGCGTGCGTCGTCCAAGATGTGGCGATCCAACAAAGATATCCTTGTAGGTGTCAGGGCCTAATGTCAGCTCGTATTGGTGGTTGGCAACGATTTCCTGGAGTTCGTCAACCAGTGCTGGATGGGTAATGTCAAGTCGTCGTAGTCGACTGAGTGAAAGACCAGCGGCATCGATGAGACCCTTCTTTACTAGGAAGCGTGGGGTCTCTGGTAATAGTAATAGGCCGACAGTGAGGATGACAGCGGGTACGATTTGGAGGCCGAGGGGGATACGGTAAGCTGATGCGTCCTTGAGACGTGAGGTGAGAATGTTGACAATGGAGGCGGCAAGAAGGCCGCAGGTGATGGAGAGTTGATATGCGCAAACGAGAGTACCTCGTATCCATTTGGGAGCCATTTCGGACTGATACAAAGGAACAAGGACAGAGATGGCTCCTACGCCAACGCCGGCAAGAAATCTGATATGTCAGCATATAATTCTCGCAGCCTCGGAACGACCGCATACCTTCCAGCCAGCAGCATATCAATATCCTGAGCGCAAACCTGAAAGATGGAGCCGAGGCAGAAGATACCAACGGCAACCATCAGAGTCTTTCGGCGTCCGAGAGTGTCGCCTGTGGGCGCAGCAATCAGAGCGCCCAGGGCGGTTCCGGCGCTGAGGATGGCGACGATGATGGAAGAGTCTTTGGTGCATATTTCAATGTTTCCGTCATCGTCTGTACAATTTGTGTTTTTTCCGAACTGCTGTTTGAACTCTGTCATGGCAAGGATGCCGTTTATGGCCCTGTAGGACAAGAGTGGTCAGTCTCTTGGACTTCAAACGGGTGAGGTGACGCGATGGGATGGTTTTGGCATGGATGAGGCGAGGGCGAATTCGGAGAATAAATCGATCGACAACGGTTCGTATGTGGTCGGCGCTTGTATCCAACATGTTTCCTTGTAGTTTTGACAATCCTCAACTCTTTCAACGTTTTTTTCCCTTCGTAATCCCTTCAGCGGTGGATGTGGTGATGGAGGCGTCGTCATCGTCGTCACACCAGGCTCCGCCGCACCCTCGCATCGTCGGAAAATAGAATCGCAGCAATCGTCCCTTTATCCAAGCGCATCCTCTTCATTCCTCCTCAGTCGCCGTCGTCGTCGTCGAATCCGTGTCGCGTCGTGTGGTCGTAGTCGTGGTCCCGTGATGCATCCATGTCCAAAACCCATACTGCGAGAAAATGGTGGTCTTACCCAGTATCGTAGCCGAACAGCAACCCGCCCGAGGCCACAAACAGGCCGACCATGATGGCCGGCGCCGACGAGCCCGCGACATTGTCGGGTTTCTGCCAGCCCATGGCAATGGCCATGGTGTCGGTGTTGAAGACGTCAATCCAGGGCCAGAGGAAGTCGAGAGCAAAAGGCTCCGGGTCGGCGAGATTTTGGTGGAGGTTGAAGGGGTTGAGATCAACGGGGGGGCATTGGGCGATTCCGTGTGGATAATATGGATGGATTGGGGGAGGGACAGACGGGCGCTGGCCAGCCCCAGGCGCCTGGGTGCGTTTATCTTATTCGCACTGTCTCACTAAGGTAACTGTACCTGACCAGGAACGGCACAGTGGATGGGAGGGCACAGGCTGGTGGAAGTCAGTGCTTCGCTAGTCCTCAACGGGAGAAAGAGGAGCATGTCGCACTGGCCAGAGCAAGAGTGTTTGATGAGTAGCGCAAGCGGTATCTATGAGGTATTATACATTCAACACGTATCCAAATGAATAACTCATCAAGGCAAAATACGCAAAGCCAAGAGACGGCTCGAGTTAAAGAGACAGAAGCGCGAGAGAGGGGCGAGCAAATGGTGAGAGTGAGGAGGCAAAAGCGGCAGGGATCGTCGCCGGGGGTGGTGGTCGCTAGCCCACTTTTGATGACGCGCCCCCATTGGACGGATGCAGCCACTAAAACCTGGACAAGTCCAGGGAGCCTTTAGCGGGTTTCCGTCTGTGCTAGAGCCCCGCTAGAAGTTGAGGGTACCAAGAGGGGGACTGGCTGAGCTAAGCGAGGCACAGTGCGTCTATTCTCAATCTCAACATGGACAACTTGATCAATGCGATGCCATCAACTCATTTCCTCTAAAAGATGCACCAGCCGTCATTGCACAAGAAGCAATCTCCCCACGGATTTCCACATAGCTCACATGTCACGGCAGACAGTCTCCGTCGAGGATTATTCGACGGAGCCTCGAGAGTGTCTGAGCGCCCCGAATCTGAAACTGAGTCACCTCGACACGGCCCCCATCCGACAGACAGACAGAGAGTGAAAGACACGGAAAACCTCTCAGACATGACCGCTCAGGCCGGTCCGCAAAAAGAGTCCACATTTTGTAAGCTGCTGTTGGTATCTCTCAAGGAACTCAACTCCCCCAAAGAGAAGGTGATCTTCACAAAGCCGAAACTCGACGGACCCAAGGGAGAGGATCAAAAGTCGGCAGATGTCGCGGGTCCAGAGATATGAGACTGCATTACCCAGGAACCCGGGAAATCGGATATACAGGGGCGAGGCGACGTTTCCGATGTCTTTTGGCAGGTAGGCAAGATCAAAGGTATCACATCACGCAACTGTTTGGTAACATTGAACGGTTCTCGTTTAAACAATTGCATTGCATTGCTTCACTCTCAAAAAAACGGCTGCCACCGCCAAGAGACAGACAGTCCGAACACTGTATGCCGCACTCTGCCCAGACCAAGCCCGCAACGGTGCCTCCGTCCTTGCAGCGGGTATGCCGGGGTACCCGCCCTGCCACAGTGCATCATGCCGGCACACGGCCCATTTCAAGGTCATTCTCGGCTGCGGCTGAGGCGGGAGGAGTACCTCGTCCAAAGGGTGCGGGCTTTGCATTTCCCGCACAGTCCCCAGGGCCTCCCCCAGACAAATGACCTGCCAGGGAGTGGAGGGGGTGGGACAGGCATCCTTGGTACCGGTACTTGTAGCCCATGATTTGATTTTGGTGATCTGACAAGAGTGGGAAAAGAGTCTGAAACTATGGAATATGACAAGTGACATGACCTAAGGAGCGCGAGGCAACTGATCTGGTCGTCATTCCTGCTAGTGAGATACCTAACATTACGGCTCAAGGGAAACACCATCACCAGCTTTTTGCTGCAAGCCTCTTCGCTTCTTGACACGCATTAGCCAGCGTTCATTTTCTTTGATGCTTGCTGCAAGCTGAACAAGACCTGGACTAGCTTCAAAGGCCAACTTTGCCTTTGCCAAACCAGAGGCATGGTCAAAAAGCCACTCAGGCCATTTTTTCAACCAAAAGAAACATGCCCGCTTAGTGAGCAGCGCGCATCACTTTACGCAATACGCTCTGGCCTACTGTTTGCGCGCTCGGGACCCGAAAAAAAAAAATGAATGAATGTCATGGTACGCTGGCTACCTTGCAAAGGTCCATTTTCAAGGGCACGTTGGAGACTCCGCAGAAGATGTTGGGCTGTCAAGTAGAAAAATATCACGAGGATCCATGTCATTAAAAAGGGTCTTGGCACAGACTCACAAATCATTCACTACCAAAAATGAACAGGAACTTTGTCCCGTTGGAAAGGAATCAGTTGTTCTGTCATGCGACAAAATAAAGGGCGCGCGCTGCGTTTGTCCTTGGCTGGGTTCCCAAAACCGGAAGGCTCTCACAGTGCGAGCAGCTACATTACCTATTCCAAAACCGCATTTGCGGGGTGCATCAAGCCAGGGTTGTTTTACTGAGTGTACAGTTACTTTGCGTGTGAGTGTTGGTTTCGAGAAAACTTGACAGGTAACGAGCGGAGGAAACGGAACTTCAAGATCCCGACCCGGCTAGGTGGGCATCAAGAGCAGCCCACTCAACACACAACAACACGCCAACTGAGACCATGTCCTCTCTTGTGACTGTTGGTTCTGTCTCATGTTGCTTTTTTGCTCTTTCTTTCTTTGTTTTTCTCGTCTTTTTTAGCCTTCATGCATCTTGACGTAACCATTCATGCCATGCTCCCCTCATGTCAACTAACAAAATAGCCTTGAAGCCCAAAACTCCAGACTAACACATCAGGCCACGATAGCCACGGCACTCTACCGAACTTCCACCTCCCGCTCATTCCTCCTCCACCGGGCGGTTTAGGACCAAGACAATATGTCTCACATCTTCACTCCCAGTTCGAGACTCTTAGCCCAACCGTATTTTCAGGGCTATATTCCCGCCTCGTCCAAGAGCACACATTGACTCGTCATCTCAAGGGCATGGAATGGATTACAATAGTGGCCATAGGATTACGGGTTATTAGCAACCACAAATTACACTCTTTTTTTGCTGTAATAACTAACCGAGGCACGCATATTGCGGCATCGTCAGCTATCACTTTGAGGACCGAGCCCGTCAAGCTGTCGTCAATGGCGATGGCCGCAATCTCGCAAGCTGGAATCGATCTAGGCTCCTCGTCGCGCCCTTTCTTTTGCTCCCGCAACTCCAGCCGCCTTCTGCCATAGTCCACACTAGATATCAATGGTTCCCAGCCATGAAGGCCACTGTGCTCCGGACATATCCCTCCGCTTTTTTTTACCCGTCGTTGTTTTGCTTCTTGCCGTGCAGTAGCTCTCACGGCAGGCAAAGCAATCACTATCTGATAGATGACAGGCTCAGGAGAAACCATCAACGGATCAACCCTGCCACCCATGCTTTGCAACAAGTTGAAACAATTTTGATAGAGACTCGACGCGATCTCGATTGTCAGAACACATTTGACACGCTTTCAGCTCAGGGTCCAGGAGGCGCCGGCTGAAGTGACACAGGCGCATCCACAACCCTCATCATAGTGCACCGTGCCGAGATGAGATGATGCGATCAATAGACAATTCTGCCAGACAAGTCATTGCTTGCCGAGGACAAAGCTCAACTCAATCCACTCCCCTTCAGACCATCATCTCTTTACTTCTGGAAGCCCCATAACTTCTTGCTGTCCTACCATCCGTAATGTCCTACCCTCTGTAACTCGTACCACATACAGCTCCGCCTTGTCCATGTCAAAGCCACTCTCCCATAGCCCGGCATGTAATTATACATCTCCCCGATTGTCCCACTCGTGACACCAAGCCCAAGATCGCAAAGGTATGCGCCCAGCCACAAACGACTCCTTCATTCACATTGCCAAGTCATCATCACCATGGGCACGAGACCAAGTGTTCAAATCTAAATGGTGTCTTCATAAATAGTATCAAAGTAGATTGCAACAAATCTGAATGAATCCCGCCATATCAATACAAAATCCTTGACGCCTAATGCCATAGCCCCTTTTCAGCATGAGCTACAGACTCTCGCACAGAACTCAAGTCATTACGGCTGCTTGCCGCGTCACCATCGTTACACAGGGTAATCACCTCTCTCTCAAGGCTCCAGAGTCACCTCCTGGCCCTTGACGCGGCCAATGACCTGCTGAGGAGCGTACTTGGGGATCACCTCGTCGTCGTGCAGCATCTCAAACTCCTCGGTGGCATCGCGCCCCATAAAGTTCAGGATAGCCTGGACGCCGCCGGGGTGCTCCTCGAGCCAGTCGCTGAGGTCCATCACGACACCCTTGACAACAACCCACACGCTCTCCTTGGTGTTGTGCTTGGCAACCTCCTCCATAGTGAACTCCTTCTCAGGGACCTTGAACGACTTGGGGTCGTTGGGCTTAGAGGCCTTGGCACCGTCCTCCTTGACGGGAGTAGGGCCGGCAGCAGCCGTAGCCTGCTCGGCGATTGCCGAGGGAGCACCGGAGCCGGAAGGAGCAGCACCGCCAGCGCCCCATGAGACTGTGACCTGGTTGGGGACCGAAGGGTCGAGGTGGAGGGAGATCTGGCCGACACGCTGAGCGGCACCGGCACTGCCCTGGAGAGCCTTTCGGAAGAGGTAGTTGCTGGCAGTGTCACCAGCAACACGGCCGTACACAACACAGCCAAGAAGAGACGAGCCACCCAGACGGTTGGCACCGTGGACACCACCAGCCAGCTCACCACAGGCATAGAGACCCTCGAAGGGCTGCTTGTCCTGGTTCAGGACCTCGGCCTTGTCGTTGATCTCGATACCACCCATGGTGAAGTGCAGAACGGGCTCCATGACGGCAACGTGGAAGTCATCATCGATGTCGAGGGGCAGGTTGTGGAAGAACTTCTTGCCCCAGGGGTCCTTCTGCTTGCCATCGGCAATGGAGTTGTAGGTCTTGAAGGTCTTCTGGAGATGGTCAGGGGTGCAGCCAATCTCCTTGGCGAGCTCCTTGCCGGTCATCTTCTTCATGAGGCCACGACCAGAGTAGTGGCGGGTGTGGAAGTCAAGGACCTTGGAGGCCTTGGAGTTGAGAACAAGTCGGATGGGGAACTTGTTCTTGTCCTTCTCCTCCCACATCTTGCCAGAGACGTAGTCACGGTGGCCGAGCTCATCGCAGAATCGGTCACCGTCGGCGTTCAGGAGCAGACCACCCTCACCACGGAGAGCCTCAGCGGCAAGGAACTTCCACTTGGAGCCAGGGTCCTTGGGGTCAACGAGACCAGTAGGGTGGACCTGGACCTTGTCCATGTCGATACCGTTACCGCCAATGGCCATGACCATCTTCTGACCGTCACCGGTCGCGTGTGTGCCGTTGGTGGTGGCAAGGCCATAAGTATCGGGGCGGTGCTTCTTGAGCAGAGAGGAATCGGAGAAATCGGCAGCGTAACCACCGGTAGCAAGAACGACGGGGCCGTCAACAGAGATGATCTCGCCATCGTGCTCGTACTTGACACCAGTGACATGGTTGCCCTCCTTGTTCAGCTCGGTGACACGGGCCTTCTTGATAATCTGGACACGCTCGGGCTCGTTCTCGGCAAGCTCCTCGAGGCGCTGCATGAGGGCGTATGTGATGGCCATACCGGGGAACTTCGCATCGTGTCCTCGGTGGGTTCGGGGCTGTGAGTGACCACTGTACAATTGTCAGATCCAACTCTCAAATGGCAGCGCATGCGAATTGAACTTACCCCAGGCGAGATACGAGGGTGAGGTCGAGGTTGAACTCATCCTGAAGCCACTCGACGGCAGCGGCGGACTTGTAGGTGAGGACCTTGATCAGGTCGGGACGAGCCTTGTCACGGGCTGACTTGAGGGTATCATCGTAGAACTGCTTGACGCTGTCGGGAATACCGGCCTCGACCTGTGTCCGGGTGAGGGCACCGTTGATACCGGAAGTAGCCTTGGTAGAGTTGCCGCCGAAGAAGCCTGCGCGGGGAAGCACATGTCAGCAGAGGTCACACGGGAGCGAGCGCAAGCGCCAACTGGTAGAGGGAATAGTCCAAGTCAAGACGCGCAGAATGCGCCAAGAGCATACAATGTAAGATCATGTGAAAGCGACTTACCCTGCTTGTCAAGGACAACAACGTTGCCGCCAGCCAGGTAAATGGTGTGCGCAGCAGACAGACCAGAAACTGAGAATCAAGTTAGCCGGGGAACTCTCAGAGCCGCGAATGGCGACTCAAGACAATGCGCAAGAACTTACGGCCGCCGCCCACGACAATTACTCTAGGAGCCATTGTTGTGTATGTGTATGTGGTGGTGATGGAGGAAGAGGATGGCGGTGATGACGTGATGAGGAATAGGGATGAAAGCAACAAAGCAGTCGCACGTCAAGCAAGAGGAAAAGGAAGGGTGAGGATGGAGAAGTAAAAAAGAAGTCAAAGTTTTGGACGAGAGGATCAAGGTCGAGTCTTAAGTCTCTGCCGGAATGGGGTGCGACGCCAACAAGGCCGAGGAGGCGAAGTGAGCGAGCCGAGGTCGAGGGATGGGGGAAGGTGCGAGTGTGAGCGTGTGTGAGCGTGCGCGCGACAGACTGCAACTGCGACAGCGGTAAACACCTGGAAGGCGCGGACCACCCTTGGGTTTATGGGGAAACTGCGTCAACGACCAGGAGTGGGCCTGGTCTGGTCTGGTCAAGGTTCGAAGGTTATACCAGAGGTACAGATACGTCAAAGACCCTGGAGAAGCGTGTGCTTTGAAGACAGCACAAGTATCTATACCCTATTCTTGACAAAGAACAAACACGTTAGCCAACGTCCTCCTCATGAACTTCTGCAGCAAAGCCTGATGTCACGGCGCAAAGAAAAGACAAGACACCCCAGGATGGGCCGTCTCCGTAACGTCCATCGTTTGCGGGGAGAGGTCGCAAATCAGCTGCCGGCGTTTTCTCAGCAGCCCAGCAGGCTTGGTCCCCGGAAGCGGATGTTCTGCCCGCTGGAGCTCTAGCGTCTCAGGTCCGCCAGTATCCGACCCCGCCACTACCCAAGTTTGGGGGAACAAGTTGGAGGATCTCGAAAACTCACCTTGAATTGGATAGAATAGGATGTGATGCACGCAAGAAACAGGTTGGTTGGAGGAGGTTGAACCATTAAAGGGTCAAGGCTATGGAGAATACAAATACAAGCTCTCCGACTGGATCACCAGCCTTCTCTCTTTCCTCTCCGATCCTCTCGCCGCAAGCTACGCCGAAAGGCCGTACTCCCTCTCTCCGGCCACCGTTCTGCGCCGGGCAACCCACCGATGACCTCTTCCTCCGCTGTTCGCTGCGACCCTCGACTCCCCTGACTGGCCCTGGCCACACGGTCCGCTCTCTCTCTCTCTCGCGTGCGGTGTACCGAGGTCCCCGCTTTGGCGAGGAGATGGGGGATTGGAAATTGTGGGGGGAGCTAAGGATATCCCTGGTTTGGAGGCCCAGCTCGCTGTTCTCATTCCCGAGCTTGGGGGAGCTGTTTGAAGTGAGACGAGGTTGATTGTGAGAGTTGCACGTGGTGTGTTGCTGTTGACCATGGCAAGTTTATCACTTCTACTCTCCAATTTCCACGTCAAAGCATGTGAAAAGAGCCTCTCCACGTTCATCTCCTCATGCAGCTCTCCATCTTCTCTCGACTGACATCCAAAAACTTTGACCAATGATGGATCCCTCCCCCAAACCCCACAAGCCCCGGACTTGTCACCGAGGTCTCGGCCATGTGACCGGACCGCCACGGTCCGCTCTAAAAAGGACTTGCTCCAACTAGTCACATGACTACAGTCCCAGCCGCAAACCCGAAGGACACAAAGTTGCTGACCATTCTCCGCGTTTTCACTCGACTTTCACATGCCAATGGCTTTCCAACAAGAGGCACATGAGTCGTTGGAACTCATCCCCAAGCCTCGATCAACGCTTATCCATGACGCCCATGACCCTTTGAACCCCTCGATGTATTAGGGTCCTTGTCCCATTTGTTCCTGACGTTGTTGGATCGTCTTCTCATTCGTCACGCCTGGATGGAAGGCCCTTCGAGCCGCCGCCATTCCCATGTCCACGAGTAAGGTAGCATGGTGAGGCTTGCGACAAGTTGATCATCTGGCCTTTGAAACTTTGCATGTCGAGAGCAACAAAAGCACGTGAAAGTGCTTCTTCCACCATCCGGGGCACCAAGCGAGACAGTTGACTTTCCCCAGATTCTGCACGTGCATCATCTGACCCCGGAAATGAGACTGAGCCTCCGCCACTGAGGTCGTCCATTTGCCTAGATTGCCATCGCTTACCTCCGTTGCCGTGAGCTGATGGCCTCTTCTCCGCAGAGTGCCAAGTCTGGTGTGCTGACTCATCTGTCACTTTCACGTGTCTGAGATGGGACTTCACTTCACTTGGTGCCCGTGTGCCGAGTCAGGGGAGCAAGCCGGTTTGTTCAAGCAGAATCGAACGAGTGAAATGAATGGATCAACCAGGAGAGTGATGTTACAATTAGGCCGCTGTTTGATCCTTGTCATTGCCATCATGAGGTCGTAGTTAGCTACCCTAAATATCCCAGTTTCAACGTCAGCGACAACTTGTTCCCCAGAACCACTACTATGAAGCTCAAATAACAGAGGGAAGAATAAAGTCTACTTTTAAGCTAAAGGGTTGCCTATTTGGGAAGCTTCCCTTCTTTGTTTGCTTTCTTGATTAGGCAGTCTTTCCTTATTGGGCCGGTTTCTGGTCAAGACAATTACGCCTTGAACTTGACGCTGAACACTCGACAATGGACCAGCGAAACATCATCACTGAACCAAATCGCACTTGACGGTGGCCAAAAAGGAGATGGAACACTCGAGGTCGATGTAGAGAATAAGCCGTTGCAATACTGTTGTTCCATGCAACCAACGGCGTTCCCGAGTGCGGAACTTGGGGATATGATGACCCTTTCTTTGTTGGAGAGACTCAACCAAGAGAAATCGGTTTTGATAGCCCGTTATGACGCACTATGATGATGTTGAAGCATGATGAAAAACCCCTGCCCTTGTTAATGAAGAGTGCTCTGATCACATAAACTTCAGTTAACAACTACCCGACAATGGACGGAAGCATAGCCCCTTCCTACCCAGCTGCAATTGTAGGAGTTTGAGCAAACCATGTTATTCTATTGGTCATTTCTCTGTTGCCGCTGGATCCGTTCAGACCTCCCTTTTGCAAAGCGCCCTCTTGCTCGGACTACACGCAGTAATATGGTCAACTAAAAAACACATTCGTTAATTAAACTAGCCAAACCTTGCCAAGTGACGAAGGGTCCCATAATCTGACATACTTAAAATATGTGACCAGAGTATAGAACCGGATTCTTGAGGGAAGTTGTCCAGGGTGTCTCGAGTTTACTCGGACTTGTCAATATAGTGAGCAACTCAAACGAATTCAAGCGATACAGCCCCATCAAAATTCTGGAGACATGAATCGACAGCGATGTTAGCGTCTGGACCACTATTGGGTGCCAAAGTGGTCGCCTTTCCCGTCTCCTTTAGTCTCTACGTGCACAACAAGTCTTTCTTGCTGTGATAGAGATACTCGTCAACCCTGCACTCCGTTTTCTCATTTCACACAACTCCCACAAGGTTTCTTTAGAAGCGAATAAGACAAATATGTACTGATAGTCCCCATTAGACTTTGGCATCTCAAATAAGAACAAAAGCCAGACCTTCTCCATAACTGCCTATAGGGTGGGCTACTCAAATCAAGGCGAGAGCTCAATCAATCAAGTCATCAGCTGGCTCTACTTGACTAACTTGGGCATGGCTAAACAGTATGGAAATTCTAAAAGCTGACCATATTCCAGCCCATCGAGAACAGAAGAGTTTCCTGGGTTGAAGTGATGGTCAGGTGTAAGTTCCACGTCCCGTGATTAGTCACGTTACCCCCCTCCTCAAATCCCGCTCCCCAACCCGCATCATGACGTACCACCTGCAGTAACCATCACCAAACTCCAACCATCACCATGAAACCTCTCTTCGCGTTATCAACCCTCCTCACCCTCTCCACATCCTCCCAAGTCCCCCTCGGCGACGTCAAACCAGACCTCCACCGTCTACACCTCCCCGTCATGCCCGCAGCGCCGCTCAACCAACCCTCGGTCGCCCTCGCCGACATCCTGGGTACACAGCGCTCTCTTACATCGTTCTCCTCGTTTGCGCGGATGGATCCTTCGACTGACGAGCGGCTCGCCGATCTTGGGACGAATACCACTGTTCTTGCGCCGCTCAACTCGGCTGTGGACGCGCTCCCGCGGAAGCCTTGGGAGCAGCCGGGGGATTATGCTGCGTTGGGGGCGGATGCGTATGAGGGTGACAAGGGGCAGGATCGCGCGCGGGAGAATATGAGGAGGTTTGTCGAGGCGCATCTTGTGCCCGAGAGTCCGTGGGGGGAGAATGAAAAGGTCAAGACTGTTGGGGGTAAGGAGGTTTGGTGGGTTGAGAAGGATGGCAAGAGGGTGGTTATGCCGGATGAGATCGAGGTTGACAATGTGGTCGGCCAGGTTGGTAATGGAGAACTGGTAAGTTGTATGCGTCGACGCTGGTGATGAAGAACATGCTAACGACAAGCAGTGGATTCTCAAGGGAGTATTGAACTACGCCTAACTTTGCACACGATGGGAATAGGACATACGAATAATGACACTGACGTTCTGCGCATATGATTTGATAGACACTATACTGCTTCACTCACTATCTCAGTCTCTGTTCATCCAGTATATAGAATTGACTTGATAAACGTGTTCACGTCGCCGGTATCATCTATGAACTCCAGATCAAAAAGAAACCCAGACAAGTAAAAAGAAATGACAAAAGATACCATTGTCGAACCCGTAGAGTAGTGATTCCCACATCTCTCATAACATAAAGTTTGTAACCATTGTCCGCCCCAAGCCTACCGTCCAGCAGAAAACCCCAGAGACAAAGTCAGGGCTACAAGCCCATAGGTATAAAAAGAATTGAAAAGTGTCAAGAAGTGAACTTGAGAAGTTACCCGTCTGTGAAGAACGCCTCCCAATGTGTCAAGAAAAAAAGTGCCGTGGTAATGAGAAAAAGACGGCGATGCATCTGATGAATGATGCGAGAAGTAAGAAAAAGGCCGGAAATGTTGGCATGATACTCGTAATGAGATTAAAATGCATGGTCCACGCTATCATGAATGACACGCAGAGTCCAGCCCATTATGTCGTTGATCGTGGAATACATCAATAAGAACTTTTGAATGGTGAAGAATCGGGCAAGAATCAAGAGCCAAGTAGTGAAAATCACTCAACCTTGAGCCTCTTGGGGTCCGTCGACTCTTCTGCCGCCTCGCTCTGAGCTGTTGCACCCAGCTCAGGCGTTTTACGCTTCGTTGCCGTTGAACTGCTTTGGTTGACATGCAAACTCGAATTGTAGGTGCCGTTGGAGGTGGATGGAGCGTTAATCGAGTTGCTATTGGTACTGGAATTCAAGTTGTCATCCCTCAGAAAGCTGGGCCCTGACCCAACTACAGGAGTGGCAAAGTTGAGCGGGCTGGGAAGCGTATTGCTGTCACCTCCTCTGAAGTTCCAATCTGGGTAGAAACTACTTGGGCTTGGCAACAACTCATTTGTCAAGAATCGAGACGGTAGTGCTGATACTGGAGTGTCTCCGTTCACGTTCTGCTGAGGAGGTGGCCGAGCAAAGGGATTTGGCGGTCCGGTGGCGCCGGCTGACAACAATGTTTGGGCAGAAGGCGACGGAGGCGGTAAGACGAGCGATGACTGAGAGTTGTGGCGTTGAGGCGCTTGCGTTGTGCTCTCTGTAGGATTCCGCGGTGAATTAGAGTCAGCTGTGCGCGCACTGCCACCAGCCTCTGAACCGCCATCGGGAATCTGCACCGTCAAACGGGGCCCCCTAGGCCGCGCTCCGCCGGGACCACCGCCAACCTTGACGCTGTTGGACCGTGAGGGCGGCGTCAATGTGGTCTCTGGTATTGATGACAATGAGACAGTTCGGGACTTGTCATCAGCTTGTGTGCTGGCGCGCTGTGGCAAGTGAGGCGATTTTGAGGTGTCACCCACTCGGTTGAGCGCACCCACATCTACCGACTGCGACCTATTGGCGGCACTGGCCGCGTTAGCTGCCGCTGCTGCAGCCGCTGATTCCGATTTCATGGGCTCATTTGCGAAGGAGGCGAGATGCTGGGACAGAATAGAACGGTTCTCCTCAATGGGCGTAAAGATACTGTGAGATTTCCGCTGGGGCAATTTCTTGATGGCTGTATCCGTGTTGAGCAGGGGCGGCTGAGGGCGTTCTTGGGATTCCGTCTTGGGTTCCACGGGAGGAGGTGGTGGAGGGTCCTGCAGACGACGCTCCACCTGCTGCGGCTGAGGTGGAGGCGGCGAGATTTGCGGTATAGGATTCGGTGGCAGTTGCTGGTGGTTTGGCTGAGGAGACGGGGTTGGGCGCGGCGGAGCTTGAAGTCCTTGCGAAGGCGGTTGCGACGAGTAGGCAGGAGGCATAGGTGACGGCATGGGGGATCTTCGGTCGTCCATGTAGGGACTGTGCTGCGGCATTGGACTCTGCTGTGGGTGGTAGGTGGCATACTGAGGGGTAGGCCCCTGCTGGGGCATCAAACTAGAGGGATGAGGAGGGTTGTAGATAGGAGGCGTAGGCATATAGCTAATCCCGGCATGCGGAGGTCCGGTAGGAGGCGGAGGTTGAGACACCATGGCGGGGCCCATCCGGCGGATGTCATTTCGAGATCCCGGCCGTGAGCCGATCGAAGGCTGTGGGGTATGCGTGCGCTGAATAGGATGGCCCGGGTGTCCTTGGAAAGGGCCGTTTCCAATGGGCGGCGATGCTGAAGGCGTGTGATGTCGGATCTGGGGGAACGGGGGCTGAGCCTGGCCGTGAAAATGGGGAGGCATCATCTGGTTCTCGACACCTTCGGGCGCGTGGGGAGGAGTGCCATCGCCTTCCTCTTCCTCCTCCTCATCGTTACCGCCGTTGAAGTCGGATGGACCTTTATGTTCGTTGGGACCGCCATGCTGTAGTCCGGTTAGCATGCCATGACGCGCCGGGGTTGCGACCGCAGATGCTGATGCTGCATAAAATGCGCCTGCGGGCGGGGAGACACTCACATATTGGTATCGTGTGATGAGCTGTCGCATATCTGAGGATGAATATTCATAAAGCTTCTTGTTATTGCCAAAGATGAATACGGCGACATCGACGGAGCACAGGACGGAGAGCTCGTGCGCCTTTTTGAAAAGGCCGCCCTTTCGCTTCAGAAAGGTGCTATTCGCGACAGTCAGTCGCAAGATTCGAGGGGCACATCGAATCGGATTCCCGCGCCGGTGGTGCAAGAATTTGGGAAAACTTACACAGAGCGATTCCTGTCATCCTTGATCGCTTTGATCTCAATCTTTCTTCGTCCCATCTTGATCAGTTGTGTATCTGAGCTGGAGGGAAATGGATCGCGTTTCCACGCGGGGCGATCGAACGTTGGTGGTGGAGGGACGCGGCGTGATGGTCGTCAGTAGCGCAAGAGCCGTCGAGTCGATCGCAGTACGTGACGACGGCGCGTCGATGGTCGTGAATAAGAAAAGTCGGCGAGTTGAAGCTCAAAAGTCGTGCCACCAGAGTCGAATCGAGTCGGGTCAAGATTCAAGTGGGTGGTGGTAAGCGAGAACAAAGGGTCGTTATGGCGTCGAGCGGAAGGGTATCGAGGAATGCTTCGGAACGAACGAAATACCACGAAGAAGATGGAGAGAATATGTGACAGAAAGTGGACCGAAGAGAGAGAGAAATGTAGAGAGAGAAAAGACGCTGGTGAGATGACGGAGGCGGCTGTGAAATGGCCGTCGAGAGTTGAAGGACGGATAAGAGAAGAAAGTGTGGAGCGGGAGGATTTGGGAAATAGGTGTGAACGAAGGGGATGGGAATAGCCGATAAATGAGGACCCCGAGGCCGTTGCGACCTTTGTAGCTCAGTGGGCGCGAACCGGTGATGGGGTACCTGTGCAGTAGCGCGTGGGCGGTATCTGTGTCGACAGAGCCAAGCTCGGCTGGGTACCTTTTTTAGCTCTGAGGGGATGGAGAAGGGTCCGTGGAAGAGGGTTGATTGATGACGACGGCATGCGATTCGTGATAATGTCTTTGTATCTGGGAGCAAGTTCACAGGGACAGTATGTGCGATGGAGAGCGACAGAGGATGACTTGTCGCAAATGGCAGCGCGACGCGATAGCTTGGTGAGAGAGAGATGACAGGCAGCTTCCGAAGTGAACAGAGTGCGCTTTCACTTCCCTTGAGGCGATGCGATGCGCCAGAATGCGACGATTCGACCAGGAACAAATGCGATAGAACAAGCGACAGCAACCCGCTGCGGTAAAAGGGAGCCTTGTCGAGGATCGATAGACGTTTCGATGGGGCTGAATCTGGCGTTTGTGGATGTGGTTGGGATGGCTTCTAATAATAGACGGATCGTGTTCACTCGGGGGGCCGCGGGATGATGGGAGAAAAAAGAAGGCAGCATGGAAGGCGGGAAAAAAAATCATGCCTGCTTAGGTAAGGGGGATGTGAGTGGACGGACCTCACCGACGGGGTGGATGTGGACGCTCCGGGTGGAGATTCACGGCACTGACACTGTCGAAGGGGTCCGGGTGTGCCTAGGACTCTCTTGTCTGTCTGGCAGGGGTGATGTGATCCCCTAGGAACGGGCGTCAACCTTCAGGGCCCGTCGGTTATCCAGCCACCAACCTCATCACACATCTTGGAGCTCCTCTCTTCATCTTGATGAGCCGTACCACGTTTCATTCTACGCAGAATCTAGCTTGCTCCGCCCAGCCACACCGGGATGTTTCTCTTGGCACGCGCTGTGGACAACGCAAACTTGTGACAGGGAGCGTCCCTGATACCTACGGTTCTTGGTGCCTGCGTTGCGTCACTCTGGTGCTGTCTTTTCTGCAGCTAACTTGGGGGATGTAGATGGGGTTTCAGCAGAGCATGCATCTTTTGTATGCTCGTATTCCGTCGACAACATGATGCGTGAACCTCTTGTCATGCATCTGATATCATGGGCATTGCAAGTAGTTCAAATCTGAAACGTGCACTTGGGGGAGATTCAAGCTTCCAAGCGCGAGAAACGTTCCGAGAGCGAGGGCCAATTCCTGGCACTTCCCCCTCTCTAACCGACGCCATCACTTCTTCTTCCAAGCTAAGTTAGGGCGTCGTCCATCATCACCAACAACGGCGATTGACAGCACACACAAACTTGACGGCGCGCCCCGTGACGATTCAACCTGCATACATCAAGACCTGCCCGTTCCTGCTGATCTCTTTTGCTGTCTATGTTTCAAAAACTAAACCTGCCCCACGACAGCTGAGCCCTCCCACACTTCTTTGCTGCATCGACTTTCGTATTCACCATGCGCGCGCGCTTGTTTCTGTAGCTTCCTTTCTTGTTTATCCGGGGATGCCGTTCCCGTGCCGTGCCGTGTGTGTTTTTTGCTCGTTTCGGTTTCTGATGCAGGCACTCTCTCTCAAGGTTCGCAGCTTTTGTTGCGTGTTCCTGCGTTTCTGA